GATTTTAATACAAATCTTGACTGACTCAACTAGATCTGGTTGATGGTTCTGAATCTCATCCAGATACCATGAAGCTAGTTGGCCTGTGGAGGCATCAACCGGGAGATTAGGAGTAAGCTTGACTAATTCCATAGCAGTTGTTATATCTTGTCTGGTGAGATCTGGGTCATATGCCATGGATTCACCAATGACATGAGAACCAATGTAAGTGTTAAGGTCATTTGAGTAAACATTCTCAACTGGAGCAGGTTGCTCAGGAGAATATTCAGGAGATTGATTGTGAGGTATTTTGATAGCAGTGATATTGAAATCATCAGCAGCATATTCAAACTGTTGATAGTTGGGGATTTCTTCAATGTAAGCTGATTCAACAGCTTCAGCACCCTCAACTTCAACATTGTTAGCTCAGGCTTTGCCCTTGCTGCATCTACAGCTTTGTCCTCAGCCACAGCCTGAGGAACCAGACTGTTGTTGTTGCTGCTGGTTTTGTTGTGGGTAAGGTGTATAACTGCCATGTCCACTACCTCTGCAAGATCCTCCTTGACCTCCATGACCTCTGTGACTCCATGGAAACCCAATCCAGATCCACCACCTCCACAGTGATCTTGGGTATTGTGCCTGCCATGGCATATATTGCAGAGTGGCGGCTTATTCATTCAAGCAAGAAGTGAATTTGACTCTTGCTTTACAGTAGTGCCAGAGGTTGAAGGTTTCTCCTGCTGAGGGAGAAGAGACTTTCCAGATTTGTGAGATCAGACTTCTTTCATATGAGGTATGATGGTATCAGCAGATAATTGATCGGCAGGAATAGATGAAAGTATATTGACAGGTGCCTGTTCCCAGGCTTGGGACATGGAATGGACAAGAATAAGGGCCTTCATTTTGTCATTGAGACTGATGTCCTGGCCCTGGATAGTGGCCATGATCATGGTGATCTCTGAGATCTTAACCATGATGTCATCCTTAGGTTTGATCTGAATACAGATCAACCTTTGAAATTCCATGAACATGGTCATGGCAGAAGTTTCACCATATTTGGACTTAAGTTCATCCCACTTCTTTTTCAAAGTATCTTGTCCATCAATAGACATAGTGATCATTGAATCGCAGTATAGCATAATGATTCCTTGGGCCTGAGTATCAGATATGCACCAAGGTTCCTGCTGAGTGACATCTGCAGGCATAGGTTTTTCCCCAGAGACAATATCCATAATGCCAAGTGTTTGCATATAAGCTTTCATAAGAACTGACCAAGAGGCATAATTAAGGCCATTAAGTTTTGGGATCTGTTTAGAAAGGCCTTTGTACATCTTTTTAGAAGTCCATTAGCAAGTGTTCATACAAGAACAACTTGACAGGATGAGTTGAATAGGAAGGAGGATTCAATAAATGATTGGCTTGGCATTTCAGTCTGCAAGCAGAAGCTCTAGCAGATTGTGATTTTCAGTTACAACAAGGCTTGGGTATATGGGGACATGGATTTTGCCATTCCTTTATGATAGGAGTGCCTCTCTCAGCAAATCTCCATAAGGAAATGTGAGAGTTATTTTTCTCAAGGAGATCAAATTCTAAGGGACCAAAATAGTGGTACCCAAAGGAGCTCCATGCTATGTCATGTAGTGGAAGTCCATTCCTTGTGAACCCTAAGTAAGGTTTGGCACAACTATATGGAAAAGGAAAGAATTGCAAATTTTGGAAACCCAGACATCCTGATTGTACAATAATTTCAAAAGCACTATATGAATCCCCAATACTACAACTGTCAGAAGCATCATGGTAGTGGCCTCCAGATGCATACAGTACATCCATTGTACTGGGGAAAGGATAGGAGTGCACAAGTGGCACAAGAGCTGAAAGCTCTTGCAAGAGCAGTAGCAGGTGTTGGGCAGCCTCTGGGCTGTGCAAGATAGTCAAAATTATCTTTCTCCATGGCATGTTCAAGATCTCAAAAAACATCCTCCTGGGATGGCCAGTAAGTGTATTCTCATCTACTGGCTGAGTTAACCCATCCAAGATGGCAGTTAGAGGATGAGTATTGCAGGCTATTACCCAATTCTCCTTGAATTTTAAGTTCACAGATAAAGGTGAACAACTTCTCATTGAACCGATCTCCACTGACTTGTCTTTCACAGAACCACCTTGGGATGCATCTGATGTCAGTGGTACCATCAGCCCAAATTCCTTAGAAAGAGCATTCAAGATGCTCATGCCAAAGCCAAAGAGGCAGGATCATCCTGCAGAACTTGGGACTGTAATGGAAATGGGCATTATAGGTGACATAGACAAAAGTGTCATGAGTGATGGTTGAGGCAGGGACAGTGAAGAGCAAAGGATCTTCATATGTTAGAGATGGAAGATCACAACTGTTGAAATGAGCTATCACATGAGGAGAAGAGGAGTGGGTTAGCTTTGGAATGAAGTTGGTAAAATAGCTGTGATAAGTGACATGAATCCCAGGACAGAAGTAAGGCAAATCAAAGCTGGGAAAGTGGGGCATAAGTTGCCACACTGTTCCCATGACCGTGAGTGGAACAAGATAAGTGTCCAGGTTCAGCTGCTTGAAGAATGCCATGGAAGAGGGCACAGCCTCACACCAACTACTACAATCTCATACATATAGCATCTCCATAAACTCTATGATCTCTTTTACCATGTACTTCCTCTACTTAGCCCCCTCATACATCCTGTCACAGTGTTCAGCAATTTGAGTTTGCAAACACTTAGTGATGACCAAAGACATTCTTGAAGTAGATTAGTTCCTGTAATTGAATAAATAGAGGATGAACAAGTTTTTAAAGGAGATCAAACTCAGCAACATCATCTTTGATGATGGCAAGAATGGGCTCTAGGTTGAGCAACTCATTCAGTACCTCAATTTCCTCAGCCAAAGGCATCAGAGCATGACAAGGAGGTGCAGGGTCAACTGCTCCATTCTCAGTGTAAGGAGGTACAGGATCTAGGTCAGTGTTGAAGTCAACATTGGGAAGATGGAAATGGAAATAGTGAGGCAGAGGAGTAGGTGGGCACATAACCAGTGCTTGTAATAAAGCATGGCACACAACTGCTTGTTCAAGCAATTGTTGGTGACAATGCCACCATGCAGAGAGACCTAAGAACATCATCCAGAATGCTGTCAAGCTCACAAAGAGCCAATGCAAGTCACCAGGATCATAAGCTCCATAATATAGTAAAAGAACAGACTGTTGACAGCCTGCAAGAAGCAACAAAATGAAAGTGACTACCATTAACTCTAGTGCATCTAGGCCTACATGATCCATAGTGATTTGCCCATCAGCAGTGATCTATTCTATGCAAACCATGTAAATAGTACTCACCTAGAAGGTGGGGCTCATAACCTATTGTGCAGAGGATGGGCTATGGTATGAAGAGCAAAGACAAGAGCACTTGCCTTTATGCTTGAGTTAATCAGTAGATTGGAATTTTAGTTGCTGGGGCTCTTGTTCTTGATAGAATAGTAGAACAAATGTAGAATTCAATGTAGATCTAGGGTCAAAATCCCTGAGTATATATACATGTTTCTGTATGCATGGACCAGTAATGTATAAGGAAACTGTTACTACATATAGTAAGGAATAGCAGAGAATGCTATGGAATATGACACAATAAGTGATGTCATTCTGATGTCATTGTGGAGCTGATTGCTAAGGCAAGTCATGTGACATAACATGTGTATCAAAATGTGTAAATCTAGATGAATCTAGATGTTGGACATATTATCATATTTCCAACACCACCCTGTCTTCCATAACCAATCAAATAACAAGCAGTTACCGGTGTCTATCCAACTCATGATCTTCCTCTTTCATGCAGGTCATTATGGCAATGCTTGATCCCCTGAAGATATTGGGCAATGGGCTGGTGTCAGTGTTGGGACAGTGGTGAACTGTATGCACCACATCATGGCTGCAATTCTCAATCAGCATGATAGATTCATCTACATCCCACATGTCTGTTTGGAGGAAATGCATCAAGTGTGGACATTCATGGAGTCAGACTTGCCATGCATGGAGAAATGGGGTGTTCATGGCTGATAGGACTTCAGTAAACTTTCATGCACAGCCAGGAATGTTTGGAGATGCATTTTATCATCAGAAATTGCATTTTTCACTAAATTGTCAAGTAGGTTTAAATGTCAGATTGGGAATGAATGCTCACCTGAAATGCAAAGGCTGTAATCATGACACATAACCTCAGCATAGTGGATTATGCCTTGGGGCAACCCAGTAGTGTGCACAACACATTTGCCTTCCAAGGAACAAGAATGTACCAGGATCCTGTGAACTTCATCCCTCCACATCACTGGATTTGGGCAGACTCTGCCTATCCAATGGAGAAGTGGTGTGTTGTGCCTTTCAAGAAGCCAAGGGGAGGTAGCCTGATGTGTAGACAGAATATATACAATCAATATTTATCAAAGGTGTGCACCTGCAGGCCAGTTGTGCAGAAATACCATTCTCAGTGTTTCAAAGGTGTGAGTAAGGGTGGAACATGCATTTGCAGCCCTCAAAGGCTGCTTTCAGTTGTTGCAAGAGCTTCAGCTCAAGGTGAATAAGGACAGCGACTTACATGTTACCATGTATTGGATCATGTGCTGCATGATCCTACACAACATGGTCATTCACTTTGAGAGTGAATGGAGGGATATGCTTGGCAAAGGAATGATGCACTGGGCAATAAGGGAAGGCAAGGAGTTGGATGGTGGTGGGGATGAGGATGTAGGTGAGGAACAACAGGGGACACTGGGGCAGCAACATCACCTCATGCTGATGGAAAGGCTGTTTGAGCAACATGGGATTCACATGTAGACTACACCACATGTGCATGTACAAAGCACTTTGAATCACAGGAAAGATGACTGTTTCATTCCACATGCACACATACATTGTACTAGCAAGTACATAGGTTATAGTTGTGGAAAATAGAGGAACAAAGGGGATTGGGGGGAAGAGTGATACAGCATGTATGAGGTTGATTGGTATTCAGGCATCTGCAATGAGATCATCAAAGGCAGTGAAAGGCAAGGTGGGATAAAGAGATGGCACAGTGGTGGTGGTGGATGAGGTGCCATTGAAAACTTGGGACTTGGGGTCCAAAGATGAGGTTGGTTGAGCTTGGAGCATTGCCAGTTGGACTCTGAGATGGAGATTCTCCCCTTCCTCCTTGAGGTATTGTATGTCTAACTTTTTTCTCTCCATGAAATGCTTGTGGATCTTCTGAGCCTCCCTGTGCTCCTTCTCACCCTCTGCTTCCAAATGAGCTATCTCCTTGTCATGCATATAAGCCTGGGTCTTGACCACTTTGCATTCAGTCTTGAGCACAGCTAACTGGCACCACTGATCCAAGGAATTTCCATTTAACTCACCAAGCTGCTCATTGAAATCCACCTTGAGCTGAGTAAGCATGTTTTTCCCCTTTGTTTGAGAGGTCTCAGAGCTTTCCACCTGGTGCTGGCTAGCACCATCACTGACAGCAGAGGTCATTGTAGATGTAGAGATAACAGAGGGGGGGGATCTGGCATATGGAGACATCTGGAATGCTGAACAGTTGTCCCATGACAGTGTTTGATGGCCAGGCTTGTTGAATGGCAATATTGTATGGGTAGAATCAACAGGCTAATGTTCCCATTAGTAACATGAGTGAGGAGTTTTATAGTGACTCATGTGGTGGGTGTCATTCACTGCACCATCATTGAATGTTAGTTCAGAATTAACTGACATGAACTGAGGGTGTTCCCCAGGCCCCCTTCCCTCACATACCTCCCCCTGCTCCATCCCACCCATAGAAAAGTCATTGATACTTGTGCCCTCACCTGTGACAGGTCCAGAAGTACCCTGAGGGTTGATTAGTGTAAAACTCCCAAAAGGTTCGACCTCCAGATTGCCCCCTGCCATTGTATTGTTCTGGTTGGTCAGTTGTTGGACTTGCACACCAGCAACTGTAGGAGTCACAGTTGTGGTTGCAGTAGAGCCACTAGGAGTCACAGTCACAGTAGTACCACCCTGATTCATGATGGAAAGAAAGTCGCCTGTCTTGTTTGTGCCAGGAGCTGGATTGAATAATCTTGCATCATAAGTAGGGTTCCCATGCCACATGTGATTGCATTCCTCCCAGAATGGGAACTCTGCAACAACAACTTCCTCTAAAATAGAAACCATGTGTGAGATCAACCACATGGTGTACAGAGGAGGACCATGGTACACACCCAGAAGGTTGGAATAAGCTGGATTGTTAGGATCAATGCCTTCACTGGTGGACTCAAACCTTGATGCTTGTTGCCAATATTTGGCCTTCAAGCTGTAACAAGGATTTCGATTAATCTCTTGGAACAATGTGATAAGACATACCTTGCCAGGTGGCTACCAACCACTGAAGCAAACCTCTCAGTCTGGGTCACATAAACTGCCCCATATACAAGATCTTTAGAGAAGATCACTTGAGCAATAACAGCATTGATCGCTTTTTTGCAATGGGCATGGGGCCTTGCATTCCCCAGGGCACTCTGATCTCTCCTCTTGTTGAATAGGATGGCATGATCTGCTGGATTTTCCCATAGCCAAGTCAGTAGCTCTCTGGTAAGGTGGGTATACCTCTCCCAGTAAATAGTTTCACCCCCAGAAGCCCTCTGCTTGGGCTTGGATGACACAGCATTGGGGGAGGGTTGGGGGATGGACAGGGGGGGGGGGATTTCTTGTACTAGCAACAGAGGAGGCCCTGGCCATGATAGTTACAGACTTGACCTGTAGGTGAGCAAAACATTGAAGGTTTGGGTGGAGGGGAGGCATGCTTTAAAACTCTGCTTGAATTATCTACATCAGTAAACCACTTTGTGTGCTGGCAGTCCTAGGGAATCTGTCCAGTGCTGGACAGCTCTGGACAGCTCTGGCCAGCAAAAGTGATTTACTGATGTACATGGTGAAAATCTTAGGAAAAGTTTAGTAGGGTTTAGCAAGCAAAGTTTGCCAGCTTAGTTGTCAGCTTACATCAGTAGACCGCTTTGTGAGCTGGTAGTCCTAAGGAATCTGTCCAGTGCTGGACAGCTCTGGACAGCTCTGGCCAGCAAAAGTGATTTACTGATGTAGTGCACTTTGAATACCATTAATAGCTCAGCCTTTTCGGCATGAACTCTATTCCCAATAACAGTTGCGAAGTCTTTAGTACCGCCGTTCATTAGGAAGCACGCTCCTTGCTAACGACCTTTTTGGCCCTGCGAACACTGCCGTTGGTTGTGCACATCAGAGCTCCCGCTGGCCCGATCAATGACTTATGTATGTTTACAACCAGCGGTCGCAAAATCGCCGCAGACCTTGCTTAACGAGGTTTAAGTTAACATAGCCACATCGTCAGCATGTGGGATTATGTAAGTGAACAAGGCATGTACGATATATCCCACCGCTGTCAGGATAACCATCACCGAATTTTCCCAATCTGGCGCTTATTTTTCTGTTTCCTTGACTCTGTGTTCGCGAGGATGCGCTCGACGCTCCTCCTGCGGTCCATTTTCATCCTTTTCCCGCCCATATTGATGGCGAAGGCATTCAGCGTGTCGGTGGGAACCGCTGTTGAATGCGCCTCATTCACCGTCTCTTGGACAGGTAAGTCCTTTATGTACCCCGCTCTTCTTGGTGCCCTCACGTGTGTTGGCGCACAGGCGGCCAAAGCCCCTTTCAGATTTCTATTTTCCCCGTGAGTTCTCCTGCGTACCAGGTAACCTGTTCTCTAGACAGCGGTTACAAAGGTTTTCGACGTCCCGAGATTCTACTCTGTGCCATCCTCGGCATACAATGGAAACCAAGGATCTTATACCATTTCTCAGTTGCCACTGGCACAGGGGACTAAGTTCGTGTTGACGGTATCTGATGCTACCGGGTTCGGAACCGGGGGTGCAACTGATGTGATACAGGTGGCGGAGTCCACCAGTAGCTCCAGCTGCAACACTACTACTCCGGCCCTTAGCTACACTTACAATTTACCATCGTCTCTTCAGCAATGCGCGTAAGTCGTAGCGCTGTGCCCGTCATGGACGTTCTCGCTGACGCGCCACTCCACCCTAGACCCTACGTCTTCAACGGATACCAAGGAGCGGCATTGCCTGTTACTTTTGTGGTCAGTAACTTGTTGCTTTGCACGCCTCCTCGCGCTCAGATTAAATGCAGGGGCTCATTCCTGGCGGGGAGGCCTTTGTCCTTCAGTCTGGTGTGGCAACCAGCAGCTACACCTGGACGACAAATGTGCAGGCCGGGACCTCGATTATATTTTCAATGTTGGATGCTCAAAATAGGACAGGCGGCAGTTCTGACCTCGAGACAGTGCAGCTCTCAAACGATGCTTCTTGCCTAAGTTCCACTTCCCCTTTATCCACTGCGAGCATCCCGCAGTCATCACAATCGGGGTCTTCCTCTCCGTCTACTAGCCCAACTGGTTCTAGCTCGACAAAAATTTCTACTGCCACTATCATTGGAATAGCTGGTGGAGGTGTGGTTGCCCTTGCCGCGCTGGTGTTCCTTGGATTGTTCCTTATCCGAAAGAGGCGCAGGAACTATTCCATGTACTCCCTTGCCACACCACGTAATGCGCCTCTTTTACATTCATCGGGGGACCTTCATCACGATCCGGATACGTCCATGAATGCGACCGTATACCCCTTTCCATACCAGCGAGACCACGCTCGTTCCTTCGTGCCGTCAGGTCAGACTACACCCAGCATGTCCCACCGTGCTCTTCAGGACACTCACAGTTTACCCCGCACTTTGACAAGCCTGCAAGGGGACTCTTCCATCGGCGCTCACTCCCCCAATTCTGCGCCATATAGTGATACAGGCATGTCGTCGGTGCCGTCATCTGCTCGTGGGAAGGGTTCCATGACTGTTATGAGTGCTCCCACACGCTTCATTATTCATACGGATGCAGAAGACGTTCCGCCTGCCGCACCGCAGGTCATCGAACTCCCACCACAATACTCAGAAAGGCCAGGGTCCGGACTGCAACAATCACAATCACGGCCTCTGTCGTCAGGAACTGAGTACGGAGACACGGAGCTTGCCTATGCGTCGAACGCCATAGACGCAAATTCCGATTTTCGGCCACCTCACTCGCCACCATAGCCATGCCCACCTTACTTACATTCAGAAAAAACCGGACTATTTGGATACATAGCGTAGCGCTTCTTTCTGGCTAACTTATTGGGCTCCCGTTCTCTTCCATAGTTTTCAGCCCACGCTCGTTCCCGTTCCCCTCGCAGATATTTGTGGACATTCCTAGCGGCTTTGCTATTTCACTATGTACTCTTAGCAGGCCAATTAGGCGGGGAGAACGATAAGATCGCACACTCAGCAGAATCTCCACAGGTGCATACCTACATTTCCTTTGCTCCTTAAAAATATAGCATGGTAAAGGACAGCGAAGAAATGAAAGTCTGTAAGAAATACATAACAACTGCACTGAGGCCCCTAGTGAAAGGGCTGGCCTCACATCCCCCCAAATACTTTCCGAGGGACTATACTTCAGCCACCAGTCGGAGGTAACCTTCATGAATTTGACTCTACATCTTCATCCAAGTGCTGTCTAGAAAAGGCATCAATCATGGCGTCGTGGTCTTTGCGTCGCTTGTGCCTTCTCCGTCTGTCTTCCTTTATAGTGCGCTCAATGCGCCGGCGGACTTTGGCATGGGTTCTAGGGTCAATGACAGCTAGGCTGCACTTGTAACACGCAAGTTCGACACTTGCAAGTAGACGGAGTGTCTCCGAATTATTCAATGCCTAACATAGCTGTGAGAAGCCGACCAAAACAGTACCAACAAGTGATGCACTAACATTCAAAGACCAAGAAACGACACTGCCGCCCTCGATACAACCGATCACGACAAAATTGCCGCGTTTTTCAGCTTGCAGATCGGACACCTAAGGGTTTCCATTTAGAACAAGATTGGTCAATCCGAACATACACCTTGACCTCTCCGAAGACTACGAGAACCTTTCCCGAAGACATGGACCGCACCACTAGAAGGACATGTAGACATAGCGGAGTACAAGATCGTCTCCACACTTACCCACTCGGGAGTTTTGACCCATGAACTCTTGGGAGACCAGCGCACGTCCCAAGTACACCCACGAGTCCCTCTCCGGTCGTCTGACATGGACCTTGACCTGGATGTCTTTAAACTCTCGACTAGGCTGTGCCACTGCTGCGAGACGGACACCACAAGTTTCAATGATCGTGGAGAAATGTTAGTGTGCCACTATATTGCTGAAAGTATCGGTACGTACAGCCTGCAGGCTTGTCATAGGTCACCGTTACTTGACCCTCGGATACTTGTAATGGGGTATCCGCCATTACAGCGTCTTCGTCCATCTGTGCGAAACTGTATCAGCGACACGATGACACTAATATGCAGGCCTAAATCAGGCATACTTGGTGTCTGGGTTATATCCAAGAAGTGTGGCAGAAGACGTAGTTAACACCCTGCCACCATTATAACCCAGGTGTTTGATAGCTCGTTTACACCACGTGACAGCCTGTATGGTATGTGGAACTCAAACTCAGTACTTAAGCGGAATCTACCATAGCTAATGATTTCGCTTTTACATAGCCGAGTGCTCAATGGTGCTTTTTCCTAGTCAAAGGGCAGAGTGTTGTGTTGCGTTTGTGTTCATCACAATCAGCAGACTACAACGCGTTGCTCTTTCTCGCATGGAACAATATTGCCGTTCTTTGAGCCACCGATATCGATGAAAGACTTAGCAGATGTATAAGAAGGTGAGTCGGGGGGGAATGATCTGACAGCTCATTATGAGGACGACCACAATCCGCGCTTGCTATCCTCGACCACTGACCGTAGACTCCTCCGGGAGTTCTTTCGAGCTAACTTCGTCCCAGCTCGCGCATGAAGATGAGGTGGACGCTCAAAGATATGAGATCATCAAAGATGACAAGGTCCTTGAGGCACACGAGAAGAAAGTGAGGCCATACAGTTTGTTCACCAAAAAATCACTCACGCTCCAAAAGCGAGACCAAGAAGATGACGATTTCTATCTCGATCCACAGGAACTCTATAACCAGGGCTCTTCTCAAAGCACAGACATCTCCAGCGACAGCAGCCTCTCTGGAATGTATAGAAGCGCTGGTTCCACCGAAGAAGAGGACTCGGAAATGGAGACCGACAGCTTTCCGGAGGGCTCCTCTTCGGGCCGTGCTAGCCCAGCGCCCGTAGATCAGCGCACTCCGGAACAGGCTCTTTGTGAGGACAAAGAAATAACTAGGGAGAAGATAAAATTAATCCATAAGGCGCTGTACCAGGATCCTCATGAAATCCTCAGCCCAGATCGACGGAGGTTCGCGAAAGCGCTAATCGCAATCCTTTATGGACTGACGGTGGGAGAGATGGAAATGGTAGATAGGTGGATCATACGAAATCGAGAGCAACTAAAGTTGTGGCCTAATAGGGCATGAAAGCATTAGGATGTTACAGTGCAATGCTTGTATGTCATGAATCTCATGTTAACGAGGTCCGGAAAATCCAGATGTCTCGGAAGATTGATACACTATCTCGGTTCGAGGGGAAGGCAGTAACCGGCCGCAAGGCAAAGATTGCGTGGCGTGAAGTGAACATTGATTACCGGAGTCCGCTTTGTGGGGAAAGTTGCAAGTAGGTCAGTGCTGTTGTGAGGTGAGAGACCCCGCTTCAGTGAAGGAGATGATTCATACGTTTCATTGCTCTCCTCCGCCGGCCGGAGTGTTTGTGGTTCATCCACTCCATTTTCGTGAGGTTTCACTTGACTTCCAGCGCCCCTCACGTCCCAACAGCGCACTGTCCAATCGGCACCCCCACTGACCAATAACGAAGATTCAGCGCTAAATGACAAAGAGTATATGGAAGCAGCATGGCCAGTCATTTTCTTGATGCGGCGACCGGAGCCAAGATCCCAAAGATTAATTGCCAGATCTTCACCCGCACTCGCGAGGTACCGGCCATCTGGGCTAATGGCTAGGGCGGATAATGTCCCCTGGTGGCCAATAAACACCCTGACGCAAGTTCCGCGTTGGACATCCCAAAGGCGGGCGGTCCAATCATCAGAGCCAGTGGCTAGGTACAACGAATTGGGATGAAAGCGCACACACTTTTGACGGATTAACAAGGCAATACGTCATCCCATTGACTGCACTTACATCTACATCGCTTAAATGTCCAACGTATAATCGCAAGGCAGAGGTACGATCCGTCGACCACAGCCTTGCTGTTCGATCTCGACTAGCAGTTGCAAAATATGTACCCATGGGGCTCCACTGCACGTCCCAGACTGGGTTTTGGTGACCGTGGTAGGCGACCACGTTTGTCATAGTATCAAGGGACCAGAGTCGGGTGGTTGCGTCAGCAGATGCAGAGAGTAAATATTTTGGGGGCGCTGCAGAACCACCGAGGGGATCGAATGAGAGAGAGTATACAGGACCACTATGTCCGATCAGCTTCCGTGTGTTGCTCCCATCCGGTTCTAGCAATCGTGAAATACCACTAGCTGAAGAGCAAGGTGGTCAGATTCGTGGGGACACACCATGCTACCATCTTACAGTCTGCTACGTCCGGTGAGGCATCACTACGCAGTCCCCTCAGCTTTTCGCCCTTCAGACTCCATAATCGAATGTAACTTTCAGAGAATCCCGCTGCCATCAGGCTGATGTCAGAGGAGAAAGTGCAGCATGGTACTCTGTTATGGAATGAACCAAAGAAGAGAAAACCCGATGAGCTACCGACACGTACCCTTCTCCAACATCATGCATGGTGTAGGCGCAGATACTGGGTAAGGCTTTCGACCGTGCGGACGTGCTTTGGGTAGAGTTCATATCCATCGAGCTCATAGCTGAGGGGTCAAGCCGTATCCGCTTTCTTGCATCACGCACTTTTTCTACCTCCCTCTGCACATCAATCGTTTTAAACGAAGGGGGGTGTGGGAGTAAATCAGCCTCGGTGGGTGAAACAATACCAGGCAAGGCCTGTGGACGAGTGAAATGTGCGTCATATTGGGCACTGGGATCACGATCTAGCATCGCTTGTTCTCGGAGGATGCGTTCCGCCTCCGCTCGAAGCTCCTCAGAGGTAGGAGCTGGACCGAGCTTCAGTTCACCTTTGGAAGTGTTAAAAGTGTGTGGATTCGGCACAGCCGATGAACCATTCGGCTGAGCGATTGCAGGAATGAGCGATGACAGGAGCCCAGTGGATTCCTCCCATGCATTGGGAGATACCGACGTCGCACTCGCGTTTGTGACTGGCGAGGTGCATAAGCATTGCAAGTACAAGGCCAAACACAACTTACCGTCAAAGCGCAAATGGTTATTTACAACGCGCATGACTGCTGCCCGTCCTCGCTTCCCTTTTTCGCCGGAAAAGCCCTCACCTGCACCGGGTGTTTCTCCACCCACACCTTCCGTTAACCAACCTATTAGGAGGCTGAAACCAGACCGGCTCATCCTTATAACGTATTTCTCGTTGCGAAAACGCTGTGCTAGGTCATCATTTTGGACGTGCGACGGCAACATCAAGGTTGACAGGTGATGTAAAGTCACATTATGGGTTGGTGCCAAGGATGGGGAAAAAGTTGCATGAAAATGAAGTGCTGAGGAGACGTTCAATACAATTCACAAGAAAGAGAGCAGGAAACGGACCTGCCTCCTTAAAGCCTTTTTGGACTAAATCAAGGTAGAAGTGACAGAATATCGGGAAAAGCATCGGAAGAAACTCAGGCTGGAAAGAAATCAGACCATGCAGAATTCCGGACCCGACGTGATGTCACCTTGTACATGTCCAACGACCCTTCCACCCATGATTCGAGTTCTCTGAACCCTTCGTGTTTATCGGTGGGGTCAAGTGAGAGTATTTCTTCGGCGCCAGCAGTACCGAGGCTTGCGATCAGAGTTTGAATACTCGAAGGATTTCCCATCGTGCTCAACTCTTGGAGAACGCTTGAGCTGTCCTTCAAGACATTTTCGCCAGGCCGCGATGGCTTCTGTGCAAACACTGCTAAACCCTTAATCAAATCGTCGGACGACAGTGTATTCCCGGAGACTTCAGTGCTTCCACTCTCGATTGCTTCGAGCAACGCAGCTTCTGCACTTTTGTGACCACGAGCACGCAGATACTCCAGCACGAGTCGATCAACTGGGTTCGCACTCTGCGCGGCATCTTGAGCGTTTGCGTTTGCGGTGGACGGAGAAACCCCTGTGGAAGACGGGGCAGGCGTATTAGACGACATATGAGCGCGTTGTACTCGCTATGAAGTTGAGGAGACCACTTGAAAACAACATATTACATAAGTGCATCGCGGCCCCTGTATTGGATTGAAAACAACTACGTCCGTGTAGTCTATCAACGGGTTTTCAATGCTAATTTAACTGGTCATCGAACAGACAGAAACACCGCCATCAATGTGTCGGGTTTTCTCACTGCTTGAAGGTGGTTACATAACTTAAGCACTGTGTATGCCCTCTGATCTACGGTTTTCCTTAGTAAGCTGGCGGTCTAGACGTTGAAGGACATTATCAATACATCAGGCAGCTTAAGCTGCAGCGTATAGAGATACATTTGACGACCGTAATTAACAGTAACATTACACAGATTCAGATTGTGAATCAGAAATGCTCCTAGGTAATGTCGCATTATCTGCACTTGGCTGTGCTAGGTATAGGTGTGGATGCCTACCTTTGAAAAGGAAAATGCAACACTCTGAGTGGTGCGTTGCTGGGTAGCCTCCTTGATGGCTGCGGCGAGAGCGCTGGGTCCACAGAAGTATGTCTGGATCTGTATTAAGAAGAAACTTCTAATGACATTTAGGGCGGACGCACACCGACTCTAGTCCTTAATTGAGCTTCGCGACCAGGAAGATACTGCCCGAATTCGATGGCTTCTTGCATGCGACGATAAATGCGCTTCCAGTCGGGACGTCCAAACATAGTGCGAGTATGAAGCAAGGTGAGAGGGTCGTACTCCGCACCAGGATCATTAACTACTATGTTCCAGAACATATTCTCTTTGACCTTTTGTGTCAAGTAGATGTTGATGCGGAGGAAATTTGCTATCAGGAAAATAACGTGAGTAGATAGACACATGACCAATTCAGCAACGTACGGTCGGACTGAGAGAGTTCGATTTCGTGAAGAAGGGATTGGAACCATCCAAACGAAGGTGCGTCGCGGCAAACCCAGAAAAATTCCACCTTGCGAAGTGAGCCCACGCTCCCCCTCTGTTGCCGATACCAAATGTGTCTAAGAATCGAGGCAAACGGCGTGACTCCTTAGAAAAATGTTGATGAGCAGAAAAAAAGCAAAGATTCTGGAAACATACCAATTCCCGCACCAATCAGAATGGCCACTTCGTTATCAAATACGTCCTCTGCAGGCGCACCATATGGGCCGTCAATACGGACACGAGGCGAAGGACGAGTGACAGAGTCTGTGTCTAACTCAACGAAGTCGCGGCGAGTTCCTGTGAACCCGTCCTCTTTCTCGACTCCGTCCATAGCTACCTTTGTCATTGCAGCAACAACTGGCGGACCACATCCAAGGCGCTCGCCGAGGGCCTGAGTCCAGTCACCTACTTGACGAATATGAACAGATACGTATGGGTCTTCAGGCGCGGAGGTTATGGTGAACTACCACGACACATCAGTGAACGGCAACAATCGATCTGCATCCCCGAAGTTGACATACAGGGTGCCATTGCCATCTAGATAATTCGGGGACTTGGAGGAAAAGCCACTGGCCGGCAGTGTACTTGAAGTCAGGCTTGATTATCCGTAGTTCCATGGCGCCGCTCGGGTGCACGAGCACCTTAGATAGTGTTGTTTCTCTCCTGGCACGATACTCGCGATATATCCTCTCAACAAAGTATGCGATTCCAGGCCAAATAATGAACCTCCAGCTCTCATAGCCAAGGCAGTGCTGAGTTGAGTAAAAAGGAAAAGACTTGATGTAGTCCGGTTGCACAGAATCGCGGACAAAGCACCCAGTTGCGTGTGAGTAAAGCGCAAGGAAAAAGAAGAATGCCAGATGATGAGTGTACCAGAAGGCTTCGAAGCACTGGTGGCGAATTTTGTGGTGAGCAGTGGTGTACATCAACAGCATGATGAACAGCATGAAATGGCCAGTGATACCACCCGCTTGGGTGTAGTGGATATCTAGGGCAGACAGGCGACGAACCTCTAGCAGGGCGTCAAGGACACGAATGAAAATAGCGACAGCACTCACGCGTTCGCTCGACGTTGAAGAAGTTGACATAGTGTGCGGTAGTATGCACCATTGCCCAGAATGCTAAGGAATAGGCGACCTGGCGATGAAACCAGATATTTTCATCTATAGGCAATAGCCATCTGAGCTTGGGGCGGACGACGCGGATGACATTGCGCAGCATCGGTATGAGCAGAAGGCCGGCATCGAAGGCAAGAGTCAACCCTGCACCCCGAGAAACCCAAACTGAGTAGGTTAGTTGGTTAAGCGCAGCCAACCGTTTGTCAGTTTCCTTTGGAGATGATGAGGAACGAGAGTGCAAAAGGTGAGGATTCCGACGAACCTGCAGGTACCAGCCCACAGCAAATATAGCCAATTGAGTGCCGTAGAAAAGGACATTGAAAAAAAGACGCCTGGGAGTGAGGAATTCCCTTCGGAACCAAGATTTGATCATGGCTAACACTCCTGGGCTCATCGGAACTAAGAGAGAAGATGAGAGAAGATGAGAACTTTGACTGAGACCGGATCTGAGACTGCAGAGTGCCGCCCATGACGCTCTACGGCCCGATCCGATTTTCAAAATCGATAGCTCATTGCGGTAGAGGCTGTTGGACTGACCCACGTCAGCAATATTATTCACGGCCGATCAACTGCCATAAAAGGTAAGAAGTTAGGGTGGCTGTGAGGTTTGGGCACGGCCCCATCGACGCGTTGCAGCTTCGTCTTGTCGATGACCATGCCGCTCGCCCTTCCACCCACCACCTCAGTCTCAACCAAGGCCAAACACGTTACCGTGTTTAGTTCCGACCAGGTCGCATCGAAGCCAAGCTCAGTAGTGGACTTATCGAGCCTCCAGGATGCAAGTCGCGTTCTGCACGAGCAACTTGTAAAGGATTCTCAAATTATACCTGACCTCGGCGAATTGCTGTTGGGTACGTTTCTACCTCCGCTCTCCTTCATTTTCTAATCTTTCCACGAAACAGCTGGAGGAGCTTCCTCCGCATCATACAGTGTGTTCCCTGACGACTACCGGGTCCCTTTTCAAAAACGGAGACTCGTCGGTATCCCGGAAGCTTTGTTCCAATACTATAACAGTATGACGTTTATTTTGCATGCTGCTGCCCGGGTTTGACTTGTACATAGCCACCAATGTCACCTCACACATGGGACTTCTACCCGAAATCGAGCGCGTTTGGATATCCATAGACCACAAACTATTTCTCTGGGACTACATTGAGGGGTAGGTCAAGCAGAACTCAGTGATCATCGCTGATTTTCTGGTTATAGGCAAGACATTAGTTCATTCGTGGACCAGCCAGACGTCATCACCAGCGTGGCCGTCGTCAAACCCACACCAGGTGTATTCGTCGACGAAATCACCTCAGTGATGGTAATATGCACCCCCGTATCTATCCTTCTCGTCGGCCTCTCGGCATCGTCTGTTGTAGGACCAAATAACCGACGGCGTAAAGAGATCAGGATGTACGCCACAGACATGTCCATATCGACTGATGTAGAAATGTCGTCTGTCGCTGGATCCCATGACGGCAGAATATTTATGTGCGGCTCGCAGGATGGCTGCCTGTACGAATTGCACTATCAACAGAGCGAGTCGTGGTTCGGGAAGAGAGTGCAGCTCATCAACCACTCAGTGGGAGGGGTGCAAAGTTTATTCCCTCGTTTTACTTCATCTAAACATGAAGGTATGCAACAGTTTTGTTCCAAATTGGCTAACTCCAACGGCGGGTCAGACCGTATCTTGTCAGTAGTATTCGACGTGAACCGCAAGTGCCTATATACGCTCACGGCGAAAAATTCAATCTCTGTTTATCAGCTAGGTGGCGAAAAGACTCTCCACCACATACAAACCATGTCCAATCTTTACAAGGCTGCACAAGACAAAGCTCCTAGCTCCCCCGCACTTGCCCCATCACACTTCCAAGTCGTTTCTCTGCATGTAGTCAACCCCGACGAGTCCCGGACGGGCGTACAGCTCATTGGTGTGACAATGAATGGTGTACGATTGTACTTCTCCCCTGCCACCTACGGATTTTCGCACGTTCCCAGTTCAAACCTTAGAGAGTCCCTCCGTCCCTTGCAGCTCACCCACGTTCGCCTCCCGCCCTCGAATCTATATCATCCTGACGAGCTGTCGCATCCATATCGCCCCACTGCTTCTTCGTACAATCCTGCCCGGGGAGTGCCTCCTCCACCTCCCTCCCGCCCATTTGTTGTGTCGGGGATCGAAAATTCTTGTTATGTGGATGGCTTGATGATTTCGGCGCAGCCCGGGGATGCTGAGGGGACTGACTTTTTACTGTGTACTGCCCCAGACCTGACAAGAATAGGCGCTCTCGGGCAGGTACAGACCGCACAACATCAGTATCCTGCCGCCTCTCAGCCTTCCGTATATGGTGCATCATATGCTTCAGGTGGGACTCAGCGCCCACCTCTGGTAGAGTATGCAACGTTACTAGCCATCCCTGGTCGGACATGGGCGACGGCTAGTGTTCCAAGGTCGCCATCTACGTCATCTTTGTCTCCCTCTCCTTCTACTATAAACGAACTTGCATCGCAGTTTTCTGAGCCCTCGCGACAGTTTATGATCCTTACAAATGTCGGGCTGACTTTCCTTGTTAAAAGGCGGTCACTGGACTACCTGAAAGCCGTTGTAGAGGAAGTCCTGTCTGAAGGCGCGGTACAGCCGATCATTGAGTTCAGAGACAGGTGGGTTCTGTGGTACATTCCGAATGCTCATGAAACTGACTGACAGCTAAAAGTTTCGGGAGAGATCAGACGTGTGCTATGCTTCTTGGCCTCGCTTCCGGAAATACCTTCTTGGACAGTGGTGACCAAGCTACAGTGGGTACTCTATATACGCCCAGTCCTGATGTCGCGAATATCGCCAAGCAAGCCTTCTATGATTTTGGGGAGCGGCCGATATGGACGGAGAGAGTGACGTACGGTACGAGTGAGTCAGCTTGTCACCTCATCTGGGTGTGGGTATGTGACCGCCTACCTTCAGGCGAAGCTTCGGGAAGTGCTATCTTCAGTGGTCGCAGAGAAGGGTTTGCGATCTACTTCGCTCGTCTAGTCAGGCCCATCTGGAAGGATAAGATCACTAAATCTGGGTATATGGCCTTCGTCTACATCTGTGAATGACTCTTATCGTTCGCGCAGGTCTTTAGGGTTACATGAACTAAACGTTCAGGACAACCTGCTGGCAACAATTCAAAAGAATCTGTATGCGCTGAGGGAGTTTTTGGAAAAGAACCCCCATCTTTTCCACTCCACGCCCGGCGATCCTGCAGCGTCGCGCAGCCCAGCGGGGCATGAGCAAGAAGCATGGAAGGTTCACTCATTCTTTCATCCTCGTGGAATGTCCTAACCGTTTTCGCAGGCAGAGCAAAGTTCGGTAGCTCAATTGCTATCACTCCTAACGAGAACGATCGAGGCGATCTCATTCGTGTTGCTACTGAACGATTATCGATTAGGCGAACTCATAACGAGGTGAGTTCTGACAACCCGCCTCAAGGGCCTAATTTTGATTACCGTACAAGATGCGACTCCGATACCCAGAAGCTCATCACCTCTATGACTTACGAAGACCTGATAACCACCCAGAACGGATTGAATGTATCCCGAGCACTTGTCAACGTAGTTATTGATCAACAAATTGGTCAGCAAATTAGTGTAAGTCTGTTATACCGCTTGTAGCAGCAATCGTGACCTGTTTCATAGGTTGATACTATCAGTGAAGTTCTGCAACAGAGGTGTGGTTCCTTCTGCAGCGCGGATGACGTTATGCTATACAAGGTATATAGCCCTATTGCAAATGTCACTCCGACTTTTCTGATATAGCTTGGTAGGCGAGAGAAGATGTCCGCAAAGCTGTGGAATCTCGCAATCCCGCTGAGCGCCAGAACTGGCTCGGAGAATCGCTGAGGTGAGAAAATATGTCTTAGTCTGTATTTGATCTAAAGGACTGGTAGGTTGTTTGCCAAGGGTGCCCGGGTCTTAGAATTCGACAAAATCCGGGAGGTCTGTACCGAGTATCAACAGTTGGGTTATGCAAAAGGTGTGTCGCTCGGGTTGAAGTTGTAGGCTGTCCTAACGCCTTTTAGGTGCCGTTGAATTGCCGTTATATTGCGCATTGGCCCTTGATCCCGACGGTATCGGGCTTGAATACTGGTTAACGGGTTGTCCGCCAAATGACGATCGTTCGGAACTTGCAAAAAAACGGAGCAATTGTTACCAACTCGTATTGGAGTCCCTGAATGGCTTTGAAGAGAAGGCTTTACAGCACTCCTCGTCAAACGTCGTTTCCGCCGAAAGTCCTGAAACCGTGAGGGATCATGCGTTTGAACTTGCATTTGCTAGTGAAGACGAAATGTTCCACTCGACGCTTTACGACTGGTTGATTGAGAAGGGCCATACCGACGATTTGCTGGCGGTATGTGTAATCGTTCCGCTCCGTCCCTCCGGTGCCTCATAGGAAACGCGTACAGATGAGGCCCATGTTCCTTGAGGCCCATCTTCGGCGAGAGCCTGCGACTGTTTCAAAATACCAACTGCTATGGCAATTCTATGTCAAAGATGGACAGCCGCTGCGGGCAGCTGAAGTCCTCGCTGCCTTGGCGGAGTCTCAGAAGTACGTTCAAAGTTTACTCCTGTTGGATTCTATTTACTCTACCACTTCAGCTTTGACGTCACCCTGGATACACGATTGGAGTCCCTGATCCTTGCTGTTGGCAATGCAAAATCGCACCCCGTGACTGCGAATGGCAGACACGAGACGGCAATCGCATTCTTGACTGATCTTGAAGAGAAACTCGATGTAGCTCAAGTGCAACTAGAAATCTACAATTCCCTTCTTCCTCATATCAATGACCCAGGGGAAGATGGCGAGAAGATACGCCACCTGGGTAAGCACTTATTGACAATGTCACAGGTAAGACTTTCTGGAATGTTGTCGAGCTGTCTAGATTTTCTGGCTGTCGAGCGTAGCTTTACCAATCATATGCGGAACCCTTCGACCTACCTGTTATGAAACTTCTCATACTCCACGTATCAGAGCACCGGGATGACCATCTCGTCTGTTCGATTTGGGACAGGATATTTGAAGATGGTATGGGTGATCCTATTTGTTTGTGCCAACCTAATGCCTTTCGTCAGCTTTGGAAAAGGACACAGATCCCGAAACGAATGCGGATCATCTCGTAGCAAACGTTGTACCTCTTGGGAAACGGTTCTATCCGTCGGAATATGCTTTCCCGTTACGTAAGTTCTATGTCACTTTCAGCGCTACAGCCTCGTTCCAACCTTTCTCGGTACAGGACATATTGCGTCATCGCTCATGAGGTTCTCGTTGAAGTACTTGGCCCAGCTTCCTAAAGGTTGGACTCCCCGAGTTTTGGTACAATGTGATGTTCCATACTCTGAGGTATGGGAAGTACTGCATGACATGTATGAATCACATGTGAGTGGCTCCTTGACTCCGCTATCAAGACCATAGCTCAATGCCTATGAGACAAGATTCCGCCATTCAACCAGCAAAAGAGTGTCCAGGCTATATCTTCCGACATCGCTGTTCTACTGAGAGACTGGGTAGAAGAAGCCAAACGACCCCAGTCATCGGTTGTACGCCGAGAACTGCCCGTGGGGCGGATAGACGCAGGGATCGGGCAATACCTTAGCGAGCTGGACTCTAGTAGTACAGATACCAAGATGGTCTACGAAGGTATTAGACGAGAACTTCGGCGAAACTGGTGAAGTAGCTGTCAACTAGGTTACAATGATAAGAAAATATACCTAGTAGTGGAAGTCCCTGAGCTTATATCCCACTTCAACCTGACTCGAGTCAGGAATGCGGCAACACTTCAATTTACTTCCAGGATGACATTCTCTGCGTAAAGCAGAAGGCGTTCTGTCATTTTCCTTGTCAAACAATATACCTTGTACAATGCTCTGGAGACATGAGTGAGTAACAAGACACCACAGATTTCATTGCTGCCTACCTTAAAGCTCCGATCACGATGAATGCCACGATGATAGCAGCTGCCATGTCTCTACTGCTTCCTCTTCTGCTTCTGTTACCTCTCCATCTTGCAACCCATTGCAAAGGAGCGAGAACGGGCATAGAGAACAACATGTGGATCAAGGACCCTGCTCCTATCATGGGCAGACCCAAGACAAATCTGCGAATGAAACGTTTGAGTAGACCAGGGGTTTCTGGCGCGCGTAAGGTGACCCTCGAATTCAAGGGTACGGGATAGTCCTCAGTGGTCAAAATACCCTGGTCACGTAGTATACGAATGGCCGCACGCATCAGGTCCTGACCAACGTCGATTGGGGATATGAAAAAGTAGGTGGACCCGAAGGTTGGCTGTTCCTCAATGTAGCTCAGAAAGTATGTGGTGATGAATGATGAGCACATAACCAGTATGGTGAATAAAAGGGATGAAAGAATGCCGATTGCCACTGTGTGAAGATGTGAGCAACAAAGGAGAGCACGATAACCGCGGAGTGTCACGCACGCGGATTTGTTGCCAGCCCCACAACCTCGGTGCGGGCGAAGCGGTAGTGGAACCTGCATTGCGGACAACGATAGAACGCGTTATCCCCTGAGGACTGTGTTCTCCATCTCTGCAGGCACTTGACGTGGACATACTGAAATAGTGATGAGTTTTGGATGAAATAGCATCATATTGAATACTCACGCTTATGGAACCAGTACAGAGGCAGGGTTTGATGAGTCTACCCAGTGTTGGATCCTCTCCGTCGAAGCATATCCTGCAGGTCTTGTCCTGCTGGGTTGGCTGGGGTTTGTCACGAGACTGACTGTCGTCTTGCATGCTATTCAAGTGTGGGCAGGACGGCAGTCGCCAAACCAAATATGGTCAATGTAGTGATGTTCCATTATGTAATCTCATGCCGCTCCGACATATGATTGACGTGAGTCGAAAGGGGACTTGGAATGGGACTGTTTTCTGTTTCTGTTGGGCTCCTGCTCAACGTGCCCACACGTACGCTGGAAATTCATACCCCGGCTACTCGGAACTTCGCTTGGCCGCAGTTCACGCCTCTGTCTCACCAGGAATCGTTTTAGATCGCTCATCCTTATTTCACGCCACCCTGCACTCACCATCGCGTTCACCAGAAACGTGAATGGGGCCAGAGCATCATTTTACGTCTGCTGTACTGCTCATTATCTCGGCATTCCAACGGTACTTTTCCTGCCGCACCCCATGTCGGACAATGGCCCGTGCTAAACAAGTAAAACGTGCGGGTAGAGGTCCACTCTGACACCGATTCATTCGTGGTCTGCAGCATTGCACACTTGCCCCCTGCTATTGGGACGCCAGCATCGAGTGCCACCTCACCCCTACCGGTTGATCTGGATGTGCTTTCGTGCCCTGTACAAATATGCATGGGCACATATCCGCTTTTGGTTTCATTCCCTTTGCTCTGTATCTTGCGTTGAGCTTGACCTTTTGGACGACAAGAGCGGCAAATTCGGGTTTGATCCGACTGGAAAAGCGGCGTCGCTCCTGGTGAACCCTGCTGCATATTCTTATCACAGGCTTTTATGACAGTCGATGGTCCCTTTCAAAGGTAAGCTCCGCTGGATATCTCAGGCTAGCCTGTGCTGTGGGACTGTTCCTTTTTATTATGCTTATTGATCGGTTGATACAATGTTTTCCGCATTGCAGCTAGCAAGCCGTCGTGTAAAACGCGTGCCGCTCTTTGGCGCTTTAACGAAGCGTCTTCACCGTAAGACGGAATAAAATGTAGTTTGGGAGCACCTAATGCCAAAGTGTTGTGGTACGTATCTCCATGACGAACTCAGCCTGACTGACATGGCACTGAGGTACAGTCTACTGACGGAGGTTCGTTCTGACAGCGATGACTGGCATGATATTGAGAGTAAATCTACAAACTCATGGAGGTTTATTCTGACAACGATCACATCATTCCAGACGATCGGGGTACCTACCGCCGCAGATAAGTATGGTTGTCTTCGGGGTCGAAGCAGTCAATCATATGTGATGGCACATTTTTTTCCATACTTGATCTGCACCCCATTTCACAAAACACCGGTAAGAGCGGAGTTTCTCCATGCACGACATGAACTTTAGCTGGGATAGACCTTTGGGAATTACGCCAGTTAAGTGCAGTCATTTATTCCCCGCCAAGTCGGCAAAGAACCAAGTCTCAGAATACTACCAGTGGTCTTGAGGTGCGAAGACCCCCTGGGCGGAGCGTTACGGGTACTTATTCCTGTTTTTAGATCAAAATGGACCTACTTTGAAGCTAACGTTGTCGACCAAGTCCGTTTCCCCATCGGCTCTTTGGAATAAACTCGGGAATCCCCGCCCTGGCCAAGCTGAAGTGCTTCGCTAGTGCTTAATCGACCATGAAAGAGGCCCATCTTTCGATTTAAACGGAAACCTCGTCTGCCCTGACGCTCACGCCTGCTTAGGCCCACAGATCTTTCCCCTAGTGGAACTAAATCGTCGTCCAGCGGTATCTTACATATATATATATATTCTTTTTCAAGCGGATAACGATCTTTGAAGTGGATCTAGCCCCAATCGAATGGGATTTCCGGGTCTGATCCTACCCCTTAAATATCCTCTCCCAACTAGTGAGTGCTCCCCATTCGAAATGGAGTCAGAACTAACTTCGCTCCCTACCACGGATCAGATTCTCGCTCTCTCTTGTACGAACGTGGGCGTAGGTCCCGGGGGGACGACAGCTATGCTTGCGTGCGTGTTCTGATAGCTGTGATGTCCGGTGCCTCATTCATCGTTCATAGTCGCGTCGCGATTGTTGACTACAAGGGCGACGTCGTATTGAACACCTTCGTAGCTCCAACTATGGAGGTCAGTGACTATAGGACTACAACAACGGGGATCGAACCTTCACATCTCTTGTCCCGTAAGTCACGATGTCTGCTCTCGAATACAATGCAATACGAAATGTTCTGCGAAATAGCTGAAATCCCGTCGTTTGATCGAGTCCAGCAGCACATTGCGGACCTTATTAAAGGAAAGATAATTGTCGGCCACAGTCTCTGGCACGACCTGTCAGGTGAGGGCCATGGATTGTTCCTACAGCTCTCTGTGCTTACAGTGCTATAGTCCTAGGTATCGCGCATCCCGCCGTGGGCACGAGGGATGTTGCATTGTATCAACCTTTTAAGAATGCACTTCGCTCTCCAAATCAAGTGGTTGGGCTTCAAACCCTCATGTGGCATCTCATGCGTCGCCGTTGCCAAGACGGTCATTTACATCCCGTAGGTCTTTTAAAGGCTTTTTTTTTACGTCTAGTTGTCTTTGATGCCCGGATCACGGAATTGCTAAACACCATTACTTTCACAGGTGGAAAACTCTCGTGCAGCGCTCGATTTATACCGCACCGTTGCACCTGAGTGGGAGGGCGAGGTCTCAGCAGGCAATTGGCCGTGCTCCCTTCCACCAAGTAGCTTTTCCCGCTGTTATCTGTAACGTGCTTCTAACTGTCCAATTACTTCTTTTACCTCTCGTCACCTTGTCGAAATGAACGCTTGCTCATTGGTCCATATTGTACAACCACCTATGCTGTAACAATACTAAGTGCACCTTCTTGCGGTATCTACTTTTGAGCGCTATCTCACTTCTGTAACATGTTGAGTCGAGCGACCTCTAAAATGGGGGTAAACGGCTCCGACTACCACAAGATTTGGGTAAAAACAGAGGGCTATAATAATGGTTGTTTTTGGCTGTCGCTTCGTTCCTTCATCCGCAGGAATTTCTTCTCCAGCAACGACCATCTCCGGTTCTCTACACCCTCACGACTAAAATAACTTCGAAGTGGCCATCTTCGTTGCGCCTTGTACGAGGACCACGAAGGGGGATCTCCAAATACTTCGATTTGCAACCTCCATCCGTGCTTAATCATGCGAGCCGTTTTCTCGCTTCGAAGGATATCTTCTGCAATGTCTAAACGGCCTTCTTTCAAAGCAAGGCTGACAACACGTCTCCTGACCATGCCAGACTCGATATGTGGTCCCCACTGTTGCCGAAATTTTCGCAAACACTGGAGAGCTAGCGTCCCACAGCGACGGGAACCGCGTAAACTTCCTAACAACAGGAATAACGACATCGGTGACGGTTTGAAACTAGGGCAGACACCAAGAAAGTCGAAGAGAATGCGGCGTTGGGTAAAATGACGTGAGAGTCCGTGCTTGATGGGAAGGGTACACATATGTAGATGAATGATGTTCAGAATCGTCCGTCGATGGCAGGGCCTGATGCGCAATGGAAGGTTCTTCAGATAAGAGGAGGCCATTGAGCATGCAAGTTGTCGATGGCCCGTTTCTATCATTATGCGTGAGAGAATGAGAATAATCCGTGGTCGAATTTCAGAAGTAAGTAAGGGAAAGGCCTTCATGAGCACTTGGTAATGAAACATGGCTGCAACCGGTGATATATGGGATGGACATGGTCGTAGATTTATCCGCGAGGGTCCCCGTGAACCGCACTTCTCATATCTGACGGCGGCTGAGACCCTACGTCTATCGTAGTATCGAAGAGCACCGCGCTTCTGCGAGCCAAAAAGCTCCAGCCATAGAGGCAGTGGAATGGTATGAGGATGCGGATTGTTTAACTGTAGGCTGCCGGCCCAATAACCGTCGGGAAACGCGGGAAACGCGCTCCCGGGCTTCATCCCATCGGCCTGTGCGTACTAGCCACCTAACAATCAATTTCCACGTTTCCATATTTGCGGGTATGAGCTCCTCTCGCATGGAAAGAAGAAGGCGCATCGCTGTTCCGAATGCTGCATGTCGAATTGCTAGGTTGATAAGAAAGTTGTAGGAACGTGCAGACCGGAAAGCTTTAGGGTAACGAAAATGGTAGTTTATTGCAGTTTTCATGGAGTGTGAATTGGACGCGGTGATCCGCAAAAGGTTTCGATAAAGTGACTTCTGCGACGTTGGGACAAGAAACTGAGGAATTAAAACATTCTCTCGGGAGGTTGAGGTGACCAGGGGCGTGCTCTCTGCAGGAGGGTCTAGGTAACGCATAGGATCTGCCTTCCCTGGGTCTGTCCAGTTCATATCGTGCTCAGATAGTGTGTCTGGATCAATGGACTGGACACCGGTGGGCCCCTGCATAGGAGGAAGCTCAGTTACCCTGGGTTTGTGAAGGAAGCGCGAAGAGGGAATGAGGACGCGGTGACTAGAACCGGGCGTATCCAGCCTTCTCTTGGTAGTCAAGCGGATGTCGCTGATATGAGCGCGTCGAGTCCATGCACGGGCAGCGGCGGACTGCAAGACCGATGACAACGGTGTCACACTTGGAGTAGAGACCAAATGGGCGGCATGATGAAGCATGCATGAGTAGCAACTGAAAATCCATTGATTACTTGGTTCAAACACTGGCCTCTTTGTACTTACAGCAGTCTCGAAGCTTTGCTGCGACCAGGAAACTTGTGTTCGTAGTTTTCAGAAGTGTTGACGTTTAGACCAAACAGTGCCAAACGATATACTATAACCAGTCATCAACTACTCCTGTCGGGGACACCAGCTTGGCATGAACAGACATGTGTATTGTGCTACAGATAGAACGTGTGATGTGTATCTGACCCTCCGAAGATCCAAGTGAATAAAGGAAGGAAATAAACCACTATAGTCATTAGAGTTCGTCCATTGCCTGCTGCACACTCCGCCCAACCAACCAACCAACCTTGGCTACCCAACGATCCCTTATGTCCTTCATGACACTCCAGCCGTCAGGGCCCCTTGCATCTGCGAATTCATCCAATGTTCTTTCCCATGCGCGGACAGTTTCTCCTCCGAACATCCCTCCCTCGCTGTTAACTACTTCATCTATCCTGTCTATCCAAGTCATCCATTCTTGCGATAGACGGGGCATTAATAGTGGCACAAGCGAAGACTGCGTAAGAGGCGGTTGAGAAAGAATGTGTGTTGTGAGGGCAGAGAGAAATAGGAAAGTTTCGGATGGATGCGATTTGTCTTTATGTTGCAACTGCAGGGTTGTCGAGTGGCTTCGGGAAGAGGAGCCGGAGCCATTGGCAGAAGCTTCAGCAGCGCGAACATAGGAGAAATAAGGCACGTAAGACATGCAGACAGATACAAAGTCATTGATATGTGGTCGCAGCCGAGATAAAATGTAAGATTCTCGCATCTGACTGCCATCAGTTACGCTTTGATGATCAACATTGTTCAGATTCGATTTCTGCGACCCAAATCCGAATCCGAACCCTAGGGAGGGTGTGGTGGAGACAGGTGTGAAGGTTGGCGTACTAGAATATGGATAGGCATCTCGTAATTTTCTGGCGGAGTGGTCCAAAGCTTGTAACGTGATCTCGAGTGTTGGAGGTGGTATCAGGGGTAAAATAAGTGACTTGAGCGAGGGTTGTGCATTGAGCATAGCGTTCAAGAGTGGCAGCAGAGACTGGGGAGGTAAGCTAGCTGCGGAGAGAATTTCAGGGAACCAGGGACGCCCAGCACATGCATGAACATACCAAGTAGAATGCCAACGTCCACGTCTTCCTCTTCATTTCGTTGCTTGCTTTCTTTTGTATTAGATTCGCCGTTTGCATCGGTAGGGTTTGCCACCCTTGCCCGCTTTGGCACCGCACGTCTCGGTCGCTCTGGCGTGGGGCTTCGGTCCATTGTGACATCCCTCCCCGCCTGGCGAAATGAGTCTGGCTCTTCATCCGGCTCGTGACGACGTTTCTGTACCCGTTGAATTTGATGGGGGATATTCATGTGGGAAGTAAGTTGCTGAAAGGCAACTGGTTGTTTGTGTCCAGGTTCTTGCTTGCCTGGATTCATAAAAGGCGGACCGCCAGATAGTGCGAAGCCAAACCCAAACCGTGAGCTGGGGTGGCTGGCAGGGTTATGAAGAAAGTCCAACTGTGGGTGGACAACGTTCGCCATGGTGGTGAGCGATGGCCAGGAATGGTTGATATTGAGGGATGTAATGTCGGTATACGAGTACGAGTACCATCCTTGTCCAGCCCGTTGCAACGCGGCACGACAAAGCCGACCGGCCCTCATTCATGATCACGTGCTATAAAAATTGGTAGTTTGTTCCCAAGCCCATCTTTTTTTCTTTTTCTTTGTCCTGGCGCTTTTCAGAGGTGAGTACGGCTTCCCGGTGGCGACTTCTCGCTGTGACGAGCCAATGAATCGCTACGTCGAAGCCCATATGGGCTTGTGAGTCATCTCTTATACCCAAATTTCTGAGCTTCTTCTGTTCCATTGTAATTCATGTCACTAATCAACGAAGTTATTAGTCCCATCTGCGTCAAGTTTCCTAGAGGTGGGTTAATTTAACCAATCTACTTCCATGTGATGCAATAAAATAGAAGTCAAGCCCTGACCTTGTCCTTGGGGCAAGCGTTGATGAGCATCCATGCTAATACTGATCCTTGCGCATCGAGATTCCGAACTCTTGCTAATCTTGCTTTTCCACAGAATGCCAACGTACACGAAGCACGGTATAGGGATATCGGGCGAATATTAACTATCGTATAATACTATTGTAGGACCCATCATGTCTATAGTCCGTTCTTTTACGAGTTAAGAGTTTGTCCATAACATGTTGGCTATCCACATAAACACGACGGCAAGCCCAACTCTGACTTTCACCTCGAGCTGGCTGTGATTCCAGGCCTTGATAATAGTTGACTGACACTGCGCCACTCGTGTTAAATCTTTTAACCAGTGCTGGGAGTGTACAGAGGTGTCGGTTTCAGGGCAGTCCTCCCCACTACTCGTGGGATCCTCACCTGGCCGCACCAGACGGACAGCTTCTACACACTCACTGGTAGCATGTTCGCTATACCCGTGCCCAGGCACCTCCCGATTGCTCGTCGGTAGCGTTTGGTCGCGTGGATCGCAGACCCACGACGTGATCTCCCCGCTAGCCCATGCAGCTTGATGCGACACGTAGATGAAAACGAGGGATGTGAGAACGAAATTCAGTGGTCGCCATCTGGTACCGGGAATAACGAGAAGAATGCCCTTCGTGTCTCCAGCGAGCCAGAGGTGGAACTGAATGATGAAGGTCTCCAGCGAACACTTTCCTACGAACGCAAAGGCGCGGGACGAGGAAGATCGTAAGAGTGGTGTAGCATTGCGCAGAATGACGAATGCGGTTATCGGTAGAAATGAGATGTAAGGGTGCCATGAATTGTATGTAAACTTGCTTTCTTGCAGAAGTTCGAAGCCAGTGAACCAGAGTAAGGTGAGGACGGAACAGCCACATCCCACCTTGACCAGCGCGGGCCACAAAGGATGGTCGGTGAGGTGATATTCACGGATTTTCACAACTGCGACAGCAGTCAACATCCCCCAATAAACTATGTATTGGTCGAGCGTCACTCGGAAATGCCATTCGCGCACAGACCAGTCGATGTTAAATAACTGCTTGAGCACCGTGAACAGCGACTCCAGCGGCCAGTTCTGGCGCATGAAAATTGCAAACATGGCCATGGACAACAGGATCTTGCAAACGAGGAAAAGGCTGTTGCCGTTCAGTTGGGAACCGATCGCCATCGTGCCGTAGATGATCATGAACCACATAGAAACCAGCGGCGTGAAGTAGTATGAAAGGTAATTCGTGTTCATGGTATACACCAGCACAAGCGTGAGGAGGTTCAATCGAACCATAACCTGCAAAGAGAAAAGCAACGTCAACATATGTTTCCGTCTTGGACATAACACTCCGCACTTACCTGCGCGACACGAAGAAAGCTGAAATCTGCTTTCTTCAGGTAAAAGGTAGTGTGTCCATAACCAGTCATAAACAGGTATGCGGCAACTAGGACGCGGATCGGATTATAAATACCAGATATTTTGGATGCTCCAAAATAATGATAAATCAGAATTGCGACTAGGAACATGTTAGATCTCCATTAAACAGGTGGATCAGAAGGACACACTCTGCATCCATCCCTTCCATTCGTCACTTTGATCACGGTTTAAGAAGCCCAAATCCTTGTCAGCTCGATGAAGGGTCGCCATTCCTACGAGAAGGGATGCCAAGAAAAGGAAGGCGAAGGGCAAGGAGCTAAATTCTTTCTGCTCCTTAAGCCATAATCCAGTGCGGTCCGCGAGGTATATCATGCAAACAGTGGCTCCGAACACTGCTAGTGCAAGGTAGTTTTTGCTGTTAACGCCACCCTTGCCAGCACTCTGAAGCCCTAAGTAATGGTAAGACTGGTTCGGGATGAAGCATTAACTTGGAGTACACCTACATAATCGAACAGAGATGCAGGTCCGCACCGCAATGATAGTAAGAACGATGAATTGCATCGTCGATGGCCAAGGGTACGCCCGACAACAAGTCTTATCCATGGGGGGAATCTTGGGCCACTCATTGTTACAGCGTAGATTAAGTAGAATGTTGGCCTGTGTTTTGACCACGGAATCCGAGAAATGTAATCCATCCTCCGTTTGAGAGTCGTCTAGCATTTGATTAAAAACGAGAGGAAACAAGACCGGTGCAGCTTCCATGGCTCCGGAGAACTGCCACAGAGAGCCAACATGTGATGGTTTAATGCGATGGTAGAGGTCGGAGTTCATTGCATCTATGTCCGGCGAACGCATGGTACTGTACCGCTCCGGTGACAGTTTCGAGGCAACAACATCTTCGACGGGAAGAAAAACCGTTGTTTCTGCAGGTTTGACTGGGGCTGCAGATACGGCCGTAATATGTTCGTCGACCATTGCCTCCCATGCAGGCAGGCCTCCGGATGTATTAGCGTAGCGAAGGTACCAAAGGCCCGACCCAACGACTAAAAGAGCAGGCACCTGGGGGCTCGAATTTCCAACTGTGGTGTTCATGGGGATTGATTAAGGCTAGGGCAGATGACGTGTTCAGAAATGGATCCCAGACGAAGTCAAGAGTAACATTAGAGTCCGCGACAAAGGAAAAGTCGGTATGCTTCCGATCATCTTGAGGGGGTGCACTCGGTAGTTTGGGGTCAACGATGTGGATGAATTGGAAGTACAATGTCCGTGTTACGGAGTCACCCACAAAAGCGACATGTCGAGATGCAAGACAACGAGAGGCTTCTGCGGCTTTGTAGAAATGTAACATACAACCTAGGGTACTAGAGATGAATAAACGCAGGCCAACGCAGGACTCGTACTCGCCTTCTGGCTGCCAGTTGCGATGGGCATCGTCTAACCAACTTCCCTTTGTTAATAGTGCATCGCAACGGGTGGGGTCCAGTTGGTCTGAAACGATGTATGAGCAGAAGACGAGATATATTCGCCCATGTACAGATACCAAACAGAAACAACCGCAGCAATCCTAACAGAACTGAGAACACGATGATGAGCAGGACCAGATGGTCGTGCCATAACGGTCCCAGTCTCGTTCTTGTCATGAGGTTGAGAAAAGCTTAAAAGTTGCCTGCGATCATGAAAAGTGAGGCTGCAACTGCAAGAAAAGGTGATACGGCCACAGAAGTCCGTTAAGTTAATTCATTCATTACGGTATACACTCGCAAAAACATTTGCAAATTATGTAAGTATTGAACAACACCTAAACATCGTCCTTCACTACATGAGTGTCCGATGATGCCTTACTGGCAAGTCCGTTCTAAGAAAAAAGGCAAAAAGACTATATACTAGACCCTCCGGTGGTCGTCGTTGAGTAAGTGAAACCTGGAATAATCTGTCGAAAAGGCCAGCAGAAAAATTAAATTTCAGACATACCAGTCCCTTGGCAGTAGTCATTGGACGACAAGGGTATGCAAGACAAGTATCGACAGCCAGAGCATGCTAGTGACAGTTCATGAGTTGATGCAGGCAATCTGCACAGGGCACATACCGGCATACGGATCTGAAGTGTAGAAGTTGCGTACAAGGACTACGAACAGGACAACTGCCAATGGAATAGCCGCAAGTCTGAAGGCCCACATGATAGCCTTGTGCCGACGCGTCGGACTAATGACTGGGTAAAAAGTCGTTCCAACAAGAAGACCCATGCAAAGCCCTCCGAGGTGGGCTAAAGTGGCGTCAGCACTCGTGGCAAACACGAAGTAAAGAGCACGGACCAAAATTATCAACATCTCGATTCCGGTAAGTTCGTCAATTGGTTAAAGCGCGGGGCAAGTGGAAACCTACAGGGAATATAACCAAGAGCAATGCCGAATACGAGTTCTACGCTCATCCACGCAAGCTAAGCGCCAAGTGTGAGATCTCGAACTACAGGTAATGTCCAACCATACCCTCTTCCGTGGCTGATGATGATAACGCCAATGTGCAAACAAATCCACCCACGTCACCTTTGTCGGTGTTAGGATACCACAGAACAAAACACGAATAAGACCACAAACTGCAACTGTGCCAAAAATTGCACCACTGGCACCCACGGATGGCGCACCAACTAGTGAGAAGTTACCACCCAAAACATTGCTATCGAACGTGTGAGCAGTGTGACGTGTGACGGGCTGCAACATACCCAAAAATGCCAGCGGCGAAGTAAGTTAAGAAGAATCCTCCCGAGCCCATTTCGCGCTCAATCTAGTAAGATAAGTTGAGTTCATCTAGTCACAGCAGCAGCCACATGTGCTACCTGTGCAGACACAGTTAATTGCGCTAGCATGTTCAGCGCAATGTGAATGATGCCCGCGTGCAAGAATATCGGAGTGATGAATCTAAGTACTCTTGTGGTCAAAAACGAGTCCTTTGGACGCAGAGATAATTTCTCACCGAAACCACTGATTGGGAGTTCCGTTTCCCCATCCTCCGAAGCCGCACACGTCTTCAATAGTGCATAAGCTCGTCGGTGGGTTTGCAGTATCGTTCAAGCCTAAAGCAATAGCGCTGAGCATTGACAACTAGCCATACAAGTTATTTCCTACATGGCATTAAAGTCGACGAAGAGATGTTCGTGACAGATTTCATACAGGGCGGGAAGCGAGCACCGAGATTAATGAGCGCGCTCTCCGATGGTCCTAACATGGGGTTCACGACGGGCTGGACAACAGCTGTAAACCGCTGCCTATAACGATAGAATATTTAGTCCACAAACCTTGAGTGACACAGGTGACCCTTGTGCTCTAGCATTCACCACCAGCTCATTAATAAACACGCCGACCATGGCAATCGTCAAGGCCCATACTGCATCAATTGGTACGCGCAATACGCTACAGAATGCAGGACTTACCGACGAACGGGTATTTCTGCCGACCAATTCCCCGTTTCTTGTCTTCGATTCTCTGCTCTAATGGGTACTTCCCGGTGCCAAGAAGCTTTTGCCACGAATCCGGACTCTCTTCAACACGTTTTGGTTCTTTGTGATCTGGCTCTGCATAATCTGGCCAGCCGATTTCAGGACACAAGTTAGCGTGTTGGTGGCAGGAACTTACCTAAGTCCTGGTAATGTACAGTTTGACCCTTGTGTGTTGAATTTTCGATCAATGACGCTTCATCTCCCTTGCTCATTATCGAGCTTTGACGGAAAGCTGAATACAAGTCATCGTCGGGGTATGCAGCATTTAAATTTCCGGGGCTCGCAGGAGGCACATCAGGATGCGATACCGAAAGGTGCTGTCCTACAGATGGAGCGGGCGTTGTGTTCATTTGGCGGTAACCAGTGGCTACCAACTGAGCCTCTGTCATGTCTGAGGTATTAGGAAGGGGGGTTGGAGATCCAATGGCAGGAAGACCACTCGTGCCAGACGTCGCGAACATATCCGCCTCGCCGTGCGACAAGAAGTCAGGAGGTCGAAAAGGTTCATCTCGTGCATCATCTGAGAAGGGATCTGCATACCCTTGGGATGCTGGGCGGTCATCGTACCGAATCGAGTGCGCCATTGATGGGGCGCCGTGCGAAATGTGAGAGAGAAGGTTAAGCAACGGGCAGGTCGTTGATATGTGCTGTATTTGAGGAGGCACAAGGGCTTGGCTGTCACAGCACTGCCATCGGGCTCCACAGCCTAATACATTCATCCAAGCACACAACCGCCACATTGCACTTCCACGTTTCCATTGGAAGATTGCCCTGAGCAGGTCTGAGTACAGCCTTAGATATAGTCTCCCCTACGCAAACCAGAAACGCGACAGACGTAACCGGGACTGTATTGTTCGTCCGTAGCTTAGCATCTGTGGTGCAACTGTCTACACTTACATGATCTACATGATCTACACAATGCAAGAAAGCGATGTGATACAGGCCAGTCTGTGAATTGGGTAGAGATAAAAAGAACCCAAGAGGCTCGAGTTTGAATACATCATGAAGCCAAGAGCGGTGATAACTGATCCCCTCCCAAGCTCAGACGGTGACCCCTGCTCCGGGCAGATGGTTTGCGAGTGAGTGGCGTAGATTGAGAAGTCGCACGCGGAACATTAGTATCAATGTGAAGGCCTTCAGTTTCACTAATTGGACTCGACAACTCGTCATCGCCGTAATGAGCGTGATGCAAACCAGTTGATCTCCCCCAGCTCGAAGGCGGCTTCAACCTGTCGATCCATCGCAGGGTTTGGATGCTAACATTGCGGACCTTACAGCTCCGGCATTTCCATCCCATTGGGCCCTGTGTGCTCGCATGACCAGTACTGTGGGCATCAAGACGAGAGCCAGCCAGCCGCTTCGCATACTCCGCAACATGCGTTTTGTCTGAGGTCGCGGACAACCGACGAGGGTCGGACGGAAGGAATAATGGCAACATATGGCGAGAGTCCAGAAGTTCTCCCAATACCTGAGGAGCCCTCGGGGGCTCCCATGTAGATTTGTCAAAGCTTCGATTAAACAGAGGGTCGATGCCGTGTCGATCCGCGGTGTTTTCTGTGGTGAAGACGCTAGGAGTTTTGGGGTTTCCAGGATTGCCGCTAATAACAGAACTGTCATCAAAGTCGTGTTCGCGCTCACGTTCGCCGATCTGTCTCGCAGAGGTCAGCTTACTTTGGATGATCAACGGCGTCGACTTACCTCCTTGCGCAACGCTTCTACGCCCATCTTCACTCGATGCCGTTCCCAGTCCTTTTGTAGTTGCGTCAGATATTGGATACACTCATCATCCATGCGGCCCTCGCTGACTTCATATTTGTAGTCGCGAACGGCACGCCGCATCTAGAGTCGAAAACATCAACCACAATAGAATTAAGAGTAAGAACATTAGCGACCTGGAGGGGGTTGACGTTCCTCATAACTTGTATCGTTGCAACCAGATCTGAGAAATCACTGATAGACGACAGCCGCTAGAAGGAACTATTAGTTGTTATGGAATTGAGCACCAGACTACCAATACCTGCAGCCATGTAATAAGGTTCTTGACAGGAGAAAAATGTGCTTTAATCCCACAGGGCAAATCCATGGCATCAATCCAATCTTCAAGCGCGCTCAGATTCATGCCAATCTGGGTGGCCCGAGATCTTCACCTACTCAGATTGTAGCGCAAGTACATGGTCATGGAATACACACCTGCATAGAATTTTTTTCCGCGTCAGCATACGATTGAACATCTCACCTACATAAATCAGTCGGTCATTTGTATACACCACTCGATGACAATCAACTCACTTGATGTCCAATACATCACTTGTGACCAGAATTGCGTGGTCAGCGCTGGGTTGATATCCGATAACGTCAATAGTACATGCAATGCCGTAAGGAAAGCAAGCAACTCCCGCAGACCGTTGGGCGCTGAACTCTCTAAATTGTCTGTGCTGGTGGGGGTGGCTGGCACCTTCGCACGAGAAAAAGTGTGCCGAAGTGAAGATAATGTCTTCGGAGTGGTAGGAGGGCCATTGATTAACTGGACGGATGGAGATGGAGGACGTGGTGGAGGAAGCGGAGGCGGTGATGATATTCCGTTGCGGATAGAAGCATTTGGGGTTGAATTGGGAGCCTTCTTCTTAGTGCCGAACGGCCGCAGAAACGACCACTCGGATTCAAACTGCACCGTATCGGCAGGTATCAAGGAATTCTCCAATAGCGCAGCATCCAACAATTGGTCTATCTTCCTTTCCGCAAAACGAATGATAAAGACTGGAATCGACGTTTTCAGCACGAGTCAAGAAGACGCCAGGAAGCTCTTCACCAAATACAGAGTTGATCACTTGTTCTAGGAGCTCAAATGATCCCAGCATTTCACAAGCGTCGTTTATCGAATTGTCGCATTGCATAAGGTGAAGCCATATGACTACGTTGTGTAGCCAGAAAATCAAACATGTGACGTCTTCTGAGTTGTTCTGCAAGGCCATGGAGTAAGAAAACGAAACTCTAAGCCAACACTCACAAAGAATTTCTCCTCGATAACATCAGTGGCCCCGAGGATTAGATCCTCCAACCAGGTTGAATCGCACATCAGGTACGCGAAGCGCGCCATCAAATAAAGCGCATTGGCAGGTTCAGTATTCCGTGCAGTTGCACGGAAGTTTGTTATGATCGCTTCGAAAATGTCGTGTAAGTCTTGAGGAGACCAAGCAAGCATAGACGTGAAGTCCAAAGACGGTGTCTGTGCCGGATATCAGCCTTGTGCATGAGCAGTTGAGCCTTCGCCACTCACATATATTTCGTCGTTGGAATCGTCATCCTCTTCAGAGTCAGACTCGTCGAATGACATTTCGGTCTCGTCATCTCCCCACCACTGAGGAGGAACTTCTATTATCTTGGCTATGTTCTGATGTATGCCTTTTCGTCTTTCTCTCCGTTTAATCCGTTCATCAAGTGCTCTGCGTCTCTGCTCCATTCGGCCCCCGGTCCAACCTTCGCTGCGCATGGCCTCTTCTAACAAAATAGCTATATCCTCGCGTCCGGGGAGAGGGGTATGAGCTGTCACTATGTCAAGTGGCGTCAACTGCCTCTGCGTCACCGAGAACGGTGAACATCCGTGTGTCATCAAATGGGACACCAGAGTTGGAGGTGCCAGCAATGCAGCGTGGTGAAGGGGTGTCCAGCCGGCTGCCGGAGAGATGAGAGAGCTCTTAGAAACAAACGAAACTACGTACCTTGATCATAGCTGTGCACATCAGCACCTTGGGCGATGAGAAGACGAACGCATTCTTCGCGTTCAACGTCTCTCTCGGATTCTGCACCGAACCCCTGTATAGTCTGGCTGAGGAGGCCAAGGCCATCGTCATCACGCGAATCGAGATCGACGTAAGACCGAGCCTGCTTGTCGCATAGTAGATATTGAAGAAGACTGAGATCGCTGAACAGACAGGCACGCGACAGACAATGGGAGACGAGTTCGGCCTTTTGTGAGGGGTTCAACCCGGAATTTGTTGATAACAGCGGAGGAATCTGGTTGGGACTCGGATACAATGGGTGCAGCTCTGGTTCTGGGATCAGGTCTAAAGGACGGAGCGTCCCATGGTGGAGCTCAGCCATGCAGGCCGAACAAGATGTCGTGGTAGGAAGAAAGCAGCCCGAGCGCGTCGGGGTGAGAGTGAACGGTTGCTGTTATACTTTTTGCAAGAAATCGCGGAAGTTGGACAGTAACGAAACAGTTGTACAAAGACCTTGAATAGGATACTACAGTGAGGTGCCCTCTGGTACCCTAGTGATCTGTTTTGTCTGATCACTCTCGGAGTCGGTGACAGTACACTAATAGTCCACTTCGCCGTCACATGGAGCTTACCGGAATAAGTTACCACGTACTTTCACTCTTTACCACTACACATCGTCAGAAAGATGGGAACCTCGATGGAAGATGACGACACTGGTGCATCCGTCGTGTCAGAGGCTTTTTCGTCTGCGGCCGAGGGCGAAGGCACCGAAGAATGCAGCTCGCGGGTTGATACAGACGACGAAGTTCCTCGTGCAAGCGCAAGTAAAACAAAGGGGACGCTAAAACGCAAGAGGCGCGCCACTGGGCCGTCGCAGTTTGGAACAATTCTCCAGTCTCTCCTGGAGACGGAGACACCCTCTGCCCTCCCGCTTTCTCTAAAGCCTTCCATAGCGCGTCGACGCAATGATGCAAAGTTAGAACTAAAAGCCAGGAAGATGATCCAAGTCGAGAGGAAAGAAAAGGAAGATAGAGGTCGGATAAGGGGTGTCATCGAAGGATGGGGTGCAGAAAGCGAACGATCTCTCCGCAAAGTAGCGCAAAGAGGAGGTAGGTCTGAAAGCAAATCTACTCCGTATTGCTAACGACTGTCCCCGGATCAGTTGTCAAGCTTTTCAACTCGATACAGCAATCACAGACGGCAGCGGCAGCGGAAGAAGCAGAGGCATTGGGGGCTCGTGGCACCGGCAAACCAGCGCTGCCTGCACCTACATTGGACAACCATGGCAAGGGAAAGCGCAAAAACAAGCAGAAAGATAACTTGATAGGGAGAGGCAAAGAGTGTATGTACATCGTACGCAACTCATACGTCTCCCGAACTGACGCGACCACCAAAAGCTGCTGTGGACAAGGACAGTTTCTTCGACCTGATTAGATCTGGTGGAACACTGGTGTCAAAAGTATAGTATTAGCCCCTATGTATTATGTAATCCAATCGGTAAACCGTGGATCCTGCCCTAAAGATAAGTTGGCTGTTTAAATTTCGCGACCATCTCTTGCTGTAGGTTTTTATGGTTTGTCTTCCTTTTCCGCCTGTGATGAACTGGCACTTAGAGATCCGTGTGGTGACCTTTTCTTTTAGCCTCCCAAGATATCGATACGCAAGGAGGAATGGGAGCGGCGCCTTCACGAAGTCCATGTGACGAAAGAGTGAGTGTTCAACCCTTGTGGTACTTGACTGGATGAAACACATCATTGGGAATCTCTCTGAGAGTACGTTGATGTGTCAAATTGCATGTATTATCTGATTTCGTCTTGTTCCTTTGATTATTCCTTCGTTCGCAAGAATTCTGATGCCAGCGTTTTCTCCAGTGATCTCAACCGTCTTATTATGGACTATCTCGTCATTGAAGGATATAGGTCAGCTGCTGAAGAGTTTAGTAGTGAAGCGGGCGTGGTTCCCCCCGTGGATTTCGAAAGTATCGAGAGCAGGATGGTAATTCGCGAAGCTTTGCAACGCGGTGACGTCGAGGAAGCGATCACCCGGGTCAACGACTTGAATCCAGAGGTAAGCTTGTCGTTACCGAGGCACTGCATAGCGGGTGGTGGCAGAGGATTAATCCGTTTCATGCACCACTCTCAGACTTCTAAGAAGTCGGTGATGAAATCTGTAAACGAAATCTTCAGTCTTCAACATGATGCTCCTCCGCTTATTATTGTTGATATGTGACCATGCATGATGCTGATAAGTTGTGGGCAGATACTTGATACAAATCCAGCATTGTATTTTCGCCTACAACAGCAGAGACTAATAGAGCTGATACGACAGAGCCGCATCGCCGAGGCTTTACGGTTTGCTCAAGATGAACTGGCACCGAGGGGTGAGGAGAGCCCGGAATTCTTGGCTGAGTTGGAACGGACCATGGCACTCTTGGCATTTGACTCTACATCTTCGCCACCGCCTGCGATCACTGATTTGTTGTCACCGGCTCAACGAATGAAGACGGCTGGCGAGGTGAATGCCGCTATTTTAGAGAGTTTTAGTCAGGGAAAAGAGGTTAAGTTAGTGCAGCTGCTGAAGCTTCTTTGTTGGGGAGAGAGCATGCTTGAGGAGCGTGCTGACTTTCCAAAGGCAAGTGTCCCGCCATAATATGCTATCATCTTGGGGATTTACTGAGGGCATTGCGGTACAGATTGACTTGCGGAGAGGCGGGAAGAAGGTGGAAGGGAGCGAGGAGTTATCGATGCACGAGTGATGCCAGTGTCGTATAGTCTATTCTGTTAGGATATGTGGACGTGTTACACCACATGGTTGGTGTTTTCCTCATGGAATGCAGAGGGTGTCACTTGACCAGTGAGCTCATGTATGATTAATTGATTGGACATGCCAGGACACGCCCTTGCCGGGTCTTGGGTCGCGTGGACCCATCGTGGTCGTCGTTTCTTAGCGTCTTAAGGCCATGCATGTCTCTGCTTATGTCAGCCGTCCGCTGATCTCTCACTTGCTCATCGTCTGCGAGAGGCATTTTGTTGCATTAGTTCAGCCCAGCTTGTTTTCCTTCTTTCTGGCACACTCTGCCAACCCTTCTAAGCTTCCCGTCTGGCCCCTCGAATAGTAGCTGGTGCGCGTTTCACCCGATTTGACGAGCAATCCGTTCATCTGGAGATCAGGCGACGTTGCATAGCAGCGCATGCCTCCCCCTCTCATGTCTGAGGACAACAGGTCCAGCCACGCGAGAGGTCGACGTGTACTCGTCCTCTCAAATCCCGATCCAGGCGACTCAAGCAGTAGCGAAGACGACCGTCGTCGAGTTCGCCCGCAGCCCCCGACATCCGACTCTTCTCTACACCAGCCTTCGCCTCCGCCTGTTCCGCCGTCACCTTATCGCCCCATAAAACCGGGGCCCCCCACGCCCCTAACAACGGACCTCCCTCGTCATATCACGTCTTCCCATTCAAACCCCACCCTCTCTTCTCCTTCTAGCCAAAGCTCTAACGCCGTCGAATCCACTCCGCCGCCCAGTACACCTGGTCAGGTTGTGCCGCCAGACATCGCAGCCCCTTCGTTTACTCATGATGACGGTTCTTCCGTAAATGAGCGCACAGAAGTGCACCACCCCAACCGCTTGCAAAAGCTTTCGGATAAGATCTGGAAGTCTCGTAGGCCATCTTCGCATCGACCAATCGAACCAGAGTCATCTGGAAACGTGTGTAATCATCGTTCTGTATCTGCTCTCCGAATGCTTACTAGTTTTACTTGTAGTCTTCTTCGTGTCGCTTGCCCAATTCAAAGTCACAGGACCGAGCTGTTGTTATCATGGTCACGTACGATTGCCATGCTTATACGGCTGTCGATGTAACATCCCCAAAGAGTGCTGCATTCATCTGGGAGCGAATTTTCACCGAGGTACGTTTGACTCCTATCCTATGGATATTACTCGTCTGACCTATGCTACAAAGCTCAAAATTCCAGACGAAGATCAGTCATCTGAGTTTGCTATTTACCGAACACAAGTGAGCAAGGCAGCTCTGGGAGAAGCCTTGAGCCACGAGAGCTTATTCCGGTTGGTCCGAGACCACGGAGATGCGGAAGGCAGTCTAAAATTTCTCGTGTGCCACCCGCAAGCGCGAGTACAGGAATCTTCCTTACCTACCTCACCAGTATTGTCAATTCCTCCGCCTCCGTCTGTCTTCGGCCCGCTTGTCCCTCGATCGAAACCATCCAAGTCCTCTCGTCAAGAGAGCATTTCTTCTGAGGACCCCGCACCAGACACCGGCTATGAGCCTTCAGCAGTATCCGATGATTTTGAGGACGAGCATAGGAGTACGATACGCCCTCAGCAGTTCGCTGCAAATTTCCCGAGGAGCTTTGTCTCGCCTTCCCAGGGTCCACGTTACGACAATCGTCAACCCCCGTCACCTGCCTCCGCCAAACTGTCTTATTCTGGTGACAGGCGCAGAAAATTTGAGGCTGATCACAATCAAGGAATAGCTTTACCTGCATCTCCCTCTCCTCCGGTCTCGGAAGATGTATTAACCCCTCCGCGTCAGCATGTCCGCAGAGGCTCGAACGCACGGGACGTTGAACAAACCCCCCGTGAGAACGACCGGAGCACTGATCATGCGGATAAGGAGTGGTCACGCAATCAGCCCAGTCCTCTCGGAGCACTCAGCAGATGGAAAATATCTAACCAACGCCGTCGAGGCAGTCCGTCTACTTCAGATGACCTGACCAGCGAGAGATGGGCCCTGCCCCCCAAGGAACAAGATTCAGCAAACAATAAGTCTTCCACAGTGATGACCAGATCGTCCTCGTTTAAAAAGAAGGTGCCTAGGTTGGATGGACCTCCTGTACCTCGACCACGTCAACCACCGCGCAGAAGCGGTGGACAACCTGCACCAGCTGGTCACATGGTCGCCTGGAAGGCATCAGACAAACCCCTGAAGAGTGCAAAGAGCATGGATATGCTCAAAGTAATTCCAACAGGCGCTCCACATCTTCGCACTTCACCGAGTCGCCCGCAACTGCATGTTTCGGCGAGTACTGGTCTTCCTATCCCCATCAGGCCTCTTCCGCTCACCCAAGCGTCTGCTGCTGAGCCCGCAAGTTCGGAACCCGGGCAATCCACACGATCTTTCTTGCAGTCTCCTCCTGCGAATGTTTCGGGCGCTGCTTATCCATCACTTTCCCAGGAGTCATGTTCGGGACCACAAACCACATCTCCTTCACAACAGAGATATCTCAAGCCGATTGATGCTTCGGTTGCAGAACTCCCCCCGCGAGCGGGAGGTTCAACGTGCATACACTGGTATGCATAACCCGTCTCACTCCACTGGGTCCCTTTCCAAGTTCGGAGAGACACCACTCCGAGAGGAAGGCTATGGGGTCCCTACATTGCCTGCGTCCTTGCGTCCTGGAGCCTACAGCAATATAGCAGCGCGTTCGTGTGACTCCCCAGACACTCCTCGCAGCCCTGTGGGTGCTTCGGGTCCGAGGAACACTTCCACAAGCTCCAGCATAGGCTCATATTCCTCTTCTGGTACTATGGTTCCATCTAGGCAATTATCCTCTTCAACCGGGGAAGATACTTTGTCCGAATCAACTTTCCGGCCAGATGATAGAGATAAGCTGATTTGGGACCTGAAAAGTCTAGTTGCCTCGCAAAACGCTCAGCAGATTGACTCCAGTCTGCAAGAAGACAGCATCGGTTCCAACGACTCCTATGGTACCGCGACTGAAGACTTGTGGTCTCGTAGGCCAATTAGCCAGATGGTGCACGAGACGGATAAGAATCGTTTAGATGCGAGCCTCCAACCCAGCCCCCGACCAGCACTCAATGTCATCACGCAAAGCCACATTGCCAATACTCGCGGCGTTCCCCCGAACTTTCCTCCACCCCCAGACTACATCCCCCAACTTCAACCACAACCTCGACAAGCACGTCCTCGTACAGGTCTTAAGGGTAACACCTTCGAAGAGTCTACTTGGGCTCGCCGTCCTCCGCCTGAAGACGTTTTCGACCGTCTAGAAGAGTTCTTCCCTGAACATGACCTTGACAAACCGGTCATTGATGCGAACTCGGGCGGAACGTCCCCGACTGCCACAGAACACGCATACGGCATTCCTCCTGATGATAGAGAGAGGTTAACAGGCATGCGGGGTAAGAAGTCCATTCGTATTGTCGCGGAAGAACACAAGAGGCGCATCGATCGCACATCGAGGGTGGAATCTACTTACAGTAGTAACATGATCCGCAAGAGAAGCACCAAGCTCTGGGGAGGTCGTCTTGAAGAAGTGACAACCTCACAGAAAAAGCCGACATACGCTAAGTCATTACCCGAAAGTCCATCTGGTGGTCCAAGACGTATGTTTTCCATTCGGTTACCCGATTCCATCCTAATTCCTCGTGACAGCAATCTTCAAATGGGTGCGCGGAGAACTCATAGGGAAGGGAACCTATGGCCGTGTCTACCTTGCTCTCAATGCTACCACCGGCGAGATGATTGCTGTGAAACAGGTAGAAATTCCAACCACTGCCAGTGACAAGAACGACAGTCGTCAGGTCAACTTCGTGCAAGCACTGAAGATGGAAAGTGAGACGCTGAAGGACCTCGATCATCCCCATATTGTCGCGTACCTTGGATTCGAGGAGACACCGAACTTCTTGAGCATGTAAGGTTCTTGATTTTTCTCGGACCAGAAATGTCAATATTTTCCAGATTCTTGGAGTACGTTCCCGGAGGGTCAGTTGGCAGCTGCTTGCGAGATCACGGAAAGTTTGACGAATGCGTTACAAAATCATTTACCGCTCAAATCCTTTCCGGTTTGGCATATTTGCATTCGAAGAATATTATCCACAGGGCATGTCGTTGTCTCCTATATCTGAATTCGTCTAAATTTGTTCTTTGGCAGGATTTGAAAGCAGACAACATACTGGTCGAAAAGACTGGTATCTGCAAGATTTCTGATTTCGGGATTTCCAAACGCACCGACGATGATCAAGGTGCTTTCACCGCCATGCAGGGCACCGTTTTTTGGATGGCCCCGGAAGTAATTGGTAGCCAGAGGGGGAGAGGGTACAATTCCAAGGTTGACATATGGAGTGTTGGGTGCGTCGTCCTTGAAATGTGGGCTGGCAGACGACCATGGCCGGATGAAGATTTCTTCACGGTAATGTACAAGGTAAGGATGCGGGCTTGTCATTCATTCCGGATGTCTAACAACCCCGAAAATAGGTTTCGCACAACGGAGAATCTCCGCCTATACCGTCGGACGTTATCCTCTCTGACCTGGCACGAGATTTCAAAGACAGGTGTTTCGCAGTGTGAGTGTCAGCCAGCTTTGTTTTCTTCTTGTGGCACTCACCTTAGGATATAGGGACCCCGAGCTGCGTGCAAACGCCGCTGAATTAATTAAACATCCATACCTGATCCTCCCGGAGGGCTGGACATTCAACGACTTCAAGTGAACCCATAGAATTGAATCTTGCATATTACCCCATCCAACTAGGTGATCGGTTCCAGATTCTTCCTCATCTATCTTCCAAATGCTTGGGTCATGTTGCTTCATCTGTTCTTAGCGATAATTCAGGATGTATTGATAGCAATGATCTTAGTACTGGCGCTGGTGCGCGAATTCAGTTTCACATTTTTGCTTGCATGAGAATGATGATTTCTTTACGGGCAATATGTCCGACGGTACGGGGTAACACGAACCAGTGTGCTCTTACGCCCTACTCCATCGACTCCCTTTGAAATTGATCTGGACAGGGAGGCGTGCCTGAAGGATCGGAAAATAAGCGAAAGGATGTAACAGATGTCATAGTACTCACGTTCTCGTCGTAGTCTACCCAGTCGTTGTCCTGGAATTCCACTTCAAATGATTGGCCCTTAGTGCCGTTGCATGCCCAAGTCCCCCTCTGCTGGTCCATCAACTAGGTCGAAAACTGATAGAGCTCCGCAACTCACAGGATCAAAACCAACAAATTCCAAACCCCTGCACTCGATCACAAGAAGTTCCGCAAAGTTACCAGAATCGCTATAGGGACGAACAGCAGCGGAGGGGTCAAACTTTGCAGAGCTTTCTCGTTTGCAGTTTCCACAACGCCAAACGAAATGGGCGGTGGCGTGCTTGCCTCCGCTAACCTCGCGCTCTTGCTAAGCAGGATTTGACAATGGAGGTTAGGCCGACAAATCAAGATAGCGGGACGGGGGGGACTCACCGCACGATTAACCGACACGGGCTTTGGGTGCATCTCATGACAAGAAGTACAGGTGACCTATTGAATAGATGGATGAACGGTACTTGTCTGTAAGGGCATCAGACTGAAACACCTTGAAGAAGAAATCAAAATCGTTGGAAGAGGGTCTCAGATCCGTGACATTCTCTAGGTCTGCTTGGATCTCCAACTTCAAGCGCTGGAAGTACAGATGGAAGCACCTTCTGGTGGTGAAGTCCGTGGACAGGTACTTACTACCATGACCAGCGAACTGCGGCCTATAGGATCGAGATCAATGGCAAGTGGTACTACTGCTACAGTGACACTAATAGCTATCTACAACACGTAAGTTTGTACTTGTTTGTGTCACAGACATTGAAATGTCAGCCAAAATCGAAGGTGCACTGGCCCAAAAATGTGGCGAGCCCTGCGATGTCAAGCTAATCCCCTGCTGAGCACGGCCAGGTTCTTCAGTTCTTCAGTCGCTCGAACACGACAAAGGGTTTCGCGCAATATTCCACTAGCAGACGACTTGGCAGAATGGGATTTGGAAGCGGATTTCTCAGAGTTTCAGGGTGATGATATACCCGCTACCGGACACATGTACTTGGACCAGCAGCGACAGGTCGCCCATTACCTACGCCTCATCGAAAATGAATTGCCCGAACTGGTTGGTAAGTAGGGCGAGTGACTCGTCAGACATCATCGCTGAATGAGGTTCTAGCCTTCCGCAAGCCTTTCGTCCCACCGTCGGCTTCGACTCCCCTCGTCGTCCGGTCTGTGGACTATGCCGGTGAGAGTCATCCGGCAACCGTCAAGCGTAGTGTCGTGGTCCCAGTCGCGCAACTACCGCTGAAGAATGAGGCTGCTGTACACAGAGCCAAGTTACTTGCCGGAGTGCGTTGGTCGATAGAGCCGCCGAAGAATTCTGGAGTGCAATGCAACAGCGAAGAGGGGAAGCATGGCTACATAAAAATTTCGTGCGAAGACTTCCCTCGACCATCGATGAACTTGAAATGGATTAGTGACACGATCGACGGGCTCGTTGCCGAAGCCAACGTGAGCTTTTTGTTCTGCCTACATGTTCGCATTTTCATTGTCTTCTCCAGGACGAAAATCACAAGGCTTACCAAGATCTGCCCCTCGACACGAGACACCTAGAAGCGCAGGTCATGAAAGCTAAGGAAGGTGAACACGCACGAGGCAGAAATCGTCGACCGAGCATAAAGGACTTCCCTACCGAATGGCTTGCGCGATCGGTATCTCAAAGTGTGCAGCCAACAACCAATTCGTAGACCTTTATAATGACATTGTCTTTGATATTTCTGCATGTCATTTTGTCGTGTGGCACACGCGGTGTACTTTACAGCATTCTGGACCGGTATGTTTCATGATAATGCAAGGTGGTTCTTTGTTTCAGGTGATCCTACTGAAGCTCTCAATTACTGGTGGACACTTGCAGTCAAAGCGTGGTCCAAAGTTGGTGACCACGTCCGATCGGAACAGCTAGTAGGCTGCTCGGTGGGCGTGATGCCACCTTCCACTGTTGCCAGCCCACCACACCCAATGAGACTGGATGCCAATGTCTGGATCGCTGAGAACGATATCACCAACTTTTGATGTGACAGAGTGGGCTATTCAATAAAGAGCAATCACGGGCCTTTATTGCTGATTCCACTATCTCGTCGGATGTCGAACTCAAAGCGCATGGTCTCCTGCAAGGGATATAAGGCGAGTCTGGACGGATGGATTCAGATCATAGCATTTCACCCTCTACACTTGGCGGCTGGTCCCACCGCTCCGCGCCTATTCTCATTACCTTGTGCTGACCATGACGGCTTATGACTCTGCGGATGCCCGTACTGCCTTGATGGCAAGTTATTTTTCGCGATATCCACACCCGCAGGCGGGAATGAAACCGGTTACATCGCATTTGCCGTTGCAGCGACGGAACGTAAACGTACCGGATGGGGTAAAATCACCAAAGCCGGCAACAAAGGGGCACGACGCCCCCCTTTCTTTGGACAGGGGCCTTGCAATGCGAGTGCGGGGCAGAACGATATACAACGCCAACCTAGTGCCCTCTGGTGTCGACACAGACACCTGTTCAGACAGTACTCGCAGTGGCTGGTTGGAAGGAATGGGCCGAATGTCTAGTCTGACGGCGTTAGAGCAGCTGGAAAAGATTGACGCGGAGGAGACAAAGAGAAAGGAGCTGTTTACAGGGTGTTCGGCATGTTCAGGCCGATATCTGACTCAGGAGGGGGTATTATTTTGGAATGACGACGACCCCACGACTGGTTCGCAGGTACGAGAGGGCGACGACACAGCGGTTAGAGAGATGTTTGACATGTACATCCGGGTGGACGAATGTATGGGATGATTGAATGTTTTCTACTACATACTTACTTATACTTGGACTCCATGTGTCAGTAATAAAATGCTAATAGCTCGGTTATTTGTGTCCGCCACCCAGCCAAACAAGCACAAAGCCGTGACAAGTCGCTTCCCCCATTGCGGGCCAACACCCAAACTAATTTTCGTCCGCTCCTCCTCAACCCGGTACAACTGACTGTCGTGCTCATGGCTGACTTGTACTCCAACGGTTACCCTAACGGAACTAGTACTACGCATTCCCTCGCTCAGTCTAACGCGACCATGCCTGTCATTCGCAAAAAGCTGGCAGGCTACGTTGGTTTCGCAAACCTCCCCAATCAGGTTCATAGGAAGAGTGTGCGCAAGGGTTTCCAGTTTACCGCCATGGTAGTTGGTACGTCTCTCGTGTGACCCCCTTGTCTTTCATTCTTAGTTCCTGCGTAGGCGAGTCGGGCTTGGGCAAGTCCACTCTCATCAACACCCTTTTCAATACGCCTCTATACCCACCCAAGGACTCTCTGCCTCCTTCCGCAGAGCGTCCAAAGACGGTGGCCATTGAAAGCATTGGGGCAGGTTTGTTACTCTCATTTTGATCAGGGAATGCTTATTGACACCTTCAAGACATCGAGGAGAATGGCGTTCGTCTGCATTTAACGGTTGTTGACACTCCTGGCTTCGGTGATTTTGTTAACAACGACGAGAGGTATTCGTCTTCTTCTGCGTAAATTTTCTGTCTGACTCCAAACATAATTCAGTTGGCGGCCCATAGTGGAGAATATCGAGTCGCGCTTTGACTCGTACCTCGAGCAAGAGAACCGTGTCAACAGGCAGAAGATTGTGGACAACCGTGTCCATGCCTGTCTGTACTTCATCCAACCCACAGGACACTCGTAAGTGACTCTTAGTTGTTCCTCTCCTTAACGCCGAACTTCGGTTCCTAGTCTTAAGCAGATTGACATCGAATTCATGCGTCGCCTGCACACGCGTGTTAACCTCATTCCCATCATTGCCAAAGCTGACACGTTGACTGATGAGGAAGTGCGCGACTTCAAGGCCAGGGTATGTTGTTTGTTACGTTTGCCTTCCTCATAGCTAACCCTCTGGCATTAGATACTTGCTGATATTGCCTATCACAAAATCCACATTTTCCAGGCTCCTACATACGAAAACGAAGACGAGGAAACTCTTGCTGAAGCCGCGGAGATTGCAAGCAAGATTCCATTCGCTGTTGTCGGCTCAGATAGTCTGGTCGAAACTGCTGACGGTCGCGAAGTCCGTGGTCGTGCCTATCCATGGGGTGTCGTCGAAGTCGATAACGAAGACCACTGTGACTTTGTCAAGCTTCGCCAGATGCTCGTGCGTACATATATGGAAGAGTTGAGGGAGTACACCAACGACGTTCTCTACGAAAACTGGAGAACCGAAAAGCTTCTCAGCATGGGTGTTGCACAAGACTCGAGCGTCTTCCGCGAGATCAAGTAAGATACTCTCGCGCAAGCCGTTTTCTTCCGGTCTGATGTCTTTTGGTAGCCCTTCTGCGAAGATTCAGGAAGAGCGCATCATGCACGAGGCCAAGTTGGCCAAGATGGAAGCCGAAATGAAGATGGTGTTCCAGCAAAAGGTGCAGGAAAAGGAATCCAAATTGAAGCAATCAGAGGAGGAGCTGTACTCTCGACACAAAGAGATGAAAGACGCACTGGAAAAGCAGCGTGGCGATTTGGAGGAGAAGAAGCGGAGGATCGAGAGTGGTCGACCGCTTACTCCCGAAAAGAATGCTGTGAGTCACTTCGAGCACGAGTTCCCGTCATCCTGTCTCAACGCTATTGCAGACCAAGAACCGTCGCTTCCTTCGTTAGGGTCTCACCTGTGTCATATAGGCCGCGTGGTGATGGACACAGCTCTCCTCATCTTTGCTCCAGCAGCGCCCGTTGGTTCTTATTTGCCGTTTAGTACATTTGCCTGCGTAAATCGTCTTCGTGCTTCCCACTCGTTACACCTCAGTCTGGAAATATCTTCTACACTCCTTTGAATTGATATCCGGCTAGCGTCTCTTTCATTTCCTTTATCTTACGACCAGGAACCAATCCACGTCTCCAGGACGTTGATTTTCTTGTTTTCCAGTAGTTGCTAACGAAATGAATCGATGTTATACCCCTCCAAGTGCTAGTGGTGTGTCCCGACCCAAACAATGACAAACAGATAATGCGAGCGATGACTTTTTGATCTCCACAGGACAAAGCACTTGACAGCGTCATGGATAGTATACAGGCCCTCCTCTCTGCCCTCGACGTGTTCGCCCGCGCACCAGACAAGGTGTCCCTGGAAAACGCAAATAGTTGGCTTCAGGACTTTCAGCATTCTGTAAATCCACTTTCGCCCTTGGCCCAGTCTTGCAACAAGGACATCTGACTTCGTCCTCCGTCCCCGTCCTAGCCCGAGGCCTGGTCGACTTGTAATGTCCTCCTCCTCTCCCCTGATGCCCCTATAGCCGCGAAATTATTCGCTGCCCAAACTTTCCGCTCCAAGGTAGCGTCGGTCACTGTGCTGTGGCTCCATCCCCCTCTCACCAGACCTAGGTCACCTACGATCTTCACCAAGTCAATGCCGCCAATCTTCTTCCGTTGCGTGACACTCTGATCACAGCATTAGACAAGTATCACGTCGGTCCAAAGGCCATAATCACCCAGCTCTGTCTCGCTCTTGCAGGTTTGGCTTTACAGCTCCCTGCATGGGACAACGCCGTCCAGACCATGATCGAGACATTTGGGCCAAACCCGGCCACCGTCCCTGTCCTCTTACAATTTCTTAAAGTTCTTCCCGAAGAGTTGACTAGCAACACGAGAATACCTGTCACTGTGAGTACTTCAATTACGTTCCATTACCTTCTGACGCCTTCGCGCAGGATGACGAGTACCGTGACAGATCCGCCAAGATTCTCACGGTAAACTCCAGACGAGTTATTGATCTCTTGTCCATGTACAATAATGCATCTGGTACGCCCACAAACATGTCATGCTTCCCATGACAATACTCAGTCATCGAGTTGCCATTAGGTGTTACTCCCGCGGTGCAAAACCAGATATTCGAGTGCTTACGCACGTGGACCATAGCTGGAGAGGTCGATATTAAAGCCTTTTGCAAGTCTTTGCTCTTCGACGGCGTCTTTGAAGCGTTGGCGTCGGATGAACTTTTTGATTCGGCTGTGGACGTTATCTGCGAGCTGATTCACGAGACGCAGGAAGCGGATGATAACATGTCTGTCATCGAACTCATCGTTCCGCGGATCATTGCCTTGAGACCCAAGCTCGAAGAATGTAAAGATGATCCCGAGAAAATTAGGGGGTTCGCGCGGATCTTCGCAGAGGCGGGGGAGACATATCGGCTTCTAATTATCCGTCACACTGAGACCTTTTACCCAATTGTCGAAGCTATTGGTCAATGTTCCGCCTACCCGGATTTGGATATCGTTCCTATTACGTTTCCCTTCTGGATGCGTCTGGCTCAGACTATTGGGAAGAAGGCTTCGGTCGAGCCATTACTATTGGAGGCGTACAAAGCTCTCACGAATGTCATCATCCGCCATCTCCACTTCCCCCCTGATGCGACTACTATGACGGGTCAAGAAGCAGATAACTTCCGTTCCTTCAGGCACGTCATGGGCGATACGCTGAAAGACTGTTGTCTCGTCTTAGGTGCAGATGCGTGCCTACTGAACGCGTACGGTCTCGTCACCGTCGCCCTCTCGCGAGGTGGCTCCGTTTCGTGGCAAGAGATTGAAGCACCGTTGTTCGCTATGCGTTCAATGGGTGCCGAGGTAGACCCATCAGATGACAACACTGTCCCAAAGATCATGGACCTTATACCATCACTCCCAAGCCATCAAAGGGTTCGGTATGCTGCGTTGCTCATCATATCTCGATATACCGAATGGGTCAATCGCCACCCCGACTACATATCTTTCCAATTGCAGTATATTTCTGCAGGATTTGAGGATTCCAATGACGATGTGAACGCCGCGGCAGGTCAAGCCCTAAAACATCTTTGCCAGGACTGTAAGCAGGTAAGTCGCCCCAGGCTTTATTGAAGTTCACGTTTATCCTCTCTATAGCATCTTACAGACTTCCTTCCAACCCTGCATGCGTTTTTGAAAACGACCGGGCGCAAGTTAGCTCAAGACGACAGACTGCAAGTGTATGAGGCTATTGCATATGTTATCTCTGCCATGCCTATGGAGAAGGCAGCTGAGTCTCTGAAAACATTCTCCTTGGACATTTTGTCGCAAATCCACACGGCCGCTGGCCAGGTCACCTCCCTAAGTAAACAGGAACTTAAGGACATAGGCCGTACGTCGTCTGGTTCTGTAATATCCACGTTGATCAACCCCTCCTCCACAGATGGTTTAGAAAATCTGGAAGTCATGTTGCATGTCGTCGGTCCGTTTGGAGATCATTTACCCGCGGCTTGCCAAAACAGTTGCCGAGAGGCTTGGTCTGTTTTCGATGTCTTTATTGCCAAGTTTGCCTTTGATTATGACACTACGGAACGAACAACTCGTGTACTTCGCCCTGCACTGGCGCTCTTTGGCCGATCGGCGCTCCCTATTGCGCCCGCCTTATTGTCACGGATGGTCTCGTCTTTTGAGGCGACTGGATTTTCTGCTTTCTTATGGATTGCAGGAAAGATTGTTGGGAGATTTGGTCGGGAATCCGAACCAGCCCTCCAGCGCTCTTTTCAGGAGTTATTCGAGCGGTCTACGAACAAACTGGTTAGCTTACTGCAATCGACAGCGGCTAGAGACATACCAGACGGTCAGTAACATACCTGGTATTGCATATGATGCTGAAGTCGTGGTTATCGGCAGTTTTGGAAGACTACGTGCAAATGCTTTTGCAACTTGAAGACGTGGTTCCAGATGTTTTCTACCAGTCCTCTGCATTTCCACTGGCATTTCGGGTGTCGATGGCTACACTTGGCCTTATCCACTCTGACATAACTTTTGCAGCGCTGGATTTGTTCCGAAACATTGTGACCCACGACTGTTTCTCGTCTGTTCCCCCGAACCCCAAGAATGGTCTCTACGCCGCTGCTATCAAAGCGGTGCTAGAGAAAGAGGGCTTTGATCTTGTTGGCTATTTATTAAGTGGTTTGGTTGGCGACTTTCCTGAGGATTCTGCGTCATGCGTTATCTCCATCCTTCGCTCCCTATCCACGTTACTTCCCTCCCAGATCCTGGTGTGGCTGCCGGTGGTTCTGCAGCAATTACCTGCGACAAGCGCACCAAACGAAGCCAAACAGCAGTTTCTGGTAGATGTGTCCAAGTACGTTGATTCTTGCCCCTACATGCAGGACGTCGACTGAAGACTCTCAACAGCGCAGTTGACACCCGGCAATTTGATAAAGTGAAGTACGCAGTTCTTAGTTTTAACCGAGCCTCTAGGAAAGCTCGAGACCGGCGACGTGTAGCACCACTGAATGAATAAATGATATACGAGACTTGTGTAACTTCGATAGGTTGTTAACATTGCTATGGACCATAGTCCGAGTTTCCCGATTTGGTGCGACAGACCGGCACTGCCGGTCGAGAACGGAAGGGTTCAAAAGCTGTTTCGCATTTCCTGCTACTCAATCCACGATGCTTCGCTGCCTTGGTCGGTCCACCGCCTCTAATGGTACGTACACCGAGGAACTTGAAGCTGATATTGTGTTTTAATTTTGACCATAGCAGGTCTCCGGTCGTTCTCCACTTCGACCGCCCGCAGGAGCTATAGTGATACTATCCAGAACTTGCGTATCCACAAGGATACAAAGGTGCTTTGCCAAGGTTTTACTGGCAAAACCGTGAGCAGACCAACTCATTTTGTGGCCCCAGAAGAGCAATACCTTGACTGAGTGCCGCAATAGGGCACATTCCACTGCAGGGAGGCATTAGCTTACGGTACCAAAATGGTGGGGGGTGTTTCTCCCAACAAGGCGGGTCAAACTCATCTCGGTCTGCCTGTGTTTGGCTCCGTCCGGGAGGTATGTGTACTCCCGTCGTGGTGACGCTTAGGTTGACCCTCCTTGTATCAGGCCGTCAGAGAAACACAACCCGATGCTACTGTCCTGTATGTCCCACCACCAACGGCCGCAGATGCCATCATAGAGGCCGTCGAGAACGAGATTGGTTTGATTGTTTGTATCACAGAGGGTATTCCACAGGCAGATGAGATAAGGGTGAGACTGCTTGCATTTTGCTCCGTTACTTGTCCAACACCCGCCTTGCAGGTGGTGAATGTTCTCGAGAGTCAGTCCAAGTCACGCCTTGTCGGGCCTAATTGCCCTGGTGTCATCAACCCACTGGGCTGCAAGATGGGTATCCAGCCCGGCCACATACACAAGCCCGGCAAAATCGGTAAGTCTTCCGTTACAAGTAGGGGGAGGCCTGGCCTGAAACACCTCACCCAGGTATCGTTTCTCGGTCCGGCACGCTGACGTATGAAGCTGTTGCTCAAACAACGGACGTTGGACTCGGACAGTCACTTTGTGTGGGCATCGGCGGTGACCCATTCCCTGGCACACGACACATCGACGTTATCAAAGTCTTCCTTGAGGACGACGCCACAGAAGGTAATCAGTTTTAGCTCTTTTTCCATTCATCTCGAACGTTGTCGTTAATTCTTCGCCAGGAATTGTCATCATTGGCGAGATCGGTGGTTCCATGGAAGAGGAGGCCGCCGAGTATTTGGAGAAGTACAACAAAACACGCAAGAATCCCAAACCGGTCGTGGGCTTTATTGCTGGTCGGACTGCTCCACCTGGACGTCGTATGGGCCATGCCGGTGCCATCATCTCTGGTGGAAAAGGTGAGTGGTACGATTATCCTGCGGCGACGTTCTCCTGATCCCTTTCCAGGCGCTGCTACAGATAAAGTAGCCGCACTTGAAAAGGCTGGTGCCATTGTCACCGATAGTCCAGCAAAAATTGGTGCAGAAATGCTCAAGGTTTGTTGTTTCCGGCGAAAGCAAAACACACTTACAAATGCTGTTCACCTATACAGGCTATGAAAGCGGCTGGTCTCGTATAGATAACGAGTTCCATACACCTTCCTTAGTATACCCAGGTAGATGCGTAGATACATTGGGGTTCTCTTGTTTACATAAGACACGTTACCTGTGTACTACGACTATGGACGGGTCGGCGTCCCCGGCTTTGCTGGAGGCAGCAGCCTATCTGTCGCGTGGGTCATCACTCTCCAGCGTACCAAATAGCACAAAGCTCGAGGTTGGCCGAGATTTCTTGACTGTAAGCGAGGCCTGACTTGGTGCAATCTACAGTTATATGGGTTGTACAAGTTTCTTACGGTCTCCCCGCTGCCGCAGACCTCGCGACCCTCGCTGTTTGACATGACAGGACGCGCGAAATGGGATGCTTGGACTAGCACGGAAAAGACGTACAACGATCGCAAGGCAGACGCTGAGAAGAGGTATCTGGAGATCGCGCGCGAACTCGGGTGGATACCTGGTGACGCAGGTACTCAACTGATTAGCCCTTCGGATCAGGCATCGCCTGGTGAGGTGTGGGATGATGAGCTAGGCATGAGAGTCTCCGATTCTGCGAGCAATCATAGAGGAGGCATGGGCACAACTGTCAGTGCTCTAGCGCGGCCCATAACTCAGGACGGAGCAGAGACGCTGCACAAACTAGCTATTGAAGGAGATCCAGACAAGGTCTCTCGATTCCTGGAGGCACACCCACTACTGGATATCAATGAACGTGACGAATTCGTAGGTTCCTGACCGTGCCGATTCCTTGCCCGATGATAAACGCATGTCAACCATCAGGGATATACGGCGTTACACCTTGCTTTTGATAGAGGAAATTTGCCTACAGCTAAAGTGCTACTCGAGCACGGCGGGGACCCGTTGCTCAAGGTACTTTGTACCTGTTGTCGGCTTCAGTTGCTCATCTGGCTTTAGGATCCGGATAACTTGACAGCAGCGGAATTGGCTGAGATTGCAGGCCACAGCAAGCTCTCTGCCCTTTTACGAGAAGGCAGTACCATAGTATAGAATGGGTGGCACTTTACAACTACCACAGACGTCGTCTGAGTCAGGCACTTAGTGATGGACAGTAGGAAAGCAAGGCTAACAGAAGTACCTAGGTGTGGTTGCGTAGAAGGAACCCAATACTTACTCGAATCCGGACGGCATCTCACTCTATGATCCGCATTGTGTCGATGATTGAGGATTCGGATGGGTTCCCAGATGCTGCGGCGAAAGAGGTTTGGAAGAGTATCCTGAGTCCGGCGGTATGATTCCCCCCTGGAGTTACTCTTAAGTACACAACCAAGTCCAAAACTTCTATACCCACCCATTCCAGAAAGCGTGTTACGGGTTTGCTTGGAACGGCTCCGACGCCCAACCAATACTTGATTCTATCGACACTCCATTTCATGGTCTTATACGAATGCTCCCCGACTTTGTCCAACTTCGGGGATGGCTCGAATACACCCAAGAGCTCTATGGGCTTGGCATCGCGGCGTCTACGATGATCTATGGCGACCAAATGAAAAATACGGTTGTGCCTGGTGCCGTGGAGAGCCATGCGCAGGCGGACGGTCATCGTGGTCGGTTGGCTTTGTCAAAGAACAGCTAAGTGAAAGACACTCGCATGTGTTGTGACTCTGTTTGGTCCGGACAACTAGTACACTAGCAATTTATCGGGAGGGACAGTATGTAGAAGTCCAGATGTAAATTCGGTGTAAAGCGCGACCTTGGTTCGCATATGATGAACTTAATACTAGAATCACCCGAATCGTGGATCCTACTAGTGTGCAGTGAATACTCAATTCCGATTTGAGGCTCGTCACGAATCCGGACCCGAGCTACCAGGGATCAGCTATGTGGTTCGAATGAGTAGCGGTCCATACGGATGTAGGACATCAGATACGTGCCATGCAAATATTGTTCCCGTTAAGCAACGTCTGATTGAGTTTCGCGTGCTTTATGCCTTGGGGAGTCGTCTCGCTGCAAAAATCGATGCGCAAGTGGAGCCCCGATCGGAGGCTCAGACTCACTATTCTGTCACGTCCTCCAACACCATATCTGCGGACATGGGAAGTTTGTTAGGTACAGTAGAATATTGCGGGCTCCACTCACTGACAAAGTCGTCGAAACCCAAGAGGGTCCCGGTGAACTCGCGGTCATTTTTCATGATCACCCATATGCGCGATCCGATACATCTATCAATGAGTTCTACAAAAAAACGCGCCGCTATGAGCAGTCACCATCGTTCTACCATAATTCACGCTCACCGAGGGGGAGGATCTGAGACGCCATAAGTTGACCCTGCACGGGGTGGCCGTGACTAGTTGACTCTTAATCTGATTCCTGGTCAACTTGCGGTAAATCGCCCCTCAAAAGTTACAAGTACGGCAAAATCAAATAATCGTCGCCAATTACCAATCCACTACGAGTACGTCTTCATGGACAATACAAACTTCGTTACTTGCGAACTGCAGAGCGTCCGTTAGACGCGTGTCGCTACAGATAGGTACCAACTACAACTAGCTGTATGCAGGGAATACGTGACATTTCATTACGCAGAACGGCGATTGAAGAGGAGAAAGTTTAACAGTGTGGGTGTGAGGACATGAATCACTGTTGGCCAAAGCTGAAGCCACCTTGCGGGGCACTGACATCAGAGTGGAACTATACATTCAAAAGATCAGCGTTAATCAACCATACACAGATCACGATCACTCACAGCATAAGCGCCGGAAGAGTCGACGCTAGGAGCACTGATAGCTGCGTCGACCTCTTCTTCGTCGGGGAAGTACTTGTCCATGATGTTGAATGCCTTTTTATAGATATCCAAATTGTCATGCGACTGAAGATTGTGGATGGTCACCATCCCACCAGCCTCCTCGACATACACGGCATATTGATTGACAGCACCCGGTCCTGCAGCCTGCTTGTCCATCTCACCGACTTTTAAGATGTTGTCGAGTCCATCAAGAGCCACCTGGATAATCTTGTTGTCCATCATGGTCAGCAGGTCACAAAGAGGTTTGATGCAACCCTGGGAAACAAGATAACGGATCTGTGCAGGTTCCTGGAGGCCACCGGACGTAGCGTTCGAAATGGCCCAACAGGCTTCTTTGCGGGTTTTGAAATCTGCATTTTGAAGGATGTTGATAAGTGGTGGAATAATGTTGGCGTCGATAACCGCTTGAATCTGAGCAGGCGATCCTGCTGTGATGTTGGAGATGGTCCAACAAGCCTCTTTTCTGATGCCTTCCTTCGGTGAAGACAGCAGAGAGAGTAACGCAGGGAGAGCGCCGGATGCAATGACCACTTGAGTCTGAAGATCGTCCCCGGTGACGATGTTTCCAATGGAACGGAGAGCAGGGGTCTGCACAGCAGTTGAAGGATGCATGAGAAGATCTACCAGTCTTCGGCACACGGCCGACTCGATGACGGCTTGGATTTTATCATTAGAGCCATCTGAGAGGTAGGAGATAGCCCAGCAAGCATCTATCAGAATCTCGTCATCCATCGAGTAGATTAGCTTCGTCAAGACAGACAACGAAGGGGAGATCTACAGAATAAGTATCAGTGCCCGTTAAAGGAGGGGGGAACTTGAGTGAACGGAACTCACCAGTTCCCAATCTGGTTGCGGGTTCTTTCCTCGGCAGAAGTTGCTCAAGGTCCATGTAGCGTTCCTCAGCATGCTTAATTTGTGGTTCTCACTCAGGAGTTGTAACAAGGGCCTCAGTGCACCCTGCTGCAAGACATAATCTCTGCATTGCGGGCTGTCACCAGCAATGTTTCCCAAGGCCCACACAGCTTGTTCGCGGACGTCCAACACTGGGGAAGATAGGAGATTGATGAACTCAGGGACAGCTCCGCTAGCAATGACGACTTGGGTATGCTCTGCGGTTCCTGAGGCGATATTTGTCAGTGCCCAGGCTGCCTCGAACTGCGATCAATGTGCTTCGTATCAAGTACTCCAGCAATGCAAAGAGACAAACACCACCCACCTGGAGCATAGAATTTCCGCCTCGCAGAAATTCTACAAATCGGGGGACTACACCACATTCGATGACTTTGTCGATGGGAGGGTTCCTCTCCTTTGACAACAACTTTCTGAACTTGGTCGTCGCGTCTAGCTGACGATCTGGGTCGTTTGAGAACACACCCGAGATCATTTCTTCCGCAAGCTAACCAAAATTAGTTACAGAGATAAAGCAAGATGTTCGGATACATACTGGCGGCTCCCAAGAGCTCGTCGTTGGCTCTTCATCAGAGTCGAGAGAGGATGTCGGGAGGAAATTCCTCCTTTTCGCGATGTTCTCCTCACGTTTCTGTCGTCTAATTTCGACCTGTTGCTCTTCGCGACGCCGCCTAAGATCATCCTGCTTCAGGCCACCTTTGTTCTTATAGGCTGATGGACGGATTGGACACTGATATTATTGTGGGTCGCATCAGAACACGTACTGGCTCTCCGATGTTCCATCGTGCGTGACTCCATGGCCGATAAGTTTGATCTTTCGCGCGGGGATACAAAGATAGATGAAAAAGATGAAAGCGAGCGACCGGCCACTCGCGTCTTTTCAGAGATCGCGCATACGCAAGGTCACAGCAAGTCACGTGCACTCTCTCAGTGGCAAGTTCCACACAAAAATTGTCAAAACTACAACAGTCTGAGGGGCGTTCGTTTACTGTAATACGACTCCCGAGGTAATACTTCAGCTATCAAATGGATACTGCAGCTGCTAGTCAGTCATTGTTCACGATGGGGAGATCGTCACGCACCTCGAAGGGCTCAGGCGGGTCCGCCTCTGTGTTTGAACTCAGGTCGATGTGCAACTGACGGTCTGCGACGTCCGCATGGCCGTTTGGCACAGCACCTCCGGTGGGACCGCCGCCCGGTGGAGCCGGGGGTTGGAGCTCGATGAACTCGGCTTCCTCGATTGGACGCTCATCAACCAAGATTAAGATGCCGCCCCCACCAGCGTACCGTTCTGATACCAGCCCTTTTTTAGTGGGCTGAGAGGATGCTCCCTTGGTACCCTTGGGAATTAGTGTGTTGGACGTTACCGGGCGGACGGGCTGGTATCGACCATCAGATGGGAAGCTGACGTAGCCCAGCTGAATAGGGGTAACACGAGAAAAATTGGCCAGTTTTTCAGAGGCAGGTTCAGACTTCCGTCTTGACGACGAGGGGGCCTCTTCGGTCTTCATTTCTACGTCTGTGTCCTTCCTGACTTCCACCTTCTCGTCCTTCCGAGGAATCAGGGCTCACCGTCGATACTCGAGCTTAAGCACTCACTGTGTCCATACTCTCCTGGTCGGCGGCAGCCTTCTTTTTCTCTCTTGCCTTCACCTTCGCAGTGGTAGAAAGCACGGCAGTGACCATCTTAGCGGCCGTCTCCTTCTTAGGTGGTGTTGCTGGCGCAGGATAGGCAAACAAACTCGGTCGCGCATTCGACACAAATTCAAATTTAGGCACCTGAAAGATTTCAATGATGATCTAACCTGTGCAAGAGAGAAATGCTAGACCTTCAAGTCCTCGTTGAGGCCGATGATAGCAGTTGGCTCAAAGGCAAGGCACGCGCAGTGAGCCAATGGGTACCAATACCAGAATTGACAGAATAGTGTCATCCCCACAATAGCACTTGTATTGCGGGTACCTGCACGGCTTTGAAGGCTAATGGTAACATTGCGCCCCCCCGCATCAATAAGACCTTGACCAAGGGCAGCACCAAAACGTGCCATCGGGTCCTCATGCTTATCGGATATCACCTTCGCGTAGAGGGCGCGAGTCGATGCCATAGAAGGAGTCGACTCAGACTGTTGGACAAGGATCATGCCGAGAGCAATAAAAGCTCCCTGACGGACGAAGTCCACGCCGTCCTTAGTCATTGGTTCCAGAATCTGAACGGCATCCTGCAAGCTGGCGTTGAGCTATACAGCTAGATCCGAATTCACCGTCTTACCTGCATACCGGTACCTGCACATGCAATACCTAGAGCTAATGTGGCACCACATCTCACGTGCGGATTGTAACTTTCGCTCAGGAGTTGCACAATTCGAGGAACTTGGCCGGGATTTTTAAATAGTAAAAATGCCAGCGAAATCACGGCAGCCCTCCGCACATCATCAGATGTGTCCGATACTGCAATATGCAACAAGCGTCGCACTGCATCATTATTTGAAGTTCCTGCGTATGCAAGAGCTAAGGTGTAAACACCTCCGTAGCGCAAGATCGGATCCTGGAACAGTCGTCAGGCACAAAAACGTGTTGTGAACGAATGCCACCAACCTTTTCGGCTAATAGTAGCCGGATGGTGTCATCAGCTTCTTCCTGCCGTCCATAAAACACAAACGACAATCCCATCGCCACGCCCCGAATAATCTTCTCATGCTGAGTTTCACGCGCATAAGTGATCATTTCCTCCGCACGCGCCTGGCTGGCAGAACCGAGCATGATCAAGCCCATGGCATAACCAGCGGCCTCTCCAGCAACAGCAGAATCCGAAAAAAGAGTCTCCCGCAAATCATCATAAGCATCAGTGTTCCGACTACCCATCCCAGCAATGCCAAGTCCGAGGGCGGCACCGTGTTGAACAACTTCGTTCTGAGAGCTTCGCAGAGCTTCCCGGAGATAATCCACGGTTTGGCCGCCTCCATAAGCATTGATCATACCCAAAGCGTACAATGCTCCACCTTCCGAATACATTGCACCCTGTATCTGACTTTCGGTGCCAGTTTGAGGAAGGTAAGGACCTAGAATGGTCATCCCTTGTTGGAAGTACCCCTTGTGGATGACACCAAGTGCTGCGGTAGTGGAGAACTTGGCCCAATTTGTAGCCATTCCTAGCCACTCTAGATGTTCCCTGAGGAATATATCGGATGTTGTTCCTGCATGCATGAATGCATTTTGCAGTGTAAGTGCTGTGTGGTATATGGAGGACCGAGGTTCCAGTACATCCTGTAATTCTAATGAAATGAGGTTTCAGTTGATTCGACGTCAACACTTACTTTACTATGCTTTAAGATGAGCATGTCCACTTTGTTGTTCCGTTTCAAGAACTCTAGGTAGAGTTTCACAGTTTCTTCCCCTCCTAATATGTTGCGGAGGTTTTCAAGGATTTCCTTGGTTTCCTACTTCGCATTAGTGGCAAGATTCATACAAATCGAAAACTCGAATCTCACATCTTTACCTTGGGGAAGGTCCTTCCGCACCCCTTCCAAGAAATCTCTTGCCCCACCTTCTACCAAATCGAATGCGAATTGATAGGCAACGAGCTTCTCCTTTGGAACCAGTGAAGACAGTAGGGAGACCGTTATAGAAGGGTTGTTCAACGTCACGTGAAGCCGTGCAAGCGCAAGCATGTGTGTAGAATTGGCTTGCGATGGTAGCGGGAACAGTGGCGACAAGAAATTAAGAACTTGATCACGATAGGAGAGGGAGAAACCCGTATCAAGAACAATTCCCATGGCATAAGATAAGAGGGAAACATCGCCGGTGAGGTTGTAAATTTGGGAAATTATGTCGAGCCGACGGGATTCCAAAGCAATGCCAATGGCCTAATAGCGCGATGAGAAAATGGGTATAGAGACGCAGGGTGATGTATCACCTGTTTGTACTCCCCTTCATCTATGCACCGCTGGAATATGGTTTCTATAATGAACTGCAATCGAGCCTCAATCTTCGAACCGGAAGAAACCTCAGTTCGAGCACAAGTGAATGTATCTGTCAATTGCCTTGGCTAAGAGCCAATTATCATGTATACGAATTATCAGAGAAAAGTAGCATCGCGACTTACAAACAACAGTTTCCACATACTCCTTTGCGTCATATGTTCGAGTCTCTGCCTGAAACGCGTTGCCTGCATCGAGGGCAAACGATAACGCCTCGTCGTACTCGCCGAGGTAGTAGTACACCTTGCTTGCAAGCAGAGCAGCGATGTCACGGACTTCCTTTGGGAGCTCTTCAAACTCGTACAAGCTCTCGCTGAATTGCGAACGGGAGTCAGACAAGTTACAACATGTCTCTGGTGAAACACGCACATGAGGGCAATGTGTTCTGAAATTTCCGCCCAAAACTGAGGAACAAGCTGGTTTAAAGCCTTCAGAGCATGCTGCTTGAACACTATGTCCGGTTCCGAGAGCAATGCGAGCGCGCCAGCCGCTGATGAGTGAGCACGAACGACCATAATCACGAATGTGGAGGACTTGCCAATGGCGTACGCGTCACCTTCCTACATAATAGACTTGAAGTCTTTCAAGCGGAGATGGTCGGACATTGAATCTACTCGACATGCCTTCCCGATGCCGTCCGCAATCCAGAGTACTGCTTCATTCTCCACAATGAACTTCCTGGCCAGGAACGCTGCTCGCGCAACCGTTCGCGCCATACCAAGAGGCTCGCGCAGATTCGCAGCTGATGCAACAGGAGGCGATTATTTTGCCAAACGACAGGCTGTTCAAGAACATGCCCAAGGCAAGGACCACAAAGCTCAATAATTTTTCATACTTGACTTACATTGCCAAAGCATCCACTGAACTTTGGCGTAAAATCAGGTATGTACTAATCGTTCTTGACGAGATCTTCTGCTGACCTTCTCTGTAGCTATTATGTTGCGTTCCCGTCGAGTACGTTGCGCAATTGATCAATATCATCTCACTCACCAAACGCCTAATTTAGTCGTTCTGTGTATGGCATGGGTATACAACGTCGAGCATGAGCACCACGCCCACGAAGAGCATGAGAAAGAGTTGCATGGCGGGAAGCTACCTGAACCTCCTGCTTATGAATACCTAAACCGTCGGGTGAAACCTTTCCCTTGGGGCAACAACTCGCTTTTCTTCAAAGCAGAGGTTCGTCGACGCAGCGTGTAATACACTGAATATGGGATGCGATTTGACATTACTTCCCAGGTAAACAAGGACATGAACCAGGAAGAGTGACGACTACCATACAGGTAGATGTGGATTTCTATTCCTGCCCTAACATGTGGCTCGCCCCTGGGATTTCGACCGACCTTGCTTTGTAACTTGTCGGTCAATATATTGCATCGAACATGCATCCCTGGCGCCAGTAAATAATCAACGTTGGATTAGAAGACAGCCCTGAATCGTTCGAATGCTGCTTTCTTGATCATCTTAGTAGATGGAGATTCCGTCAGAACGTCAGTCAACCACCAACAGACATGCCAATATTGATCACAGTCAGATCCTCGGTCTTGTTGTGACTATGTATCAGGTTGAAAAGGTACTTTCTCGTCGGGCAAGTGGGCTATGAAGAGCAGCACATTGACCAGCATGGCATTTTGCGATGATTCTAGTATTCGTCTCGTGGAATTGGTATAACCGTGAGCGTGAGCTGTGATCGGCAGTGGTGACGCCGGTACAGCTGGTAGCAAATGTGCAGGCTGCACCGCCAGCAGAAGCGCTGACACTTCTAGCCATTCCACCGCAGCTGTACGATTAAATTCGTCGCCAGTGGAAGCCACTGGCTTGAGGTGTGAGCCGTGCGGGTTAGCATTAGATACGTTCGTAGTCTCGATCGTTACATGGGTGCTGTGGAATTGCGTCCGAGTGGACGCTCAACTGGCGCTCACTGATGGTGTGCCAAGAAGCCGCCTGACAACTGTCGGTGAGTCGGTGCAGAATATTCACGAGAAGGATATCACAACCAAAGACAACGGTGTGCCGGTGCACCGTCCGATGGTAGGTTAGGCCTCTGTCCCTCCGTAGCCGGGTGACACGACCGATGTGAGATGTGCTATCACAGGATCTGCACGGACCGTCCAAGAGCACGATTCGCCTGTCTTCCTTTTGATATCGATCCAATGAGAAATACAGCTCCATGAAAGGAAGGGACGCCTCCTGTCAGACTGTCACTATTTAATCCGCACACCGTCTGAGCTTGCCTCCCACTCCACAAGACGACATGCCTCGTCCCATCATCTCCCCGTCCGTCCTCGCCTCAGATTTCGGCCAGTTGACTATAGAATGCAAGCGCATGATCAAAGGAGGAGCGGAATGGCTCCACATGGGTGCGCAATCTTATCTCAGCTAAATGACCATGTAGCTGGACACCTCTACCTGCTTGTCCCGCTCAGATGTCATGGACGGGTGCGTATTCGGTGTAGTTGCCGAGGTCGGTGACGCTCACACGCATTGCAGTCACTTTGTCCCGAACATTACCATAGGTTATTCTTATGGCAGCGGTCTCAGTAGCTCCCTCACCCTTTTGCAACAGGCGCCCCCGTACTGTCTTGCGTGGCGAAAAGCGTTCCCGGCATTTTCATGGATTGCCATATGATGGTTGAACATCCAGAAAAGGTGGGGAACAGGATAACTGCTCGGAGTTACCATGTACTCATGATCTGCTGTTAGTGGGTCGATGACATTGCGGCAGCTGGCGGTTCTTTGTACTGCTTCCACATCGAGGCAACCTGTACGTTCAATATGGTCTTCCTGCTCGATTTATTCACACACCCTTACGTCCGACCAAGCCGATCCCCTGTCCCTCATCAAGTTCGTCCGTGAAAAAAACATGAAAGTAGGGGTAGCGATTTCCCCTGATACACCTTCGACTGCCATAACAGACGAAATAGGTCTAGCAGCGGATATGTTGTTAGTCATGACGGTCTATCCTGGTGTGTAGAACCTCGATACGTTCAGGTCTTTTCATGCACAAACCATGGGTTATTAGGGCGTGGCGGGCAGAAATTTTTGGATCGCTGTGTGCCCAAAGTGGCAGAATTGCGTGCCCGATTTCCTAACAAGGATATTGAGGTTGATGGCGGGGTCGGACCCAAGACTGTACAGAGTTGCGCAGAGGCAGGTACGTCTGCCTAATCTCTTGGACAGGCTTTGGCAACGAAGTTCACTTCGCACTCAGGAAGCAACGTCATAGTAGCGGGGACTGCTATCTTCCATGCTGGCAATCCGGAAGAAGTCATTACGGCCTTGAAGAATGCCGTTATTACCGCACAGGCAAACAACTCCGTCTGATTGATAATTGTGGACTGAGTATATGACGCTGCATCTGTAACATTAAACAAACAAAAATAAAACAGCTGATTGCGCGACTTTTGCAGCACTGCTCCTGCGCAACTTTTTATACTAACCCTGCATAATTTTTAACACAGCCACCTTGTACCACTTTGCACTAGCTAGGAGGGCAGATAAAATAGATAAACGTAGGCAGGACGTGAACACAGTTCGTCGGCACCCTCCCCAGTCATCCCACCCAATCCACGAGGCCGTGATGCCAAGAAACGGGCCCAAATTCGCTAGGCCAGTGATGACTTGTGGCGCGGAGTGCGGTCACATGAATTTGCAGGTGGCGATGCCGTGTGAATTTCCCGAAGGAGCAATCCCGCCACCAGGCGGGAGGGGCGGGAAGGGGGTCGAGCGTTCGAGCGGGCCCTGTGGGGCATCACGGCCTCGTGGATTGGGTGGGATGACTGGGGAGGGTGCCGACGAACTGTGTTCACGTCCTGCCTACGTTTATCTATTTTATCTGCCCTCCTAGCTAGTGCAAAGTGGTACAAGGTGGCTGTGTTAAAAATTATGCAGGGTTAGTATAAAAAGTTGCGCAGGAGCAGTGCTGCAAAAGTCGCGCAATCAGCTGTTTTATTTTTGTTTGTTTAATGTTACAGATGCAGCGTCATAATGCAGCGTCATAGCGTCATACTACACAAGTTACGCGACCACCTTTTTATTTTATCTGTTTAGTGTTGCACATGCAGCGTCGCGTTTCAAGCCTTCAAATGCTCGTGCGTAAAGCTAAAGACCATTAAAATCGGCTACGTTAAGACCTAAGCAAGTCCTATGGTTTCGGCATCCTCCACCGGCTGTCTATGACGGTCCGCAAAGATATACACGACAAGTTATAATCATCTGAAAGGTATACGTCGCGGTCTGTTTGAGGTCCTAATCCAACAATAGAAAGAGTGGCAAATTCTGTGTTCTTAAGGATATTGAAGAACAGTGATATCGGGCCAAGATCGATTGACCAAACGTGAAAGCACGAAGCAAAAGCACTCGGAGCTTGGGTTCAACGTTACCATTGAAGCCATTCGCCGTACATGTTTGGTCTTTCGTTTCGGATGTATGCTTCAAAGGTCCGCTTAAGAACAGTCGCCCAATCGAGGTCTCTTTTATCATCAGCAACTTTGTCTGCCCATTCTTCGGGATCGATATCAGGCATTGCAGCAGCACGGGCTGCCTTCTCGCCAGCAGAAAACCTTGGGCCAAGATCTGGCCAATTGCGCGAAGGATCAAAAGGCTTCCACCTGACAGTGCCAATTGGATGATGTACTCATGAATCTGGATCGATACGCACCAGAAGTTATGGAAGTGATAGGAATACGCCCCACGGAAGAAACCATCAAACCCTAGTGCCTGGGGTTGTGCACTCGACTGCGCTGGAGTGTCGAAGAAGTCGGCAAACCTGAAGCGAATAAATTAGCGGGTGGCTCACTGTGAAGGCACGAGGTATTACTCAGTGAAGTAAGGCTGGGGTGGTCTCTCGCGTTGGAATACTTCGGTGTTAAGCCATGCTGAGTCAAACAGTGCATCTGGAAGGCGTAACAACAGTCCTTCAAGGTGTGCATCCTTTGTGTACCGAGAAACCGTCATAGGATGGAAGTCAAGACCATTCCTAAGAGCCGTACGGAAAAGGAACGACCCCAGGGCTGAATTCTTGTTCATGCGAAGCACAGCGGTGTTGTACTTCTTCAGGCGGGACCATCGATAAGCAAAAGCACCTTTCCAGCCCCACAGTTCCTCCCAGTCTCGTAAAAAGATGGTATCTGCATCGAGATAGATACCACCGAACCTGTGACATAAGACGAACCGCGCCATATCGGACAAGATAACGGAGAGGCGGTCGTAGGAAGACGAGGACTTGGAGCCCAAGCGATTTAGCATGTCGTCTTCATCTGACTTATCACCACCAGTAGCTGACGGCTTGGCGTCAACGTTCGTGGCGTTGCTCGCTTCCTCGACTATACTTGAGGAAGTTTGCTGCTTTTCGACGGGAACGTTGATGATGTGGCCACCGGAATTAAATAGCGTTTCTCTGAGTTCGCGCCATTCGTTTTTGATCTCTGGAACTCCGTCGAGCTGCTCCGTGGTATTCCAAAGTTTGAATTTAATCACGTCCTTAAACCGCGGGTGCAAGAAGGGAGCTGCCCAAGGATTCGTTTTGAGTTGATCGAACATATCGCCGAGTGCATTTGGATTGGGTATGGAAGCTGCAGGGCCTGGGTTAATCCATAGCCAGAACTCCGGTCTGCAGACATTTGGCTCCGAGCCATCTTTGAGGTGAAGACCAAGGTTCTGAGTAAAGAGGAAAGATAGAAGAGCGAGGTAGGGCTTGTCGGTAAACGGACCAGTCCAAAAGAGATGGAAAACGCGAGGGTTCTCTGGGTCGCAGGGCGATGGAAGACTCGAGTACGGGGTATGTTGTAAAGTAGGTCGAAGTTCTAGTGGAGCTTCCCATTCTACACCACGCTTTTTGATGAGGCCCGCATTGGGGTCTTGGATGCCCGTGGACTGGAGGGGTCGAGGTGCCATTACGTTACCCAAGGACATCTGAGCAGGCTCGGTGAAATTCTCGCGATCTTGCTCCATATAGATGTATTTCCACTCGTCCATTTTTCCTCGCCGGACATGATTGCCATTATCGAGGCCAGCGCCCACTCGTAAGACTTCTAGACAATCACGCACATACTTGATTGTGATGAGCACGGTGTATCAGTGTTGTAAGCCTGTAGGACCTACTTTGTTCTGCGAAAAGTCGCAATGGTCCATGACACTGTCCAAGTCAGCAACCGAACCAGGAACGGGGCGAGGGGGGTATGCAACACCGGGAGGTTGGCCCTGTAAATCAAGGTAGACGCGTCGCGGACCATCACCACGCGTTGTAGTGGACACGGGCCCCGGAGGAGGTCTGAAGCGTGAGGGTAGGGATGGAGCTTTTCGCGGGGGGAGGGCAGGATTGAGGGGAGGCTCCGTCAGCCCTATTTGTTCGGGAACTTGTGGAAATCAGTTGGTTGAGGTGGTGATAGTGCAAGAAGGTCATGGGACTCACTCTCGCGTTTGCTTGGGTAGTGACCACCGGAAATTTCCCACTTCCATATGCGTTGCAAATCTTCGCGACCAAAGACGAGGGTAGATGGTTCACCAAAGTTTGGCGTCCACTGCTTTTCCTCAGGTCCGAACCGCCGTGCAAATGAGAGGACGGCGAAGACGGAGATGATGACAAGGAAGCAAAGTACCATTGGACCGCGTCTGCGGACGAAGCGAGAAATACCCAGATGGTGGACGCGACTGAGGTTTGGCATATAAAGACGCAGACGGCGGGTGCGAACGCCGGGGATAGCAACAGTAACGGGGACCACCCATGACATAGACCGACCGTGTCTGTTCATTTTCTCCTGGACTGCCGAAGAATAAGTGGGAAGGCCATTGGAAAGACGGGTTTTCTCTGGATAACCATTGGCCCGTTGCGGGGTAGAGAAGTAGCTGGAGATGGCCATTCAGCCCAGCGAACGGCGAGGACACCGTCGTATGTGCGGTGAAAGGAGACCTGGCGTAAAATCTGGTTGCTAACCGAAGTGTAAGACCGACAATATCGTGCGAACAAACTACTTCGCCGCAGTCGCACAGCCAATACACTTTTCCCTAAGTACGTGTCATCATCGTCGGAATGTTTGAAACTTAATCGCGGCCCCAACGAACCGTTGGGTCTCAGATCTATTCTGCCAAACTATGGTAGACTGTACATCATTGCAGGCTTCTAAGGAGAAAAAATGCGTTCATCTTCATACAATTCCCAGCTCACTGCGAACCGAGCGGCTGCATCTCCAGGTCAGCCGAATCGGTGGGCACAGACAATATACGAAGCGTATTGGTGTGTCCGAGACCACCCTTCCATCCTTGGACGGCGATGATGGTTGTGCCTGTCTTGATGATGTTCAAAGCGAGCGCATTCTTCAACCCAAACCGGATGCGGTTGTCCACCTGTCGAAGCGTTCGTGGAATAGCTCCCAACTGTACAGAGTGTCACTTACATCCTTTTGCCATTGGCCCTCATGGACGCCACGGGGTTCGGGGTACCAGAATGGGTAGCACCCCCTGTGCAGGTGGATTTGACGCGCGGTTTGCTCATTACGTGTGACTGCAGAAGGGTCCCGTCACCGACGTAGAAAATACTCTTGAGCTGAACGTACCGCAAATAATAGGTGCCACGGGTCTGTATTTAGACACCAGGCGGGCGGTGTTGCCACTGGTGGATAGCACAACGATGGCACTGGCCTTCTGTTCCGATGCAGCTGCAACGGCAGCAATTGCAACCGTCTCAGCCGTATCCGTGGGGAGAGGCTGGACGGACTTCAATTCGTTGTATAAGGGTGGGTAGCAGATAGCGGACTCGGCAATGAGACAAGTCTCAGCCATCATAAGAACTAGTGTTTCCCTCAGCCAGGAAACAAGAAAAGGCACGGTAATTCACATACCAGACTCGACAGGATAACCTCCTTTTGCAGTCTCTCCGGACAACATAACACAATCGGCACCATCAAGAACTGCGTTGGCAACGTCGCTGACCTCCGCACGGGTGGGCCTGGGATTGTACTAATAGGGTTCAATAGCTATGTTTCAGGCGAAGCATCCTGGCCTACCGTCATCGACTGAGGGAAGCATTAGCTCCCGAATAATCCAATACAAGCACAAGACGCTTACCTCGAGCATCTGTGTTGCAACAATGACGGGCTTGCCAACAATATTGCACTTGGAAATCATCATCTTCTGTGCAAGGAACACCTGACTAGCAGGGATTTCGATGCCAAGGTCACCACGGGCAACCATGACACCATCCGTTTCTCGGAGTATCTCATCGAAGTTCTCCACACCCTGCTCATTTTCTATCTTAACGATGATTTTGATGCTGGCGCCGTCTGGGCCGAGAACTTGGCGAATATCCTTGACGTCTTGCGCCCGTCGGATGAAGGAGGCAAAAATCATATCGACACCGTTTTTAACACCAAATTGGAGATCCTTCTTGTCCTTCTCAGAGAGCGCCGGAAGATCAACGTCGGTCTTCGGAAGGTTGACACCCTTGCGAGAAGATAGGGTGCCATTGTTCACAGCACGGACGTGGACGGTGGGTCCGTCGATGGAAAGAACCAAGAGGGACAGAATACCTGATGGAGTGGTGAATCAGTGTGGCACGACAAGACAGCTTTAATTACCATCATCGATGTAGATGAGTTTTCCTGGGGAGATCACCCTGGAAAGGTTTTTCTATATGCAACTGAGTATAACCCGCAGAGCACCTGAAATCGGGACCGGGAAACATACATAGTCGAGCCAGAGAATCTTATCGTCGCAGCACTCGCTATACTTGTCGTCGGTCGTGATGATGAACTCATGACCCGCCTTGATGGGGATCTAGGAAAACTCGGACATCAATCGGAGTAGAATCGACGCATACATGCATGCGTACGTCTTTTCCATTTTTCATCATCCCAGTTCGGATCTCAGGGCCTTTCTAAAATATGACGTGGGTCGTCAGGGCCGGCGCAAGGAACGCGAAAAAAAATCCCGCTAACCGTGTCAAGAGCAATAGCGACAGGACGTCCTGGCTCCGCTGGTAACACAGTCAGTGAAACGTAAAATGCGAAAACAAGATAAGACATTACAGGCCACCATTTTCCTCGTGTTATCAATGACGCTCTGGTGGTAGTCGTATGAGCCATGAGAGAAGTTCATGCGAACTATTGATGCATATCAACCATCATCGCGCTGTCAGTGGCGGATCACCACTGTCAGATTGGGATCGCACTAACCAACATTGACGCCCGCCCGTCTGAGGGCCGCGAGTTTCTCCACTGAATTGGTATTGGGACCTGCAGGGGAGATGAGGGTGGACAGATGGTCTAGCGGCGTCCATATACGCACCAATCGTGGCGATGATTGAAGTCTGGGACAAACAAACATTGCATAGGCGGCTCTTTGTTCTGGGATAAGGAGAGGGGGACACACCTTGCGCAGGAACTTGGTCTCTGGGGTTGGCACTGGAGCCTTCGAGATGTTGAGTGTGGAGAACCACTCGAGCTGGGATCGGGTGCCATCGTAGGTGAACATGGTGGATGATTTTTGAGCGGAACGATGCAGCTGGGTGAGATGGAGACTGCGATGGATAAGGGAGTCAGCTCTGGTGCGAACTGCGGAGTGGAAAAAAGAAAGGAGGAAGGTCATATATAAGATATACATATACCAGTACCTCTCTCTCGAAACGCTTGGTTGGGGACGGGAAGGGACGCTAGTACTTACCCGACGATGATGGTGGTCCAGGACAAGTTAAGATTAGCGTAAGATTGTTATCAAATCTATGTACCTCCGTACTAACGTCGGATGGATCAGCGCAAATTAAGGCCTGTGCCAAACGTTGGACCAGCCATCCAATCCTTTCATTTAATTTGTGTTGACTTGTCATCTGCCAAGTTGACACCCCAACGTTCCATCCCATCACACGTTCCACGGGCAGACTCATCGGCGGTAGTGTAACGGCAATACGACATAAATCTGCTTGGCAACTAATAAAAAATCATCCACGCCGAGGTATGAAAGTATATGAAACAAGAACCAGATAGTAATAATAGGATGTGCACAACAAAACAATTCTCACTGAGGTGGCTATCAAGCTTAGCAGTGTCCAAAGCAACACGATGACACTGACAACAAGAATGAAAAGCGACATGATAACCCGAATGGAACGAACCAAATATCTTCACATGACTCTCAACGTCCAGCCGTGTAGACCGCCATCCGCAGTCGCAGCCGTCGCAGCAGCCTGGGCCGCAGCTAGCCAGTTAGGGTCCGCTGTAGCTCCACCAGGGGGTGACAGAACGTGCCCCGGAGCCATGACGCCGAGATCCATTGATTGAAACACGTTCTCACATGTAATCGTTCGCCCGGAGTGGTACCCCACACCGTCATACGCTCTGATAAACAACAGGGGAAGACTTCTGCCCGCAATCGTTGGCAATGGGGCACTTGTTGAAACTTGCGAACCGCTCGCAGCCGCACCGTCCACTTGCCCACCACTTCTGGCATCCATGCCCGGTGGCGACATGTGAGGGCCGCCGCCGCCTGGAGTCAGCCCATTCGGCGACATGACATCTTCTTGCAGCGCCTTTATAACTTCGGCTAACGATGGCATATCCACAGTGACGATCGTATGCAGTGGCTGTGTGACGTATCTCCCGGGGGACACTGGGGCAGGTACAGCAACACCTGCTTCACTTGTGGAAGGCATTTCTAGTGAGTGTCCAGGGACACCACCACCGAATGATGCGACATTCGTGAGCGGACCTGGTGAAGATGCTGGAAAGAATCGGGCTCGCAGCGGACCTATATTGCCAAGGTAAACAGCGAGTGGTTGTTGTGAATGTGTCTTAGGGTCATCATAAAAGAAGTGCGAGACGGCCATTTCCAACGAATTGTTGGCAGCACGATAAACTGGCGCGGTGAAGAGTGTGGGGAAAGGAGTTATGGGCATTTCAGGTATAGAGTTGTTCTGACCAAATGCATCAAAGAACGTGTACTGAAATTTCGCTACACAACAGTAGATTAGCCAAGATTCGCATTGATGGCAAAAACATACATATGCCGACTATGGTCCAGCATAAATAGTCGTCGACTTCGTCGGACAGTATCCGCACACCTTCTTTTACTTCTTCTCTGACACGAGGCGCTTGGAAGATCAGAGGGTGTGTTCCGCCTTGCGAGGTGACCCCAGGAGTAGATGGGGATACCACACCTGGAGCGCCAGGGATAGGCCCTGCGGCGGACAGATAATGTCTAGAACCGTCAGCGTTCACTCTTTGAAGAGCTATCTTTTGCATCTGACTAACGGGCCCTCCATCTTCGGGCGAGACCCGACCCTTGTCGACCTTGCGTATGATAAGGGGAGATGTTGCGATGTTGGATAGTGAATCGGATAACACGATTTCACAGCCATACGTCACTGGCTGTGGGCCGCCTGGTATGGCCAACGGTCCGCGAAAGTGATCGTAAGCATCGAAGTGTGATACAGTTCCAGTCACGTGAGGACGTACCATGTGGTGGCGGGGCATCATCTGGGCGCCGAACGACGTTGACGTTGAATGCCGACCAAGCAGAGTTACTGGCACACAATTGACTGGACTCAATCGTCATGTATTTCGTGCGAACGGTCTGAGAGTTGATGCGATTGAAGAGGGAAACTGGACCACCAGCAAGGATGCACGAAGAAATGTTACGTGTCTTGGCAGTCTTCTTTGATGGCTTAGATATAATTGTTACAGGAGCTGAATCAAAGGTAGCCCAAACTCGGCCGGGTGCTGCTTCGTTGCTATCCCCGGACACAGACGGGGGTGGATCCACGATATCAAGAGAAAGCAAGAAACTCTTGGCTTTAGCAGTACCGGTTACATGGAGAAACTTGAAACTGCCAGTCATGTTGTTGTCAAGAACGGTCTTTTGATCATGGGAGCGGTCCCCTTGTTCGGAGACGACTGCCATGGCCAGTTGCTGGGAACGCATCTGCCATACAGGGCCCTGGATATGGACAACTGGAGGTGGGCAGAGGAAGCGTTTTTCGCTGCCGTATGATTTCTGGGCTACTGCCGCGTGAAGACACATGACCGTTGTCATCGGCATGACGCGAGTCGGGTCTTGGGAGACATGGTTGCGCACAGTACGGCGAATCTTTGGATGGGGGTCGTTCTGCTCGGACTCGTCTAGTTTTCGCTTGCCGTTCTTGGTGCTTTGGGACTTGGAGACGCGGTGACAGGTGAGCGGTCGCTTCGGATGATTAAGCGCCGGAGGATGGACATACCTGGGAGACGAGGGTGGTGTGTTGGGGAGGTGCGGATACGGAGGGGATGACCCATGAGTGGTGGAGGTCTTGTTGCTGCAGGACCTTGTCCTTTGAATTTGCAGCGAGGATGGACTGAATGGACGCGTTTGGATCTGGACTTGAGAGCACGGAAGGGGGAGCGGCCGCGAGAGAGGGGTGAGGGAGTTGAGGGGTGCCATTGGAGGTGGACGGCTGGGGGATGTGCTGCTGCTGTTCGGTGTTAGCGGAGGGGGACGAGTCCACAAGTAGATTTGGGGAGAGCTGGGAGGGCGAGGACGGGTGGGGGGACTCGCTCTTGTTGTGGAGGGGCTGAGGCTGTTGTACGTGGGCGTCGAGCTGTGCTGAGTCGGGCATCTGGCCGTGTGGGGAGGATGCGAAGGGGTGGAACGTCCTCATAATAAACTTCCCGCCAGGGATCACTTAACAAGCTCACTCGTGCTCACTGCCAGCTGTGGGAACGAAGAGCGAGAGGTGGGAAAAAAAAACACACACACAGGAGGCCCGTGAGAACTCGCATTATAAATACGGCACAAACATGTCAAAACAAAGACCCCGGCTCAAGCAGTCCCACCAACCACCGCATCACCTTCCCTGTGGAATATTAGAATACAGTTTCAGCGAACACATATGCAGACAGCTGACCATGACGACCGACTGACCTGGCAGTGCACTTCCTGTAGCGATCGCATCGTTGTCTTCCGGCGTCCGTGGAGAGTCACTGTCTGACTCTGAGAACGACGAGTGCCCACCATCTTCCGTCCATAGGCTCCTCTCCACTGCAAAGCTCGTCGGCGGAAAGAATCCCGCAAGGTTGAACGGATCCCCTCTCTCGTCCCTATCAAATGATGATGCTCCTGCGTGTATATCACCTTCCGTCCTTGCTCGCGTCAAACCGACGCATTTTCTGTCATGCTCCTCAAGCAGCGAGCTTGGCGCCGTCCTGGAGCGGCGCAGGGCCATCGTAGTCATCTACGGAGAGTGCCCTGCCTCCCCATACCATCATCAATGGTTCCACCCCTTCCCCAAAGATTCGACAGTTTTTCAAAGTCCGCAGCCGTGTAATGAAAGATGAAAATGTTGTACGGATATCTCTAACAATCACATATTATATATGTCGAGGACAAAACAAGAAAAGCGAAGAAAATAAACTCTTGCCTTCAGTACCGTCCCCGAATGAGTCGAAAAAATGTCGTCCCAGTTCATGAAATGAATGGATATGTGTTGCAGACAATCTCGTCCTTAAAAACAAAAGAAGCGATTCAATTGGGAGGGTCGCGCGGGGAGCCAGACGCCCGTCGCCTATCGCTCCCCTTCTCGCGCGCCCTATTTTGTCCAGGGAAGGGGACCGTCGCAAGAGCCATCGAACGAGACTCCCGCTTCGAGCCACTCGCGTCAGGACGAATACCTATCTCCGCATCCTGTTGGTGACGTTGCCAATCTTCCACCCGCATTATCGATTGTCTCTTCGACGACGGCGAAGACTTTCCTCCGACAACTGCAAGTTTCTCCGCGTTCAGCACGTTTGAGCTCCTATCACCGGTCTTGCCAGAGTCAAGAAGGGTGGACCCGCGCTTTCCCAACCCATCCTGCGACTTCCGTCGAACCTTCTCCTCTCGCTCGAGTTGTGCAGCCTTCTCAGCCTGCCTCTTATTCACCACCTCCCGTTCAATAGCCCGCGATCGCTCCCAGCGATTCTTCGCCGCCTCAACTTCGGCATGCTCCTTTTCAACCTGTGTCAGTGGTGCCTGCAACCCCCTCATCTTCTGACGGTGACGTTCCTCCAGCTCCTCAAACGTCGCCACACGCTGGGGTTCAGGCTTCAGGGGGACAGCAGTTCCACCTCGAGAAGCGATGTAGGGTGCGCTGTTTGACGATTCCAGGGCCGCCGCCTTCAATGGTCGGCTAGGTGGGAGCACAATCGGAATATTACTGTTGGTGGCCTCGACTGAGGTAGCCTTGACTGGCCTGGGGCGTGTCACAATCAACGGGACGCTGTTTGAAGGTGGTTCCGGTGCTGATGCAGAGCCCGGCTGTTGAAGTAGCACTTGAGGTATGCTACCGCTAGTATGCGGTCCCTTCTGCTTCGGCTGTAATTTCATGCCCGCAAGACTACCAATCGGGATGTCTTCTTCAGAAACGTCCTTCAGCGTAATGTCAATACCACCGAAATCAAGTAAACTGCTTTCACGACGCTTGCGTTGAGCCAGCGCCTCGCTCACAGCAGCCGGCATGGGCAGTCGTGAAGACACAGGAGTCGTTGGTATAGGTGCAGTCACGCCGGAAGGAGGCTGCAACAGCTTGCGATCCTGGACATATGAATCCCAGTCCTCATTTTTAAGAGGCACGCTTGTAGGGCGGCTAATGGACGCGCCCAAGGGGGGAGCATCAATAATCTTGGAGAACTCCATAGAATGGGTGCGGACGCGGGGATCAGGCTGTCTCGGTGGTCGTGCGTGCAGACGAGTGCCAGTGACGGTGTCGAGGTCGCAGCTCAGTGTGCGTTTGGAACTGAGCGAAATTCTGCGAGAGCGGGAATCATCGGAATCCACGCCGGGTGTGTCGGAACGCAGCGCATCAATGGAGCGCCTTATAGTTTGGATCTCGGTGAGCAGTTCCTCTTTGCGGGACAACGCCTCCAGCTCTGCCGAAATTTCGGCCTTCTTCGCTTCTTTGGCCGCCTTGGACTCCTTGCTTTCAGGCTCCGTCTCTGTGATGAAGCCGGTCGGGACATCATCCTGGATGCCGGTACCAAGATCCAAGTTAGGGAGGAGTCCCTTCTGGAGGTGACTTTTCGCCGTTCGCCGCACATCGTCATCCGGTACTGGCGCTGCCAAGAAATCAGAAACGCCGGAGGTGTATCGGCCACGGCCAGCAATGAGCGTGTTGGTAGACGAAGGACCTTCGTTGGAACTAGACGCAGGAAAGTCGTTCATAAGAGGGGTGCCGGAGTATCCACTTCCGGTCCGAGCATGCATACGAAGTGGCGGGTGATCGCTCTCCCATTCCTTTCTCTCCTTTTCCAGGTCGGCAAAGCGGCCGGAAGCATCGAGTTCAGCTTCTTCGTCTCTACGTCGTTGTTCTTCGGCGATTTCCTTGAGTTTGCGCTGCAGGACACGTAGTATGCGCAGTTGCACGGAGCCACCCATTAGTGCAACCGCACCAATAAGACCGAGTTCGATTTGCATGGTCTGGGAGACGGGAAAAGCAATGCCGCTGTCGGTATATTTGGGGAAAAGTCCAGTGAATCCAAGATTCCACACGTAAAACTAGCGAGGAAAAGTCAGAACAAGGGGATGACGAGGGAATTACACTGACCTCCTTCAAGCCCGCAGTAGTGTAACAGTCGACACCGAGCATAAAGACGGAGGAACCAACGAATGCAGTAGCAAGTAGTAAGATGTGCCAGTGAATCTTTGGGATCGTACACAAAACAAAGCCAACCACTCCCAAAGCTTGAGCGGTGATAGTTGGTATGAGTGCAAAGCGCAACAAAGCCCCGGCATGACTTACAAATGTATACTATCCAGCGGGTACCAACGGGAGTTATGAGGCCGCCATCCTTGAAGCACTGGATCCACAAGGCGACGGCAAAACCTCCCCAGGCGCCAATGAAATATTTGGTAGCCTTCCAAAAGAATATGCTGATGGCACCACCCATGATACCAGATATTGCGCACGACAAGACAAACATGCCTTGTAGCGTGGCACTCGGGGGATTCACGGCAGGGAGAATACCAAACTTGGCGATGAGAACGAAACACACAAGCGTGAAGGTATAGAAACCAATGAGAAAGAACGAAGTCCTGTGAGCACAATATTAGTAGACCATCTACAAGATAGGGAATGACCTGCTACCATCGGTTCTTGTGACCCCAAAAGGCACTAGGTAGACCTGTCAAAACGAGAATAGCCCCAAGGACGCCAAATGCAGGGGTGATTTTGGTTGCAAGCACTATGGGGGTTGGGGTGGCGGACGAAGTAGTGGATGAAGTTGCAGTAGGTGAAGCGAATGTACTGGTAACATTAAAGGCGGTGGGTACAACAGTTGCAATGGTCACGTTCTGAGAGCCAGACTGGCTAACCGAGGTGAGAGTGGCCGAAGTAGTAACAGGGAAGATGGTAATATTTGGGGTAATAGTAGCGGTAGTAGTGGTAAGATTTGATGAGAGAGACGAAGTGGACGCTGCTTGGCCCGAAGTGGTGGTGGTTGGAATCGACGTCGACTGCGCTGAAACATGCCGAAAGAGAGACGAGAAAAGGAGAAGACATGACAGGAGACCCAGTCTGATGGCAAGGGGAACCATGTTCGAAGGCATTCAACCGCTGACGGTGCTGGTAGCAGCGGGGTATAAGCGTCGACTGCACCTCGACGACGTGAGAGGCCAAAAAGCCGGGGAGGGGACACGCTGGCCGAGATGAGAGGAGCGGGAGAACGTGCCCGCGGGAAGCCAGAAATAACGTCATCAAATCAGTTCTGAAGGCACCCCTCCAACGAGCGTCGTCAAGACGGACATTTACTATTGCATTTGAGGGCCTGGCGCCAATCGTCATTTAATCATATCTCGGTTCTCCCTTTTTTTTTGTTTTTGTTTTGTTTTTTTTTGTTTTCTGCAGGTATTGAAGATACCGGCCTTGCGTTTCCAGCATGCTTGCGATATGCACACTACTTTGCATCGCACGGAGGGGGCATGCCTTGGCCTCCACTGCGGTCGTTTGTAATTCATAACGTATACTACAGCCCTCTACTTACCGCGAGCCGCACAACGATCGCATCGATGCAAGCATTTGCAGAAGTACCCCTTACATAAACTGTCAATTACACTTTCGTTCGTCACTCGAAGTGCTCCAGCCTAGTCGGCGAAATGCCCATCTGCTTCAATATAACGGCCATCTTCTTAGGTTCGTCCTTGACCATCACCTTGCCCTTCTTTTTCTTCCCTTCCTCTTTCTGTCCCTCGAGTATGGTGACGACCTTACCTTGTCTACCAAATCGACCAACCCTTCCTGCGATGTGCAAATATGCGTCCCCCGATCGGCCTTCTGGTATCCCGAGCAAGAAGACGTGTGACAGTTCTGGAAAATCAATACCACGCGTGGTAGATAGAGTAGAGACGAGTAACGTCGGATTGTCAGTCACCACACCATCCTGAGAACGGAGGTGAATAAAATCAGCTGCATTTCCTAAGAGATCTAAGGCGTGGGCATTCACGCCCAGTTGACGCAGCTCGAAAATAACCTTGCGCAAGGAAGCTGTTGCAGGTAAAACGAGAAGCGCAACTTGCGGAACATCCAGTGCGAAAGTAGTTGCAACAGCTTCGAGCATGGCGGGGTTGATCGCAAGCGGAGCATTCAGAATATCTGTACCGGGTGAGACACGGATCATAGTCTAGCGCACAAACGCCCACCTGCATCAGCCTCGTTGACTACCATCATATCCTCCTCATATAGAAAATCATTTTCGTTTTCCGTAAAGCCCGTGTCCTGGTTGGACATTATGCCAAGAATCTTTTCATCTATTTCTCGTGAGTGGGCCCCCGGGAGATTCTTAATACTTCCATCCTCGGAAACCACGAGCACATGATGAATCGCCACTCGGTTCAATGCATGAGCTGGAAGCGATTTAGAGGGCGCATTCACTAACGAGACAACACGTCTTGATTTCAACCACTCGAAGTCGTACAACGCCTTCCGGAGCCTGCTTCGCATGGTCGCGCTCAGGAACACCAACTGGGGCTGTCGAACACGGTCGTCGCGATAACTAGGAGAATGATCCACCTCCCGTTTACCAAGTATAACATCCATGACCTGGCGCAGCACCATGGGATGTTTCGCGAACTTCTTCTCGATCTTCCTGCGAGTGCTCAGTGACGTGTGTGAGGGAACCCACTCAAGGAGCGAATCTACCTCATCCACGACCACCGTGGACAAGGTGTCCAAATGCAAGAACTCGGGGGCGCGGAGAATCACGTCCATTATCGCAGTTGGAGTTCCAATGAGTATATGTGGCGGATCGCGGCGAAGCGGTGACAGGTCCGATGAGGGGGACACGATTAGGTGACTAAAATCATTGTAGACACTTTCCGAATGAGATCCACGGACAAGAACTTTTGCTATAGATGGTACTGTCGAGAGGGACAACTTATCCCTTGCCGTGACGATACTGTGGATCCAATGGAGGTACTGGTATGCGAGATCGCGATGAGGAACAATAAGGAGGGTAGTAATGCCCTTCTTCGTTGATTTTTCTTTGTCATCCTCGGAATCGCGAACGAAGACCCGGCGTTTGCTCAGCAGCGCAAGCATTACCGCGAACGACCTATGTGTTGTCACATAGTTGGTCCAAATTCAAAACATATTATGAGGCATAGCAACACCTACTTGCCGCTGCCAGTATAATCCTGCAGCACGATATCGTTCTTCTCAAGCATCGCTGAAATCAACTTCTTCTGCATTAATGTCGGGTGCTTTACATTCGGAAACGCAGCACGGAGCGAAGAAGCCACCGTGGGCCGTATGCCAGCTGCTTCAAAACCGTCCGTCTCCTGTTCTCCAGTGGGATTTGAATGACGGAATGATCCAAGATAACGCGCCAGAACGGCCCTGTGACATCGCTGTTGACAATGTCGACATGCCCAGCTGCTGCCTGGATATCTTGTCGGTGAAGAGAGAAGAAAACGCATTGGATGACCACGTGACCGCGCTGGGTGCAGTACACATATGCCAACTTACATACTCAAGCTTATGAACTCGGCTCACGATGCACCCCATGTCCGAAAATCTCGAGAACTGAGCATCGTCACTTGACTTCAACTACGGTGTAAAGATACAGACTATGAACAATTCAAAACAGGAAAATACATATGCCAGCCACCGCGATAGCCAGATTATACTATACCGTGAGGATGGAAAGCGCGGGGAGACCACGCACACAGGGACAAAGCAAAAGCGAGGTGTTGCGTTACATAACGCCACAGTGGCAACGTCGGCACACGGTAGCAGGACGATGAACGAGGTCATAAAGCCAATGACTATGCAGCATGCTCATTGGAAGCATCTGCCTGTGACGACGAGGAAGGGATCATCAATTCCTCCGTCGCATCATGAGCTGTTTCGATCTCATCGGTCTCATCGTCGGGTTTGCTTTCCATCCTCGCGAGTTCCTATTCTTCATGATCCCCAATGGGCTGATACGTGCTCCTGTCGTTGCCGTACAACAACCGACTAAGTCGCCCACGGTTGGCGCTCTTGGCAGATCCGCGGGAGCGAACAGACGTTCGGCCGGAATGGTTGGACATGAGAGAGGCCCGTTCGGATTCATAATCAAGTCTCTCCTCTGAAAAATGCCTTGAGATGGCGACAATACAGAACGGATGACCACTTCACCTTCGCCAAAAACAGCGTCCATTTCTTCTAAGGGTACACCCTTGGTCTCCGGATAAACTTCCTTCGGTTAGTATGAATCAATAAGACGCTTGTCAGACGTACGGAAGTAAACCAAAATGAAGCTGCATGCACAGTAGAACCCGTGCATGGGGTATAATCTCCAAGTGATAACCTCCTGTAGGTAAGGGGTGGTTTCTCCGACAATGAAATTGAATGCCCTGAGACTACATTAAATCGCTGTCATTCATCAAGCCGCCGTACCCACCAGTTTGTCGCTGTAGAAAGTGAAACACCTTTGGAGCGGAAGGTGAGCGGCATAATCTGTAACTCCCATTAATTTCGGACAAAACATCGTGTATGTGCACGTCGACCTGCCTCAGGGGGATACAACCACGGAATAGGTCCCCAACTTCGCCAGAATTGAGTCAACACGACTATAAAAACCTCAATGGGCATACCTATAGCCAAATGCAGCATTGAATACAATGACACAGAAGACTACCGCCTGCGGGGTTTCTGGGACATCAATATACATCCACCAACCCGTGAAAGCAAGTGCGATGCCCATCTGGGCATAGAATGAGAATACGGATGAATGTGCGATAGCAAATGACACACAGTGACTGCACCGGAGAGCAAGATGAACCGGCGACCCCATCGATCCACCAAGTACCATCTATGTGAAACGTGTAAGTTATCTAAAACGTATGGAGACGACCCACGTAGGGATTGTGCTCAGGACATAGATTATGGCGTTGATGCCAGTCATCAGTACAGCGTCCCGACCGAGCCATCCAGCCTCTACCAGACAAGTCAGTTACGAGTTCCAACCCGTACATGAGCAATGGCACCTTCAAAAACGGAAGCTTGACCCGTGCATTAGCGGCGGGCACATTTACATAGTAATAATCGAACTTACGAGCGTAATAAGATATGACTGCACAACAATGAATGTCAGGGGGAAATGGAAGAAAACAAAGTGCAAGAACGTACCATTGATCCCGTTCTGCGCAAACCAAACAAATATTAGATAGATATACATTAGCGGAGAAGCGAACGTACCAGTTGAGCGAAAGCCTGGGAGGACATGGCAAGAAGAACGCGACGTTTGTACCTCTTCCACATAGTTGCGTAGGACCGACTCTCACCCCGCTGACTAATATCGTCACTTGCCCATAACACTAACAGCGTTGACTTTACCTCTTCCATCACCTTATCTTTAATTTCTTGAAACTCGGCCTTCGCCACGATATCGTTGGGGTCACCTCCATGTAGATTGACGATGACCCGCATTCCAGCCTCATCTTGGTCGGTGTCTATAAGCCATCTACGAGAGGAGATAAGCAGATGATCCCGACGCAAGATTGTTCATTACCGAGGACTCTCGGGCATGACCAAGCTACCAGCTGCAAGAATTCCACCAATTACGCATTGAATGAAGAGGGGAATACGCCAAGAAAGGTCTGAATCAATGAAAGAACAGAAATAATCCGTCCACTGCAGACAGTATCAGCCCATTGATGAACCACCGCTGTATAGTACCCTTACAACTGAGGACGCATAACCGACGATATTGCCTGTGAACTCCATACAAGCAAGGGCACCTCTCTACAGAGTCATTAGCTGGCGGGGCGAAGTAGGCAGAGGTAAACGCTACATACATGATCCGGGGGCGAAATTTCACTCTGGTATATTGGGACGATTGTGCTACGGACCATTGTGAGCACGCGAGAGAGAACAGATGCGACAAACACACGATAGCAACCCGACACCGAACCCACTGACGACTCGACCTATAATCATGACATAGAATCCTGTAGTGAATGTTTGGATGGCACCACCAATGGTGAACACCAAGGCGCCTATGAAAAGCGTTCCTTTTCTTCCGATGATGTCGCCCACGCGACCAGCAGCGATGGACGTGGCTACGAGGTGGTGAGTGCTTAGAGTGCACACAAGAGGGGTCTACGTACTGAGGGCGCCGAGTTCTAGCACTGCTACCATAGTCCCAACCTCTATCGGACCAGGTGAGTTGAAAAACTGCTTAAAGTAGGGCCCGGTAATGATGCCGGACATGACACTGGATGAGCGAAGGTGAGCTTAACGAAGGTCAGCAGGCGGCCTAGAAAAAACGGACCCCTGGTCATAACCGAACTGAGGACGAAGAAGATTAGGGCGCTTGAAGCAGGAGAGTACAAACGACATACGAGGAAGACACCCAGGCTAGCGAAGATTGAGATTGCATAGAGTAGGGGTTGCCCGACGAGCCTAGGTCGAGAAGAGGGAGGCGACAAGTCTGACATGATGGCATCTACAATGCGACAGTTGTCGTTACTGGCAGTGGGCGAGACAAACGAAGGGGACGGCGTCTCTCTCACACGCGATCCGTTGACAGTAAGTACTAAAACACTTGGGTGGAGTCTCTGGCAAACCAAACTCCCGCCGCGCCACAGCCATCAGCGAACAGTGGCTATACACCCTCGTAAGTACTTGGACGGCGCTGAACAGGTTTTGGTCGACTGTACGGTAGTAAACCAACAGAGAGACCCCCTTTAGACTAGCTTTCATGCCTCGCTCGGAGACATCCTTGGATTCAGCCTCTGACTTGTCTTATGAGTCAGATGAGGACTATCGGCTCGCCCAGCAAGAGTGGGAGGAGAGCATGCAAGAACTGCAGCAACTCGCCCTCGTTCTGCTTTTGCCTTGGGTGGGCAAGTTTTTAGGAAGAAAAACCAGTTACTGGCGTGCGTGCTGACACTTTTTTGTCTCCCGCCTGGCTGAACGACCCCTTCAGTGTACGACCGCTACAAGCGGGTCGGTTTGGGGAGGACGTTCTTCCTCGGTGACGCATCCCACTATTTCATCATGAACATCATTCAGAGGCACTCGATGACCAAGTCATAAATATACATTAGGTCCTAACCTCTTCCTCCAAGCCGTTCGCTTTCTGACCCTTGAAACCAAGTTTTCCAATGACCCACGCAGTATCATCTGTCGCTTGAGGTCTCGCACCAACTCATCTGCAACGTCCCACGCCTCCCTGCTGATAAGCCCTCGTAATAGCACATACCACGTATCGTAGCTCAATGAAACTTTCTTCTTCACCATCTCCTTGTAATACCCCATTGCCTCCTGGAGTCCCTCCGGCGCCGGGTTTTCTAAACACGCTTTGAGTAAGATGTGGTAGACCGTACGGTTAAACTGAATTCCCCGTTCTTTCATCCGCCCAAGAACATAACGTTTACACTCGTGTGTAAATGTTGTGTTCACCCAATGCTGGCGGTGCAATCCTGCCAAGATGCTCGTGTACGTTATATCGTTTGGCCGCGCTTCTGGAGACCGCTCCATGCGCCGGAGAAGCTCCATCGCTGCCTGTAAATCCTGCTCCGTTCCTTCTCGAACTTGGTGGTCGATGATGGCTGAGAAAACAGCAGCATTCGGCTCAATGTTTTGTTTTCGCATAAGATTAAGAATGAGGTCCGTCGCGTCCGTCCTCCCAATCTTAAGCAGCGACGAAAGTACAGTCGAGAAGGTGTAGACGTCACCAGTAAGGCCATCCTCGCTCATTTGGTCCAGGATACGAGACACATGGCGGAATTCACCTCGGCGACCATGGTAGCGCAGGACTGTGTTAAATGAGACAATGTCAGGTTTGGGTCCCTTCTCCCGGAGGTGCTGTAGCAGCGCATGGGCATCCCCACTGCGACCATTGATAAGAAGGCCATGGAGAACTGTGTTGTATACCGCTACGCAATCCCCTATGTCGGCCTCCCACCCTTCTGAAAGCCGCTGTTGAAAAAGCTGGAAATATCGGAGAGCACCGGCTGGTTCATGAGCGTTGAAAAACGTAGATATGATGGCACGATAGGTCGTCGCGGATGGCTCCATACCATGGGCAGTCATAACGTTCCATGCTTTTTCTGCGTCCTCCGGCGTTTTCAGGCCGTCATATCCATCCAGCAGTGCCGTCCAAGATATGGCGGTCGGTTTGGCGCCAAACCTTAACATGTCATTCCATAACGATACGCCGAGATCCCTACGATTGCACTTGAGAAAGGCTGTCAAGAATGCTGCCCAGTTTATTTCCTCTAGTGCAACGGGCTTACGCTCGGTGAGCTCGGCTGGACGGACAGTGATGTACGCTTCTTCACCACCGAGCCCATCGATGACCTGGTTATACAGCCTCTGAAGCCCTGTATCGTCCGAGTTGCTTGCAAGCAGAGACGTGCGATACGTGAGAAGACGAGGCTGAGACAGATATCTTGCTATATGTAGCCGTTGGACATAACTCTCCACTTTGGAGCAAAGAGACGAATCGGAGAATTGCGACAGGAATTGCTTTACCATATCTTTCGGAAATTTCCTCGGAAATTGCAGATACGCGTGCAAGGCAGCGGGAAAAGCGTTGTCAATGGCAAAAGCAGTGATCAGCGCGAGGAGGATAGTGTGGGGAACTGGAATTTGCCGGGAGGCATCGGACGAAGGCCCTGAGGTGAAGTCTTCTAAGTCTTCTTCTCCCTGTCCTTCTGCAGGAAGGACGTCGGATGGCAAAGGATTTCCCCGACACTCGTGGAGCTCATTCAGATAGCTGTCGAAGAGGTCCATAACTGCGCGAGAGTTGCCTACTTGCAAATATGCAGTCATACAAGCTGCAAGAGCAGCAACGGCACCCCGCCCTGCGGAGTACAACGCCATAGTTTCGATGGTTTTGAGTTTCTGCGCCTGTCCCACTTCCGCTGTGCGAGGGCAGAGCTTGGAAAGTTGCAGAGAGTAGCTCTGTAATTCTGGTCCGAGTAGCTTCAGGAGCTTCCTGTCCCTCAATTGCGACCAACACTCCCATACGCGCTTTACATCACGGATATGAAGAGCACGCCGAAGCCTGAGAACACTTTCATTGAAGAAAGTGACATCTGCATCCGGAATGGCACCATCCAGTCCATTAAAGAGGCTGACGGTGTTCCGGGTGGTCTGGAATGACATCAGCGATGCGTTGAGCTTCACCGGTCGGCTGCTGGCACCGGCATACTGGTGACTGCGGATGGCGGGTGGGAGGGAGTCGAAAAGACGGACGTTCCTAGTCCACGGGGGCCGGCAGGAAAGTTGTCTGAGCATAGCGTTGACATGCTTGCGTCGACTCCGGTCGGGTATAGTGTTTGTTTGAGGTTGTTGCGAGTGCTAATACATAACATAAGTGACTGTGCACGACTAGCACGACGACAACCAATGGGTCACGGTAACTCGAACAAGCTCTATATCACCCATGCTGAACACACCGGTGAGTTGGGTCAGCATTCTGCGTCGGTGGGATACAGAGCGTGCGTGTGGCTGGTCATTCTTCTCCCAAGCGATGTGACTAACTAACAGTAGCAAGGCATCTGTACCGACCGCACGGGCCCAGACACCTTTCGACTGCTGTGCACTCTCTTTCCAGCCATTCGAGCACCCTGTTTGCGCGCGTAACAAGGACGGGACTGGCTTTGTTTTTGATCTCGTGAATATCATCCCTTGGTTAAAGTACGCTCAGTGTCCGTTGGGCCACATGTCATCATCTTATACGTTTCTCTCCAAGGAAACATAATAATATCAACCCAATCACTAAGGAGACATTGAAACCGAATGACCTCATCCCTCTCCATTATTCAAGGAAGCCTTCGGGGGAAATACATGACCCCATCTCGTTCAAACCGTTCTCAGAACACTCCCACATCATCGCCATTGCAACTACTGGTAACGTCTTCCTCGCTGATAGCATTAAAGGCGGTAAAGACCTCCTTGAAGACAAAAAGTTTTCCAAGTAAGACGGAGTGTCTCCTCAAACCCTACATCTGACTATCTATAGAGAGGACATCATCACGTTGCAGAATCCTCATGGCATCTCTGAACCCACCGCACTTACCGGAGCAGCGAGTGCGGTGGTTGAGGCAAAGGTCGAAAAGCCCAAGGCAATAGCACCTAAACCTATCACAGAAACCAAGAAACCTACACCATGTACGTTATTTCCCTTGCCTAGATCTATACTCAAGGCCATTGTTTCTCCAGGGAATATCTCACCGTATTCCTCCGGAGCAGCCGGTGCCTCCTTCACATCCACGTCTGTCGACCCGCAAACTCAGTCCACCAACCTCCTGTGGGACGAGGTAAATAAATCCGTTCTCCGGTTGACGATATAATGACCACACCCTTCAGGAAGAACTGATGTTTGAGGAAATATCCACCCCGCCAAAAGGCAAAGGGAAAGAGAAAGATGTTGGCAAGCGTCGGGCCTACGTACGAGTGGTCACGAGTCTCGGTGGGTCATTGAACCTCGAGTTATACTGCGAAAAGGCAAGTAGCCCGCAGGTGTCATCTCTGTCCTACGCTGATGGGTTCTTTAGGCACCAAAAACTTGCTATAACTTTCTGATGCTCGCTAAGGCCGGCAAGTATGATAACTGCCTCTTCCACCGATTGGTTCCAGGTTTTATGGTAAGCATGTTTCACAACTAAATGATGACTTATGAATGTTTTTCCGGCAGGTTCAAACTGGAGACCCCACGGGTACTGGCGCAGGCGGGGAATCCTACTGGGGAACGCCATTCCGCGATGAATACAATGCGAAGGGAGCGGCTAAGCATGACAGTCGAGGTATTGTTGCGATGGCGAATAAAGGTGCCAGTACAAATGGGTTAGTGTTATCCCCTTTCAAGTCTGCCAATGATAGACCTCATCAGGGTATAGATCACAGTTTTATATCACATTTAGAGCAACGCCGCACCTTGACAACAAGCATACCGTGTTCGGTAAGTTGGTTGGAGGTGAAGACGTGCTTAACGCACTGGAGAAACTGTCCCTAAAAGATGGGACCGAACGGCCTGCCAAACCAGTGAGAATAACACAAGTTGTTATGTATGTTACACTTTCAAGTTGAAGAATATATTTGACGCGGGCTTCTTTCACTTAGACACCAAGATCCTTTTAGCGATTATAAGGCACGCCTTGCCAAGAAGCTAGCGAAACGCGTAGAGTCTGGAGCGGATGAAGCAAAGCCTGTTGTGAAGAAGCCGGGGGATGACAGTAATTGGTTTGGCGTCAGAGTCGGGACAGGAAAATCAGATGCTGCAAATGGAGATGCTGAGAGAGGTGTTGGAAGATACCTTGGGGTTAAGAGGCAACTCGATGAGCTGACACCTCGAAAAGACCTTTCCAGCGAGACAGCCGACGAGAGTAAAAAGAAAAGGCGCATTGGTTTCGGTAACTTCGACAACTGGTAGCATTTGTGGAGTGCAACAAATGCATGTCCCTAGATTATTGTAATACATGAGTGTGTAGCGTACAGTGACGAATACATTGCAATGGTAGAGAAGTGAAATCATGTCAGCCTGGCACTGGGACTCGCTCCCTCGCTTCTCTGGACAACATGGGTTGCGTGTCTGACAAGCCAATAAGGGTTAGACCAGGAACGGTGGATGAGCGTTATACGTACCCTGTATCTCGATGGCAACGGGCTGCTCAGCTGGTACTGAAGGCAGCTTCACGCGGAATTCGGGTTGCGTCTATTTAACCAACAAAAATTGTGTCACATTCGCGAAGCCACGGTAGAAGACTTACGCTCTGAACCTGCAACTGCCTTAGCTCTTCTTGTACAGCTTCTTCGTCATCGACCGACAGTTGGTTACCCAGTAAATTTCCGATTTCCTGGTATAAATGTGAATAGGAGATCGGATGAAGTTAGAGCACACAAGGGCACACACCAATTGGTATTCTCTAGCTTCCTGGGTTTCCCCCATGAGTTTCTCAACGCTCTCTATACTCATCTCCCGATGAATTTCTTTGAGAACTTCGTTGCCTTGCTTTAAACCATGTAGGACAGACATTTCCACCAAGGAAAACTCGATCGTTGATACCTATGGCCATACCAGAAACTGGAGTTCAGATGCGATGTAAGGCGTTGTGGGGATCGCACAAACCAGTTGCTCGAGATTTTCGAGTTGACCGTCGGTCTTTAAAAGGAGGCTCTGTTGATATTTCCGCCTTCTGAGAGCTATGACCGCGCGGTCCCTGTCACCCGCGGCGAGGTAGGACTTCGCAATTTCATACTCCCGGTCAAGGATTACTTGGATCTAGGTGTGTTAGTTGTGCCAGACTGAGGACTGGATAAAAGGAGCCTACCTTTCTCTGGTATTGTTTCAACTTGTCACGTTGCAGTTTAAGACTGTATGAGGGGCGCGCCAGTTAAGTGTCAGCGGATGTAACAAAGAGCGTGCGTACTCGAGGACTGCACGGTCTTGTGCAGTGATCTTTGGGGCAGACTGGGTCAGGCCCATAATAAACTCAGTCAGCAATAAGTCCGAGTCCTTGTCTATGAATGACGGCCGCAGTGTGGGCCTAGTGACCGACCAATGTTTGTCCCTCAGAGTGCTTATGTATGTATTCCGATTACATCAAGTAGTAGATTTACAATAAGGAGCCAACCGACAACTACGTCGGACAATTGGCTATATTCGTGCAGACCTTGGTGACTGTAGAAAATGCGTGTCATGGGACCTGGGCTGGCCATTCCCAAAAACAAAGTTGCCGTCCTCCATCATATAATCCTGTGGAAAGCGATCGCGCGCATGCATCGTCACACGTGCTAGGAGTGTTGACTGCGGATCGTGCGAAGGTCTACGTGGCATCAACCCTGGGCGAGTAAGAGCATACAAGATCGTGTTGAACAGACCGGACGATGCGAACAACGTGTCTGCGAAAGCCGTCACTGCAAACGGAACATCCTGACCCCTGAATTCAGAAAACCGAGCCGCTGATATAGGCAACACCTATCACTCGTTCAGTACAATCATATCAAAGATACGGAAGACCACCCACAATTATAATGTACACCAGGGGGTAACTGCAGAGTGACTCATCGTCCGGAGAAGCCACAGATTATAGACCAAGAGCCACTTACAAAATCATCTGAATTGCTTTGACACCCTCTGCAGACGTCTCTGCTCCAGACGAGACGGTTCTCCTCTCTTGCTTTGACCAGCATCGGAATCTGTTGCCATCCACAAGAACGACTCGCTTGATAACAAGTGCAAGGAATAGGTATGCGATGATGTTCAGTGCGGCAGCTAGCCACATCCATATATAATCGAAGCCAATTTGCTCCATGGTGCTTTCCTCAATCCAGCACCCTGAACGACAGTGTCGATTTAGGATATATCAAAGGTAAGATTTGGAACATAAAAACTTACAATGGCCGGTGGGACCATAGATATTATGTTCAGCCACATTCGGCACGACCACCAGAATAAGGATGACTAGCCAAATTACTGCCAGCACAAGGAGCGCAAATTTTGGTGGAGATCTCCATTCAAGCACCAATACTTGGAGCATGTGCAAGGCAATGGCCTATCTCGAATCAACTTATTGCCACCATGGTTTATGTGACCGGCGTACCATTATACTGGCAACGGAAGTCTATGAACACGTAAAGGGGATTTCTTCCCAATTTTGACACGTACCTAAAAGCGACTCCGACATCACCCACTTGCTTGAAGAAACCTGCATACAATGACAGACGGGGGCGAAGGAAAATGGAAAGTAGAGATACCTTGGACAGTGCAAAAAGGACCGGAATACACGGCCTGGCAGCCGGATGAACGGGTGCAAGGTTTCGAAAATGCGTGGTAGGCTCACCGCTTCTATGATCCACTTGATGTTCAGCAATCCACCTGTACCTCGTCAGTCGTCAACAGAAACCACAAAGTAGTATGTACCGACCCACAGCCTGGATAAGGTCCGAAAACATCAAATTGAGGAAATAGTAGTGTATATGGGTGTCGGTGGTCCACCTCCGCGAAGCATTTCGATGGATAGTGACAGCGCTATACTGACGTGAAAATCAGGCTGCCTGACGGCGGCGGAGGAAGTTGAAACTAGAAACTGACCGCAATGTAAAGCAACACACCGCCGACGGCAAATGCTGACGCAGCAGACGCTAGGACTATGATGGCCATCCCGACCCTGACCCCGACGTTGAATTGGTCACTCATAGCTAGTTTGTTGACGCAGGAGACATCTGTGCCCTGGCAGGGGCTGGATTAAATGGTTGCGATAGATGGGCCGTTCCGGTTATGGACCACACATATCCTTCTATATTGCGGATGCAACGCGGAAATGCTGCGTGCTGATGGTACCTATTAATAGATGCCGGCCTGTGCACATGGCAGCTCACAGCAAGTGGGCCGCTGACAGTAAGGAGTAGATTGGCACAGATACTTGGTATGTGCAGTGTAGTTGTGTCCAAGTCACTCCCATAGGCAATGCTTCCCATCGCAGCTAATGTCTTTTGTCTTGCACTACTCCAAGTCTTGGAGATGGTTCCTCCCCTCAAGGCCTCGTCACGGTCGACTTTATCATGATTATGTCCGGTTCTCTACACAGGGTACTACAATCCATATTCTTTCCGGATCGTATCGTGTCTCATCCGTAATTCTCTCTCTCCATCAGGTGGAGTCGGTCGCATCCCCTTGCACTCTCCCAATATCACAGGCGTAGCATCTTCTCGCGGCAACAGAAGGCAGGTGTTGCAGCTTGCAGTTGGTTTCCATGGTCGTTTGACGCGTTCCTCCATCTAGTCACCAGGCGGACTATCATGCCTTGGCTGCCCTTTGTTTGGATGTCGACGGACTTCGTTCGAGTATACAGAAGACTCTGAATTTCGACTGGGTACCCGAGAATCCCAAAGATCGCGTGGCCCGTCAAGTGGTGTTCGTTGGTCTTTATGATGGGTCAGTTCCATAGTCTGCTAGCTTTACGCCAATGGCTTAGTGTTTGTCCCCGTCGACAGACATGGTGGTTCAACGGTATCCCAGTTTCTGCGCCAGGAACTACACGGCCTCTTTGAGTCTGTCGACAAATCCCACATCCCTGAACTGTTCCTGTGGATCAAGCATCAAGGCGGTTACTTTAAGAGGTTCACTGGTGGCGTTCTCGCTCCCTGGATACACCATGCCGGGGACTCTCCACCGTTGGATCTGGAGGCTCGTGCCACACAAGCCTTCTTCGAAGTCGGTAAGGCCCAATCCGATCTTGTGTCTCTTGGTATGCCTGACCATGCTCCAGACAAACTTCTGTCCATCGAAAGTCAGGCCAAAGTATGTGGTGCCACGGCATCTGTTGCCATCCTTCATTCTATAGACAATCCTGCACGTCCTTTTTTCTCCTCCCGCAAGCTCGCCCTTACCGTGGCGCACTGTGGGTGAGGCAGCTTTCGGCCTCTAACATCTAGCAACTCACACTGTACAAAGTGATGCCCGTGTTTTGCTGTGTTCAACAGACGGAGGTTTCGTTTATCCAATGACGGAAGATCATCATCCCGATACCCCAGTCGAGGCTACACGCCTCCGACGTGTGATGGGCTCAGCACTCATCACTGACTCGTTCGGGGAGTCTCGGTAATTCCCAGGTCATCACCTCTTCCGACAAATACTTACACGAAGTCAGTTGGATGGGTGCCCTCGCTAATACAAGAGCGTAAGTAAAATTTATCGAGTGGGATCCTCGCTTGCAGACATTTTTCCAGGATTGGTGATCTCAGATACAAACCGTACGGTGTAACCCCCGAACCTGAAGTGCGTGCCAAACTTCTAGAAGGTATTGATACCAGGAGCATTCGCTATTATAAGTCCTGCCCATTGACCATGTAACATTCCAGGCAAGGATTGGGCGTACATGGTTATGGTTTCAGACGGCATATCATCCATCCTCTCAGACGATGAGATTGTCGACCTAGCTCGAGAAGCGCCGACGCCAAAGGCAGCTGCGGACCGAATACTTGCGTTTTCTCAGGAATTGGGAGGTGAAGATAATGCCACCGCTATCGTCGTTCCTCTCGTAGGGTGGGGTGAGATCCGCGGACCTGACAGAACTCTGGCATTGCGGGAGTTCCGTCGGCAGCAATCAGGTTAGTGCTCACTATCCTAATTGAGATGTCGTTTCAAGCTCTTTTTATAGTCGGAAGCGAACGACAAAGGAGGATGTAGGCATATACATCCTGCCACCTCCTGCCACCTTTGCTTGTCGTATCCGTTTTCTACTCTACATCGTACTAATCCCTCAAGGACGTTCGTTGCCACTTATATTTGGGGGACTGCGTGGCCATCCGCTCGAGGGTCAGATCCTGCTGCCCAGACAAATTTCCCAGACTTATCCACAAGTTTCTGGATAATTTGACCGCGGCCCATCATCCCTCTACTAAAGCCGCTTGCAACCCTAGCATCATGGCCCATCTCTGGTAGGGTAGAGAGATTATGTAATGAGCAGCGCCCAACATACCCGAATGGGTAGCTCACCTCTGAGTTTATTGATTGTGGCAGGTGCAAAGGTCTCTTCAAAGTAGATCTCACCGTTGACTACTGAAAACTCGTCCCGACCGCCTGCCTCTGGTGTACCTGGGGAAATGCAAAAGCGAGGCGCATCAAGAGCAGCCTGCGTCGTGAAACCACGGAGTATATTCAACAGAACTTGGATATGCCCTTGGGGCTAAGGGGAATGAGACTTCACAATCGTGCTAATTTGTATGCATTACCTGCATGAAACCTCCCATCACGCCATATGACAGGAAAAGTTCGTCGCCCTTGAGGGCCATGGCAGGGATAATCGTGTGGTAGGGGCGTTTGCCACCCTAAACTCCGTTTCAGAAGCGTGTAACTCTGCTGAGGAGTATCTAGTCTCACTTGCACGCAGTTCGGATGTCCCTCTTTCAGAACGAAACCCGCGCCTCGGTTTTGGAGTGTGAAACCACAATCCTTAGGCACGGCTGAACAAGTGTGAACCAATGATGTAGTATGAAATGCCCGGCGTCTTTCGTACCACCTGTCCCAAAACCTTGGTGACCAAGGTCAGAACGCTGTTTAATACAAATAGATATCACAGCGAACCTGCATAGTTGCTCTGAATGAAACTGCATGCATTCCCCCACTGGTCCGCGACTACGAGCGTGTCAAGGCAAGATACACACCAATGGAGAGTCGTACCAGTGAAGTATACAGTGTCCGAAGAGTTTACGGGATTTCCATTGATAACGTTAGGATTCGCTCTGGTTGGGTTGAACAAACGCGCTCGGCCGGCAAGGTAATCCTGTTCTCAACTTGCATCAGTATATTATTGGTGTGTAGGAAGTCGAAAAAAAAAACCTCGCTTAGCAACTTGTCGACCGGGATATGATGGAACTCCGGATCCGTAACATAATACTGGCTGTCTGGACGAAAGGAGCCTGATTAGCACCACCACGGAGACAATTTACTGCACAGAGCTACCAGCGAATGCAAACCTGCTCAGGGCATGAGTAAAAGGATTTTAGATAAGCAAGGCCAGATACTCGCCGCAATGCCTCGATGAGGGTGTGGAGGTACTCAGGAGAATTGTGTTCCATTTCTATCAAGGGCTTCACTTTTTCTTGTTCCTGAATCTGTTCCAAGATTCCAAGAGCGACGAGAGCAGTAATTCCTGCAAGGGTATTCAGTATATGACCCTGCAATGACGGGGCGATGAAAAGTCACCCTGGCCGTTCGGGGGACACTATCATGGGTTCAGGTAGGCAAAGTCCAACGTCGGCTGATCTTATCTTACTTCGTAAACTGTGACTTCATTGCCGTAGGTATGTTTAATCGGTTCGACAAACGTGGTTTCATGAGTCGCTAAGTCCTCCATTTCCATGACCCCGCCCTTGCTTTGGATCAGCTCAACAATTGCTTTGGCAACCTCACCCTTGTAAAAGCCATCTTTCCCTCGCTCAGCAACAGCACGGAAGGTGTGGGCTAAATTGGGAAATTTCATTATCTGTCCGGGCAGTGGAGCTACCCCGTCTAACAGCATTTCCTCCGCGTTTGGAGATGCATCCCTGATGAGTTGTTCCGAACGCTGCCACTATGCAGGCCATCATCAGCACAGGCGAGTAGCCAGAGTGAAACTCTTGCTTATACCGAAAAGCTGTGGACTTCTGAAACTGGGACTCTGTGATGCAATGTCCACACATAGTTCTTCTAGGTGGAAGATCAAACGTACCCCTCTTCTGCAAGCCGTATGGCCGGTGCGAGTACCTCTGCCACGGATAACTTGTGACTTCCAAAAGCGTGAACGGTATCAACCCAAGCAGCGGCAGCACCTCCGACGCCCAATCAGCGAGAACGGAAGGTGCGTTAGATCCGAGCCTACCAGGGACAGTGACAGAGTTGAGGTCAGTAAGCGGAATCTGGCTGCCACTGATCCCACGTTGGCGCAGGAGGTTCAAAGTCAACTTTGCGGGTGCACGACCAGACCCATTCAAACCCCTCACAGTCTTGGTTTCAGCATTGTAAAATAGACAGAATGCGTCACTTGACAGTAATCAGTGTCACTGCCATGATATAAAAAAGTCACCGACCCCCCAATACCACAGGAAGTCGGCTCAGCGACATTCAGTGCTGCAGCTGTGGCCACAGCTGCATCCGCTGCATTGCCCGATACATCAGACTCGGGCCAAGACTGAAGGTATTAGAATTGACCTGCGTTTCCACCCCTGCGAAGGATTTCCAGGCCAGCTTCCGCTGCCAGGGGCTGAGAACATGCAACGATCCCTTTCGTACTATATATTTGAGGGCGACGACTGGGGAATCGTTGGAACACAAGGTCGGGCTGATTAATCTTCTCCCAATCCAATGTAACTGTGGGCATCGTCGGTGCGACCAACGGAAACGAGGACAAGATGGTGTGAGATTAGTCTGGATACCAGACTAGCATGAGATATGTGTTACGAGTTGTGAAAGAGCTTACCAAGTGGGCAACTTCTTGCATCGACAGATGGCAAGGTGCTAATCCCAATCTCAGCAGATCGTCATTCACAGCGATTACTGTAACCGGAACTCGTGACTTGGAACCGTGCGCCGAACGATCAACATATGGTGTCCCGGACGCACAGTCAGAGTAGAGAAACTTGATTAAACTTGCCGTGATCCACAGAAATTGCAAGTTAGACTCCAGCATCGATCATCCATCCCGTTCGTACTATGGAGTCGACACTTCAAGAAATATCTGCAGAGTACCAGAAGCTGCAAACGGATTTGACGATCCTAGTCGATAAACGAACTCGACTAGAAGCCCAGCTTTCTGAAAACGAGATGGTCAAAAAGGTGAACACCTCCACACTTCTTTCGATAAATCAGTCCACATGTAACGCTACTGTCGCGTCAGTGCTCCTGCTGAATTCTTACTAACAGGAGTTCGCCAACCTCACTGCAAACAACACCATCTACAAATTCATTGGGCCTGTCCTTGTTCCCCAAGACCAGGCCGAAGCTAAGAGCAATGTAGAAACACGATTGGAGTTCATTCGTGGAGAAATGTAAGCTCAATTCACTCCTCTTGTTCACAAGCTCCGTAAACACTGCGTGCAGAAAACGAGTCGAGTCTCAAATAAAAGAGACAGAACAGCAAACAGAAAAGAAACGAGCCGAGGCACGTCATACACGACTGTAGTAGCGACAACTGACTGACGCATTCAATATATTAGCTGGTTGTTATCCAAACGAACATACGGCAGTCTCAATTGAAGAATCCACCAGCCTAGTTATGGTGTAGACAAGTTGCTATCAACACGAAGTGTTTTCTTTAACGAAAGAGCGATTTTTTGATGGTGAACTTATCGTAAAACACGTGCGATACTGCTTTTGATGGACCCCGACTCCGAGCCTTGATGTACCCCATATCCCTCATTGCAACACAGAACGGGAACTTTCCCTCTGGATCAATCTTGTATGCGTATGATGCTTTCAGGTGAGCCAATTCGTACTCAGAGAAGCACAGGCACTCTGGAGTGGGGTTCCTGGCAAACTGCCGTGTGAGACCGCGAAGAATATCCTGACGGCGCTCAATCTTGTGCATCGTGAAGCCTCCTGAGCGGACTTTGACCTTGTACTCTGGAAAGATCTCCTCCACGTGGGCTTGGATGCGAGAAAGTTCTAAGTCCATTCGAGCTGCATGATCTTGATCCAATAACCGCATTCTGGCTACCCTTTCTTTAGCATCGTCCCAAGGTTTCAAAAGTGCGGTATCCTTGAAAGTTGCTTCAGGGACCACCGATTGCACTTTTGACAACTTGATATTGCCATAGCACCTGGCCTCTCTTGTGATAGCATCCATGATGAATTCTGGGAGTGTATGAGGACGACTGACATTGAGCTCATTCTGCTCGTGCAGAGTGGCCTCTTCATCTGTCTCCTTCCATGAAGGAGCACGTTTCTGGTATTTGTGCATATCCCTTTGCAGGACTTCAGGTAGCACTGTTAAGCCAGACTTTGTGGAGTCAAGAACATGGCAAAACCTGCACAGGCATGAACTTGTGTTGACATGGTGAGTGATAGAACAGCCAACTCACATGTATGCAAGACGGATAGTCTCCTTATGGTTGTAGCCTAGTGTGTAGATAGCCACATCATGGAAGTTGGAATACTTTCCAACTAGTGTATTTGATTGCAAACCACCAAGAAGGAAAGACTGGATCCTTGCTCCTGTCATAGAGGGATGGAATTCATGCTCCTTGATCAAATCAGACACAGAACAACCATCCTTGTTGAAGTTGCTGAGTAGGTCTCCTGGTGGAAAAGAGTGATGAAGAGATGCATTCTTGAAAGAAGCAACAATGGTGGGTTGCCATATTGCAATAGCCTTGTCACCATCATAGTCACCTGATAATACACAATGAGCAGGTCACTTGGTTTACCCATACATTTCAATCACTTCCATGACTTACCACCAGCAAGGATATCTGCAAAGCGACGAGATCCTTGAACAGGACAAACAATGACATCGACATAATTGCTCAATTCTGGTTTGACTACTGCTGTGACCTGCCAGAAATCAGAAATCTGCAGCCTCTTGCAGTGTTCTTCTGATTAACCTTTCGTACATCTGTTGGCAATTTGCAAGGATAACGTGCAAGCTTCACACACATGTTACCAGGAATGCATAATGGCATAACCAAAAAAGGCATACCAAAACATCTCCCACAACAAAGTGGGAGACAGTGCCATCTGGTTGGAGAAACTTGGCATCCCTTGTGAGAATTTGAACTTCATCAGGGGCTAGGATCCCACAGGGGTCTGTGGCAAAACTCATTCAGGGCAGGATCCCAAGACAAAATGGAGTCATGTACCTGGTACCATCCAGGCTGTGCATGACATGCTCACTTCCAACCTGGGGTGCTTGACATAAGTTTTCACAGAACTCCTGGCAAAATTCTTGATCTTGTCAGCAAGATAAGGACAATCTTGTGGTATGAACCCAGCATCAAGCATGACCAGAATGGTTTCAGCTATGGATGAGGGACATCCACTTAGCTCATCTGCCCACCATGCAGCTGATTGTGGAGAATACCCAAAGCTTTCAAGGTCATCCTCATCCTCCTCATCCTCCTCATCACCTTTCTCAGACAAACCCCTCATCCTTGCCTCACCTGCTGCCTCACGAGCCTTCCTTGCACCAATTACCCCTCCTGCCTGTGCCACATGACACCAAAGTTCAAACATTGCAGATGGACCATCCCATGCAAGAAGTTTGTCCACAATGTCATCCAAGTTCTGCCTGGTTAGGTCAAGGAAGACACCATAAGGGACTCCATTCTCAGCCAAATTGACAATAATCTCAGCAGATAAGCAGGAAGGGCAGCACAAGTGGGATGATCTTAGGACATCAATAGTGACCTGTGCCTTTGGCAGTGGAATGCCAACAGGATATTTTATCTTGATCTGTGATGGCCGAAGCCAGACACAGGGTGGCTCAGAATTATTGGTAAATGAGTCAGGGTGGACAATCAAGAGTCCCTGATGATGCATTGGTAGGATGGTCGTCAACAAGGCTTTCCTATTTCATACCTTTGCACCTGCTATCCTGCACTGTATTGCAGTGGGGCAAGTATCCCAATTAAAAATGGCACACATTTTCTTCATAGCTGCCAAGTTGATGAAACCACAACCATCAGTCATGACCGAGTCACCAGCAACTGTGGAATAGTGAATAATACCCTGCACCAGTGACCAACCCACCTTACCTATGTCGTCAGCGGGTAAAATGTCATTTGGGTTCAGGTCAATTCCAGGGACGGAGTTTGACAACCCAAGAGCAAAACGAGATGCCCATTTAGCCATTGACTTGACGGGTGAAATTTAGTGAACCAAACAATCTATGCAGAATTTCCACACGACTCACCTGTGAGCTATTGACTTCGATGGGGTTATGCCAATTCAAGAAATTCATGAATGATGGGGGAGGGGGACATGCATGCAGAGGCAGGCAAGGTAATGATTCAAGGAGTTCATTGGTTGCGCCAAGGAAGACGCTACTATCCTTCGCATAAAACGCACGATAGACGATGCCGCATAGCAAGAAGCGTTGAGAAAAAAAAGCGATTAGTGCGGGGCGCGCCTTGTTCATCACCTTGCGTGCTACACGGACCCGGATGATTGCATAAGAGCCAAACTGGCGGGAGAGACGCGTTGAGCAGCCGAGTTCAGGTCTGTTGAGGACAATCTTGTAGTTGCTGGACTCCGAGCCTTTCAATACATAGTTGTACAGCTTCAGCGATGCAGAGAAGTGAACTCTGCCGCCATACCATCCATCCGGATGTCTGTGAAACCGCTCCTGCGAGTTTGCACGTTCGTACTCGTGGTCGAGTTCTTTCCAAGGTGACTAAATATGTTGATAAGTCATTGCATTGAAGTATGAAGAGTTATGTACCGTCGCTTCCCTCTCCCTGCTAAAAAAAACCTCTGATACTTCAACATTTTCACCGCTGCTTCCACCGTAAAGATTGTCTACCAGCGGGGCTGCAAGCTGATTGGGACCCTTGAGTCTGTCTAGCTCAGGGATGGCAACATCTTCATATGACATATGCCCCATCGTGACCAATCGCGCTATCTGCCATTGAACACCGTAGCGAATCCCTTTCGCGTCGAAGTACTTTTGCAGGCGGCCATGGTGAGCCTAAAAAGATCGTCAATGGAAACCACGCTATAACTTAAGCGTGATAGCTACGAACGATTACGAAAACGGAATTGTCACCCGTCATTGTTATTGTGCCCCTCTGAGAAATTGGAGCCGTCAGGGTAGGATTGATCCTTGAGCTCGAGTGGTTAGAACCCGTGCTCCAAAAAATCAGGAAGCCGCTCGTACTGCCGAATACAAACCTGGAAATAAGAAAACTCTTTGATGTATTTTGTCTTGATTTAACGATTTAGTTTGCGAGCGGTTAGATTTTGAGAGCGAACGAATCGAACCAAAGCTCCTGATTATCTGCTTACCTCACGTGGGTTCAACTACTTGCAGTAACACAGTACTCCCCATCACATCATTCGCTGATGCACACGCACGGCCGAAACAAGCTCGGGAACGTTGGGTGGTATGATACAACATGACAATTGGTATAACTCATACAGTTGGATTACAACAAGGTTCACACTACATACGTCAGACATTCACCATATCTGGGGCGCACGGTAATCCGGAGGTAGCAGGAAAGCATCCATTCCTTGTTGCGAGAATGTGTTTCCGCCCAGACTGTGGTCAGTGATCCAGAAGGGTAACTGTTCGTTCGAAGTCATTTCAAATCCTCGCCAGATGGTATCAGCGTCCGCTCCAGACTGGGGTACCATGCCCATCTGCGTCCGGTGCACCGCTTCAGGACTGGAGAACGAGGGGTCGTACGTAGGAGAGAATGTATCGTGCATGCCTGAATGCTGCTCGACAGCCATAGGAATCGTGCGCGGCACCTCCCGGGAAATATTCGGGGATCGAGAGGTGGACGGAGCCTTGCGCTTCTTGGCTCTCTTGAGCATGAGCTGGAGAGTAATGGCATATCGTTTTCCAGGGACTTGGAGAGTGTAAGAAACACAACCTAACATCGGCTTCAACTTACTGTGGGACATCATATCGACCAGTCGCTCAACTTGCATTCTTATTTCCTGTGTATCGCAATCGTTCGGGCTAGTCCCTTGCAGTCAAACTTAGTGTACCGTTGGGCAAGCATGAAAACTCACAAGAGACGAGCCAACCTCAGAAGGAAAGACGCTGCGAATGTGGCAGTTGCATGAGTGTAGTGGACGGCTTCCGTATTGTTTGTCAGCTGCTAGACGGTCGTTGAAGGACTACTAACCGTATTTCATTCCTTCGCTGTAGGACGGTGAATTAACCGTAATATCAAGGCCTTGACGAGCGACCTTTATCGAACGGATGGCGAGTTCCCTCTGCGCCTTCGGCATTTTTTGCACATCATCTGGACTGTTGATACCGCGGAGAGCTGTTGCATTATGGAATAGCTGTGCGTGTAGTTGTTGGATCTGCAGGCTTTGCCGGTAGAAAGCTGCAATTTTTTTTTTAGCAACGATTGATATCGCTTTAGCATATACACACCCGCGTCTTCATACTTCTGAGAAAAGGCTTCATCCCAAGTGTTGTACCAATTGCGAAAATCTGTGTCTGCTTGATCAATGACAGCAAAGGTGACCTCGTCAACAGGGCGATCAAATGGTGAAAGCTTGTTATGGACTCTCTCGCGTATTGCCATGAGTTCAACAGTTGACACGAGACGCATGTCGTCTTCGATGGCAAGAGGGTGTTGCAACAATAAGCGGCCTTGGCAGATGCTCTCGTCCTCTGTCAAGATTGCAGGCCGACCAGTGCCATAGGATAACCTTATAAAAAAAGAGATCAGCAAACGCGGACCGCAGGAGAACTGGACAACTCCATACTGGTGCTCAAAAAGATACAAGCAGAACCAGGTTCGCGACGCAATCACAAGCTCACGATCGTCATTCGGGTCATAGTTGGAGCTTCTGTTTTGCATCCGTCTGAGCAGTCTGGGCCACGCCTTATGTAATGCTGAGAAGATATGTAAGAGCTATAGTAGCATAGCAGCAGCACCGTAACTCACAGAGTTCCATCGCCATACGGACGGCATGACCACCACTAAGCCAACCATTGTCAGACCAACCTGAGACAAGAACTTCGAAAGGTGAAAAGCCGTCCCACTAAAGGAAATTTAAACAGGAAGACTCACTCATAGCTTGAACAGCCTCTACACGCGTAACAGGTGCGAAAAGTGTAGCTCTTGATATGTTTTGCACTGCTTCCAAGCAACGGGTGTACGTTTCGCTCGCTTTACCTGGTAAGGTGTCGGTGTGTTGCGAAGATGCATGCAGTCTACACTGACCTCCACCGTCACGAACACGAGCAGCAACCATGCATATAGCATCCACTGCAAACGGCGAACGCTCGTGCAGAGCGTCGAAGGAATCGACGTGAGAGTCAAACACAGGAAGGAATGTGGAGCACCCCGCATAAAAGCTATTGGAGGTCAAGAGTCGAACAAGGGGTAAAAGGAACAAGCGCACATCCGAAATAGCTCGCGAGCCTCTTCTTCTGAAACCAGGTTTTGCGTGACAACTGGGGATGCACGCAACCGTTCATTTTCTTTCGATATATCACTCAGAGGTAAATATACTTACCATCAGGGAACACTGGACTGCGAGCTGCCTTGTGGCGAATCTTTCTCCTCTTACTTGGCCGGGTCTGTCGTTCTGGAGATGGCGTTCTTGCTCTACTCTGGGGTTCACTGCTTGCTTCACCATTTTCCTAGGGTGTATGCCAGATACAGAGGTTACCACGGAAGGACGATTTCGCATCGCACACACCTTGGTAGCTCTCTCGACAGCAACATCAGCCAATCCTCGTAAGACTTCCCACGGAGCCACTAAGCCGGACGCGGGCAGTTCCCCATTGTCCTCGTCGTCGACATCTGAGGAGTCAGCACTGGTAACATTCGAAGATGATGGTAATGCACGCCTCGATCCTGACGGTGTCGGCGCTCTGTAATTCCTGCTTGCATGAAAGCGTTGGGCTGTATCAGCAGGATAACGCGCAGGCATGTGGCCGTGAGTGGCGCCAGTGCCCACTCCGCCGATACTTGAAAAGGGGGGAAGGACTGCACCAGAAGAAGGGACTACGTAGGTGTACTGTTGATTTGAACCATGAGCCGAGTGCACAGGGGGCAATTGAGGTGAGTGGTAATCCCCCACGACCTGTTGTTGGCTTGAAGACACGAGAGAGCTCTGGGAGATTGAAGCTCGTGAATGGCGGGAGGTCAGATTGTGCATTGGAGGGAGAGTGTGATGACTCGACTGGTAGGTGGTTGAAGTGGCTGCGCCAGCTATTGAATGATCGGGAGGGTGTGATCCGTTAGAGCCCGACGGCATCGGGGGAGTACCCATGGATTGGGTTGTGGGTGAGTGGGCATACTGAGGCTGTTGGTAGGTAGACGGGGAGCGATTAGTGTATGAGCCTGGGCCCCTCAAATGAGCCATAATCTCGTGCAGCGAGTTTTGTATTGATGCCTGGGAGGTCTTAATGTCTGCAACGTGAGCCTCGAGGCTGCGAATGCGCCTGGAAGGAGTATATCAGATTGAGATTTCTGAGATGACTTTGGTCGGCTTACTCCAGCCCGGCTTCGCCGGTGAGGGTTGCCTCTCTGGAGGGTTTCTCGAACAAGCATTCTAAACCAGCGTGACGGCAGCGTCGACAGGGTGGATTGTCGGCTCCTTCGCAGCGCATCTTCTGCTTTCGGCATGCGTTCTGTATGGAAAGGAGGATCAGCGGTTGTTCTCGGGGAGGGTAGGGATGAGGAATTACGCATGCGCCTGTTGAAAAAAAGGTGCATCGATGAGCATGATGGCACCAGGGAGAGGAGGAAGGATGGCATACGGGGTACTCTGTTGAGCGTCTTTGCGATAGGCTTGACATCAGGCTTTTGGGGAAGCTTGGAAGGATCGCTGGGGCCATCCTCGACCTTCTTGACTGGGGAGATGTTGGAATCCATGACGAGGACGAAGCTGGGCTCGCCCGGGCTGTGGGTGGACTGGACTCGGTTGGCCACTGCGTCGGTGCGACGGCCGCTTGGAATGAGCCGCACTTCGCAAGCGAGTCGGTAGGCTACAAAAGAGAGAGCAGCGCCTAAACACACCCACTCGTGTATACGACACAAACACCAGTCAATACTGCCTCCTCCCCCCATCATGCTCGCACAGCTGGCATCCCACTTGCTGAGGTGTGTACCGTCTGTCAGCTGCTCGCAAGCGTTCTTTCTCACTGCTGCTGCCCAGCGCGTGGTTTGTCTTCTTGCTACCGTGCTATTCCACCTTCAAGACCCTCTCCCATGCACCTCCGCACGGTGACCAGATCCAAGTATGGTGCATGTATTGGGCAGTTATCGGCGCATTCATCGCAGTCGAAAACATACTCGGGTTTTTCATATCCTGGTATCTATCTGTCAGTGGTCTTCATCACTTCACCCCCTCTCAACGCTTTTCGCAGGCTCCCCTTTTATTGGGAACTCAGGACATTGCTCCTACTCTACTTGTCGCTTCCCCAGATCCAGGTTTGTACCATGGTTCGTGCCCGCCCCTTTTCGCTAACCCCCTCCAAAAGGGTTCGACTTATGTCTACAAAACCTACCTTGAACCGTTCTGCCGAATCAATGAAGCTGAGTTTGATGCTGGGATCGCGTCGGCCACCGGCAGCATCCTAGAATTCTTCCAGTCTCGCCTTGCCAGCGTGACTGACATCTTCAGCTTGTTAAACAAAACACCCGTCACCCTGCCGCCTCAATCTAACAGGGCCTACAATACCAGCGCACTGAACTGAAGCCGTTGTCCATGTTAGAAATACTTACACACTTGTCGATATCCTACCTTGCATGGGGCTCATTAGCGTCTGGCTGATACATTTCCATTAATATTTAGTGGTAAAGGATAGATGGACGGTACTTCATGCATCATGTATGGTGGCGTTTGAATGCAGTATCGACATCACCGGAGCTGTACTCCAGCGACAGCCCACTGTCAGAGTAACATTGCGACAGCTTTGCGTTGAAATTCTCAGTCATCCTCTGCAACTCTTCCTCACAAGCTTTCCACACTCCTACCATCACTGTCCCAGGTGCAATCCCGCTGCTCTCCTCTCTTGTCGTTTTCTCTTCCGCCTCCGTGAAGTGCTTCTCCACTCGACGGAACAGGACATCGATGTGTTTTCGGACGTCTTTCCCATCATATTCCTTGAGAACCCGTTTGAGTGCAGGCTTGTTGTAACTGCTATTCTTTTGAACTTCCGATGGTGCAGTTGTCTTCAACAGGCGCTCCACGCCCTCAAAAAAGTCCTGCGGAAGACCTCAGCGTCCCGGTGCACAAAGGCAGAGTCAACGGAACTCACAATCAGCTTAGCAAAGGGCCGCTTCAACACGATCTTCACGTAGGCGCTCAGATTCTCGTTGTACATAGCCTCTGCCTGCTTCAAGAACCCAGTAACGGAGCCGACCCCCAGTTGAGACATCTCGGCAACGAAGTAATGCATGTTTTCTATAGGAACCACGGTAACTCAAATGGTACGGTGAAAGGGTCCAAGCGGCGACGCTCACCGACTAGCAACACATGGTAATTGAGTTGTCCCTTGTCTTCGCCATCGCCATCCAGCGTAGCCATGTGTTTTAAGCATTCAAACATGCTATGCACGATTTTCTCGTACGCAAGATCGACACTTGTCCGGATTTCAAGTCCGTCCGCACCAACAAGCTGCTGTTCCACACGGTTGACGTACACCGGGAAATACTTGATAAATTGCGCAACACCTTTACGTTTTTTACTCGTCAGTTTCGTTTCTTCCACCATTTTTATTTGCTGATTCTGCAAAGATGTTCGGTCACCCGGTCACTGACGGTATTCAGCACACATACGACATGCCGATCAAAGGTTCCCTTCAAACGAAGATGTTGTTTGTCCAGCATTTGGAGGAAGAACGTGTTATCACCTTCTCCTGCCTCGTCTAAAAAGCGTTCCAAGCAGACGATAACACCTACTACCTGTCTAATCGGGTGTGAGTATTCGCATACAGTCGGTTGCACGGGTCTTACAGAGTATCTTTCGCTATCGCGATCTCGACCCACTGCTTGATTTCCTGTGGGAGGAAACCAAATATAAGATCCATAGCACCCCGGACAAGCTTCGTTGTGGACTGGCTAAGGCCTGCACTTCGCGCCGCCTGGCGCCTAAAGTAGTTTTCCAGACCGGCGTAGTCCGCAAATGTGAGGCCTGCATCATTAATCTGCAAGAAATCTGCGATGAAATCCCCTTCCCGACTGATTAGTGGCGCGATTTCTTCCAGGATAAAACCGAACGCCTGCTACGCGATCAGTACACAGGTTTGAACCTACTAGGAGAAGGACGAACTTCTGATGGTTGATAGTCATCATCACGCCGCTTATCGCGATCACGCTTCTGTAACTCCATTGGTGACCGAATGATGGTACCTGCGCGCCGGATGGCCCCTGCCTTCACAGTATTACCCGCAGCTGCGAAACCTGAGCGAGGAGTCAGGAAAACGCCCAACAGAATTACTTCGGGATGCATACTCTGTTCACTTTCTTCTTCGGAATTTTTTTTAAGCAAACCTGAATAGATTGAGAAAACGGTCCGCATTTGCTTTCCGTGCAAGTCGCTGACGGCGGAAAAATATGCCTGCGAACAATGAGCGGCCTCGTTCAAGGAAAAAATAAAACCATACATACAGCGCACAGCTTCGAGTACGCTACCTCATCCATTTCCTTGAGATACAATACTAGACCAGCATATCGACCAAGGTATGTTTCCATACTTCCATGATCTACTAGAGTGGGTCGTGCACGCGCGTTTTCTCGACTGACGCCATTGTTGCTTTCTAATATGGTCTTGGACTGTGAAAATCATGTCATCGACGTCCGGTAGACTGCCTGGTGAGAACAGCTTACCTTGGCGACCATTATGATAGAAAGGTAATCAAATACGCGCTTGCAGAATTGCGTATTGTATGTTCGATACTCGTCCAACCTCTCCATCGTAGCAGCCATTTCTGTCTACTTGTTAGTGGCACATCGGTGCTTTATCTATGGACAGCCCTCGCCTGTATCTTGACTTGCTTGCAGCGCCTTGTAAAGTTCAGTTGCTGCTTCCTCTAGTCGCTGTACGCCAGCGGGCTTCTCTAGAGATTCCTGGGCTAAGGTGTGCAGAGCTTCATCACTCACTTGCACCGTTTGCTTGGGCGAAGTTAGTCTTGCAATTAGTGAACCTATCGACTATTACCTACCAGTAAGTTTTCGAGTTCGTTCAACAATGCCCTTTGATTTTGCGTATGCACTTGCAGGCCCCGTCGTTGCGACTGGATAAAAGAAATGTCATCTCCGACAGCCTGACACAAATCAGTAATGTGCGGGAGTATTCGAGATCCCGCGTACATTCAAATGGATTTTATATGACGATAACAAGCTGTCAATGGCATCTACCTCTGACAAGGCCTCATCCAAATATTTGATGACAAGGTTGACCCGGTCGTCCGATTCCAAGAACGAATGGATATTTGCCTTCAAGACGCACGTGAGCGAGTGAGGGAATAAACCTGATTTAAAAAAGGACCTTTTCCAATGCCGTCAACTCGTCCAGCAAGCGGGCTTCCACTAAATCCGCAGCCCCTCTTGTCGACTTGCGATCAAACATATCGTCGCTGGCCCAATCATAACCTTCTAGCATTTCTTCCACGCTAAGCATCGCTGCCTGACTAGTTTCTTGACCGCCTTCAATGTCTTCCTCTTCTCCGAGGCCACCAGCCACGAGCCTACCGATCGCAGCTTGGTTTGCAGGGTCAAAGAAGGAAACCCTATTGCTATGCTCTCTCCTTGCAAGCGGTGTCCCAGGGGGTTTCAGAGCCTCTGTACGGTTCGTACTCGGAGTCAGACCAGGTGAATCGACGCGAGTTGGTGGCAGCGCTGCCGTTGGAGGATATGCTGACAATGGACTATGGCCTTGAGACGGATCCAAGGATGGTTTGGCGCTGGAAACGCTTTCATGGGATTGTCTGGAAGGCGGATTGCTCATCTGCTGGCGCGAAGGCACAAGACTGGATGGATGGGATGCCGCTATAGCGGGTGCGGACACAGGCGGTGTTGTGTTGGACGGCCGACGTGTGACTCTAGGCCTCAATGGACTAGGGAGGGCTGTTTGTGGTTGCTGATGCTGCTGGACAGTGGTAGGTGATGGAGACCGGTAATTTGCAGTGACTTGAGTAGCTGTTACATGCGATGGGGGGCCAGGTAACGAGTCTGCCGGTGAGGCGGAACGAGAGGGAGGATTTATGAGGTAAGAACGGGCGGGTGATTGTGAAAATGGAGTCTGAGCGCGTTCATGGCTGACCTGAGGGATGGATGTAGTGGGAACAGGCGTCTGTTTTCCGGTAGTGGGTGCATCCGAAGTTGGGCGACTCTGCACTGAAACATCCGAGCCTCGCTGGTGTGTCCCGTGGTTTGCTATGATAATGACCAGGGGCGTGAGCAGATCGGTTAATGAAGTAATAGAAGACGGCTCACAGGGGAGAGTAGGTACTGTCGGATCGTTGACGCCGTGGAGCTGGAGGTGGCTGCCTATCAGGGACCGGAATAGATCGATAAGTGCGTGGATAAACGCAGACTGATCGACGGGGTTCTCCGTCTGCCACTTGTAAGTTCTACCAAGAGTGATGCTGAAGAATATGGGCTGGCAAAACGAGGGCATCAGATAACCGCGGATAGGATCGTTAGTTGTGGACGAATGGTTTCACCGACATTGAAGACTTCGATGCCTCGCAGTTCGGCGAGCTTCCATGTCTTTCCGACAGAGAACGAGCCGTTCGTGTTCAGCTTAGATTTGTGAATGAAACCGGTGCTATCGCTGGCCCCTTGGGGCGTAGGCGTATCAACAACGGTCAGCGTACGGCGTTGCTCGAGCGGGACGCACTAGACAGCAAGATGTATCGCGGCTTCTTCCCCTGACCCTCACCTGCGTCCTCCCAGATCTTGACATGGGCAACATAGGATTCCTGGATTGCAGCACCCGCATTGCGCTTGTCAAACACGGAGGTTATGATGCGCTGGCGGGTATGGTCGTTGTCTGCCATGACTTGTAATACGTCCCATGGGCGGGCGCGTATGTAAATATACAATACATAGCCCCACACATTTAAAAAGGGCTCACCCATAAGCTCTGCAACTACTAACTGCCACCGACAGGCGAATGTCGCCGTCGATCTAAGTTCTAAGCACACACGGCGCTGTCCTCGACTCTAAGATCCAAATCGTGTCTTGCTGTGCACATAATACACTCCGAAGATAATCCATCCTTGTGGTCGGTCCACCACCGCCACGGCAGCGAGACAATAAAACCGCCCGTACCGCTTGATTTTGCACCTGAGGACAAAGGTCCTTGCTATTCCTTAGGCGAGCCATTTCGCGTCCTCTGCTCCGCACCTTGAGTTCGTACTGATACCCACCTTCTTTCTACCATGCCACCGTCTACAGCAGGTTTGTCGACCACTTCTTCTTCCACTCTGTCGTCCCAAGACATTCTCTCGTCTGTCGATGCCCGAGAGGACCGTTCTACCAGCCCCATCTCCTCCTACTCGCGAGATGTCTCTGTAGATGTCTCCGTACACCCTATGGACATGGATGGGAACGTTCGCTCCGCTACAGCGCCCGCGCTGCCCCAGCCCGAAAAGCAGTCAAGAAGAACTCTGAGGAAAAGGAATCCAGTCATTGACAAGTCCGCCCTCAGGTTCAGACCTATCCCGACGTCCACCTCGAATTCCCGATCTCGGTCCAACAACCGTGGCACTTCTGAAGAAGATAGCAACAAGCAGAAACAAACTGGCCCCCAAGTATCCCACAGGACCTCCTCCGAGAGGGAGGCTAGAGTCCGTGATCTGAAGAGCCGCGCGCTGTCCATCCCTTCTACCGGCAAGACACCCGCAACCATGCGCCAACGCATGGTGATGCAGATGGTTTACGACGAAATTACCCCTTATCCTGATGAGGCCTGGGTTTCTCAGCTGGGCATCATTATCAATAGGTGACTGATTGTGTGAGGCGACCTGTTGTCTGCATTTCTCACAGCAATGCCATAGGGAGTACCATCAAGTGAAGAACTGGTTTTCCAACCAGCGCCAGAAAGACGCTCGGGACTCACGGCAGCAAAGCCCCTCTCTTGCTGCTACCAGTGTCCTGGAAGCATCGCTATGCAAGATAAACTGTGACGGCCGAGAGATGCGGGTCAGGGTGTCGGCCCTTGACTCCTGCAGCGCGGAGACTTGGACGGATACTTTTTTTGATGAAGTGGTCATGATCCACAACTTTCGGCTTCTGGCTAAACTCAGTCAGGATGAGGCGAGAGCGGCTCTCCACAGTTCTAACATTAGCACCACGGACACGACACATGCACCCCCACGCTTGACATGAGCATTCAGTCATCTTTTGTAAGTATACATCGAGGTTCTTTTCTGTACATCCTAATTACTGCACCATCCATGTGTATCATTCATAATTCACGCTTAATCACGATACTGTAGAACCTGGTTCATAAAAAAGAGGTATTGCATTTTCAAATGAGTTGATCCGTTGGTAGAGGTTCATACTCATTGGTAAGATCCGCCTTTGCCGTCCACCACAGCCATTCCCTCGGGTAGGAAACGCGGCGACGAGTACTTGTAACCCGGCCTGCCTGCATAACTCGATACTTCTCGCCGCGCCATACCACTTCATTTCCGAATATGGCCACAAGGAATATTGGCAGTGCCAAAAATTCTCGAATGAACCAGGCACTCATGAACTGCCATGCGCGTTTCCCGGAAGGAACTGGATGCCCGGCAAGGGACTCATATACGTCAAAGTCGATCCACAGCCAGGCGATGAGATGAATTGGGAAGAAGGCCCAGGGGGAGATGGCGAAAAGATGGCGCAAGCTGGCGGCTGCTATCGAACTGACGACGAAGCACTCTGTGAATGGTTCAGCGATGGTGGCTGCAAGGACCATGTGTTTTCGGACACGTATCCAACGGACTCGACGCCAGACGTAGTCTGCGAGGGACATCCTGCCGATTGCATTGTTGGCAGTGTCGCAGGAAAGGTCGTGACGGAGATCGAGCTCGTGCCAAAGGGCGCTGGCAATCATGTTATCCTCGGCTAGAAAGGGTGCAAAAGCAGGCAGGCCATGTTCGCCTGCGAGTGAATCACCGTTGACGGTTTTCGGCTTTAGCGAGCCATCAACGCGTTCCAAGTCGGAGCGACGGTACAAGTTGGATTTACCTACGACGCAGGACTCGATGGCGACAGTGTTTATGGCGAGATACATCTTAGCATGATTAGTGTTCAAGAAAGCTTGTTCGACGGCGGCACCTAGACAATTTTCATGAACAATTGCGAACGGCACGTGATGAACGAGGGCAACGCGTTTGCCAGACGAGTTTTGGGATGGGCTACGGGTGAGGATGTCGACTGAACGGGCAAGAGTGCCGGGTGCGACGGAAATGTTAGAATCGATGACCCAGAGGATATCATGAGCGGCCTCCCGATACGAGCGAACGAGGTTGTTTACTTTCGGATTGACTCCGACGGTTTCTTCACCTGAGTGGAATGAGTGGGCGGGGATGATGTCACACGACAGAGGACGAACCGATGATGATTCTAGCGTTGACGTGGGGGTATTTGGCAATGAGATCCCGCACGATGACGAGGGCCTGGTCACGCTCATCGGCGACGGAGAGGAGTATTTCAAAATTGGGGTATTCCTGAATGAAAGTGGATTCTATGTTTTCGTATAGATTCGTGTCGAGACCCTTGAGGGGACGCAAGATGGACACACCCGGAGCATCGCTGGAGGATGCGAGCGGGGAGCGCGGCCGGGTGCGATAGCGTGACCGCCTGTCGGGGCGAATGCAGTGACTCTGGCAGGCGACTGAGATTAACGAAGCTTGCTACTTACGCTGTCCTGCACCCCAGCAAGCCCAGAGCCCAGAGCACGGCGTACCAGCCTAGTCCGACGACGGCAGCCACGTCGGCGAGCCAGTCCATTCGCAACATATGACGACAGTCTGAATCCGGATATGACATGCGGCGTGCACGTGACCCAGACTCATGTGATCCGGCCAGGTCATCTCCGTTTCCAGGTCATTGTGTCAAAACTTTTCTGTCACTCATTGCAACGCTATTGGTGCCTACTCTCGTCCCTCGTTTGTGTTCTTCTGCTCCCCCCATGGCAGCAAACTATGCTACCGTCAATAACACACAGACCTCGCCCTACGGTTCTGGTGACCCTTACTACAACGAATCTACAGGCTATGTCACCCCGCAGCGTCCGCCAGTAAAGAAAACCAGCAGCTGGATCAAGTTTGGCATACCCGTGGCGATAGTCGTCATCGTCGGCGTTGTCGTCGGCGCCGTCCTTGGGACCCGTGCTGCCAACAAGAACGCAAGCGAGAGCGCAGCCGGCAGCTCCGCTGCTGCAACCTCGGCCATCGGTGCCAAGAACAACCTGGGCATCTTTCCAATGGGCACGGATAGCCTGTACATGCTGCCATTATACCCCGCTACTGTTAGTATCCCATCTACCCAACCGCTTCTCTTTCCATCGTTTTTGACGGTTTATTTTAGACCAATACCGCAGCGTTCACGACGCCCACCTTCGTGTCGACGAACAACGCAAACTATGCCTGGCCTCAGGATCCTTTCCAACCCTCTAATCCAAATCCCACCCAAGTCCGCTCAGACAGACCTCGTCTCATCGCTCCCTCTTACAAGTGGGCCGTTCTCCCACAATTAATTGCCAATGATCCGTACATGGCATCCTGGAACAACTCTATTTTCGGAAACGCTTCAACTTATAACGCCTTGCCTCCCGTCGCCTACTACCTTGATGGTGGTAACGGTATCCTGGACGTCGCCCGTCAAATCAAACAACGTGTCAAAGCATTCTCTTATGTCTATCGAATGACCAACGACACCAAGTGGGTCGACAGAACGTGGACTGAACTTCAGGTGTGAACGAATCTTCCACCTCCCTTCCCTCTCTTCTGAATACCTCCTTCAGAATGCTGCAGGTAATCTCACGGGTGGTTGGGGACCAGACAACAGCACCAAATGGAACCCTAGCCACTTTCTCGACACTGCTGAGCTCACAGCAGCCTATGCCATTGCATACGACTGGTTGTACGACCAGTGGACCTCCGATCAGAAGGCATCTATCATCTGGACGATGATCGAATACGGCCTCAACAACGGCGTCACCTGTTATAGCAGTAACGACCCATTGTACTACGGTTGGTGGACAAATAACACGATGGGGAACTGGAACTGTGTCTGCAATAACGGTTTGACCATGGGAGCCCTTGCCATCCTAGGCGACGATACTTCTGGTATCGCTCAACAACTCTTAGGCATGACCGTTTCGAACGCTGTTCAGAACTGTGCCTTGGCCCCCTCCAGTGACGGTACTTGGTCTGAAACGTCCGACTATTGGTACTTTGGTACAACTGGTCACGTGGAGCTGTCGGCTTCCCTTCTTTCCGCTACGGGGTCCTCATACGATTTGCTGGATGTTAACCCAGGCCTTAATCTCAGCAGTCTCTTCCACATGTATGGCACCGGCCCAGGATCGCTGTTCAATTACGGTGATACTGGTCCAAACAAGTTCACCGCCACGGCCAACGGCCTGTTCTTTTACGGCGGGTACTACAACCAGCCAGCTTACCAGCTCTTCCAGCGTGATCAGGCAGATGCCCCAGATCCATGGACCATGTTCTGGTACGATCCCACCGTTACCGGCGCTTTCTGGGATGGCCTCGCTCTTGACCACTTCTTTAATAACAACACCGATCAGTGGGGATCTATGCGTTCAAGTTGGACAGATGAGAACGCGCTATTCGTAGCCATCAAGGCTGGCACGCTGCAAGGTCACCAAACTCATAATGACCTCGACTGTGGTGATTTTGTTATGGATGCCTTGGGTACCCGCTGGTTCGGGGAACTCGGTGATGGGGATTACCTTTCTTATGGCTACTTCGAAAGTGATGCACAAGACAGTCCGCGATGGCTGTATTATCGCAAGAGGACGGAGGGACAGAACACTATTCTCGTTGGTGGCGAGAATCAGAACGTGCTTGCTGCACCCACGATCCAGTACGATTCATCCGGTACTGCCCAAGGGTCCAGCACAGTTTTCAATGTTCCAAGCGGCTCGAATGCGTACTTCATTGGTGACCTTGCGAGTGCCTATTTCAATGTGTGAGTTTTCTTTTCGCACCGATTCCTTTTTCTTCTTGTTCACACGTGTCGAATAGGACATCTTTCTCTCGCGGAATCCGCCTTCTTAACTCGCGCACCCAGGTTCTCCTGCAGGATGAAATCAATGCACAAGCGTCCGTGATGTGGAGGGCGCACACGAATGCTACAGTGTCCATCGGCAATAATGGTCTAACTGCGACGCTTACCATCGACACGCGGACCTTACATGTTGATCTTTTGAATGCACCTTCTGGTGCTCAGTTCTCCACCATGGACGCTGTTCGCTTGAGTACGGATCCGGCTACTCCTTCTGGTAGCCCCGACCAGCCCAACCCAGGTGTCACTGTCCTTGTGATTAGTTTGCCGGCTGGAACGTACACGCTCGAAGTTCTTATGACGCCACAGTGGCCAGGAGTGTCTTCTACATCTTACGTTACACCTAGCTCTGTGCCATTGAGCCAGTGGTCGCTCACTAGCCACCCATAGTCGCTCCCTTATTCATACCACACTTTTTGTTCGTTGAGGGACAGTAGTTTGTAGATAAGACCAGTATGTAGTTGGGGACATTGTTTTTGGTATGTTGTTGTGATGGTCGTGAGAAACGTGTTTCCTTGGCAGTGGTGGTTGACTTGGCCCATGCAATTATTGTCATTCCCGCCTGCACTGAGTGCACTTCTAGAGTCCACTGTACGCTCTTTTGAAGACCCACGTTCGCTCTCCAGAAAGTCGTTTTCCAACAGGTTTTATTAGATCTGTGAGTCTGACGGCCTCTTGTCTGCCTCTCTGGCCCACTTTGTCACTAGTCAGATACCCCCCTCATCAGCGACCTCCCTGCGCTCCGCAACTCGACCGCAGATGGCGAGGCTCAGCTTCCTACTCGTTCTCTACGTCTCCCTCATTTTCTGTGCAACCGTTTACGCCAATATCAACGTGGTCGAATCCCACCGCCGGTCCCATGGCAGCCTTAGTCGCTTAATCAAAAAAAGGTCATCAGGAGGAGGAGGAGGAGGAGGCCTTGGCAATGTCTTAGCAGATGTCCAGTCGTCCTCTCAGGCTGCCTTGCCTTCGGCTGCTGGTGCTGCTTCTTCCAGCGACTCTACTGCGGCGACACCCACCACACCCGCCGCCGCTTCTGCGAGTTCTTCTTCGGCTTCTCCCGCGGTAAGCTTAGACCCACCTCTTGTGATCACCCCGTTGACGGTGGCCAATTTTCCTTCAGAGTGCCACCTCGTCTAGTGGAGGTCTTCTGGGTAGTGTTGTTGGTGGCATATTGCCAACCACGTCAAGTTCGGCTTCCTCATCAACTGCAACTTCTGCTGCAATTACAACCCCCACCACGTCGGGTACACCAACGACGCAGGTTGCAGCCGGGAGTGTTCCCACCTCACAACAATCTGAGCAGCAACAGCAACAGTCACCTTCCGTCTACTACATCACTTCCAGCGCTTCGTCAACACCTACCGAATCAAGCACGCCCGAGTCGGCTTCAACCCTCTCTCATACCGCTGTGACAGTCCTCATTGTCATCGCCGTTAGCATCGGCGCTTCCATTATCGTCTGGACGATCATCCGCAAGTGGAAGTTCAAGCCTTCCTCCAACTTCGAAGACCGCATGCAACCCATCGACTGGCGGCCTGATTGTGGCGAGGACAGTGGACTTCCAGGCACACGCCGTCCCCTCTCCAACGCATCTTCCTTCCACTCAGGCTCCCACCAATCCGCTGACGACCACAGCCAGACACACAGTGCCGGACATAGCGCGGCTGCTCATTCTTCTCTCCCCGAACATGATTTCACCCCCGGACCAGTTCATTTCGCCCCTGTTGGCGGTTATGCGGACCTTGCGCGCGGTCCTGCCCCTGGTTCCGAACCTGCCATGCAAGAAGCTTTGGGCCGTGCACCGAGCCTCAATCACCAGTATCAATATGATCAATATGGTGTCCCCCTTCACCATGGGTACAACGCACCTAGCTACTAACGGGGCTGGCGAGAAGAATACCTGCGACGGGTGACACTTGTACTTTCACGAGGTCGTCCCTGATGCTCTTGGATCCATGTTATCCTGTTCCATTTATACCATATTTTCCGTTTGCTTGCTGGACGATGCAACCCTACCTTTTTTTTTTTCATCCTTTTTTTCTTGATCTTCTGAAGGTGGGGCGTGTTGGTGTGCATGCTTGACTTGCATCTCTGACACAATGACGCATCCCTTTCTCTAGATGCCGCAGGCAGAATAGTACATACAGATAATACGGTGGATACTCTTGGATACCCCCGTTCTGCAATCAGATTGCATTGTATCGTTGGTTTCCATACGTTCTTCTGCTCTCCAGGCGACACGTCTGACGTTGACCGTCACGTCATGATCATGTTTTATCATTGGTCTCACGTATGTTCACGACGATCAATTATCTATTTTCGTGATCGTAGAAGCACTGTGTGATCATGATGGTAATACTTCCTTTCTACCCTTCATCATTAATGACGACATGATTGTCAGTCGAAATGGGTCTCCACGTCCATCTCTGATAAGCGATGGCGCCCAGCACCACAAGAGCAACCGTCACAACAGCAAGCCGTCGCCAAACTGAACCTCTCATATCAAGCCTGGCATTCCCGCCATGGTTTTGCCATATCCACACCCCAGTGTTAGCCCCCGCTCTTGTAGACTTATTTTCAGCGTCATCGAGCTTCGTAGTCGCCAAGAGGGATTCAAGGCCCGTCGGCTGTTCTGGTGGAAAGAACCGTTGCGGGCGAAGCCATGACCCGTCTTCGTCGTTGACAGATTTTTTACCTGGTTTGTGTGGTGAGGGGTTAGTTGGTGTCCAGTCCATCGCGTCCTCATCAGGGCAGCCGTCCATATCGGCAGGACGGCCGGAAGTGGTGGACAAAAGTGAAGGCATGCCAAATATGGGATTTGAGGATTGTGGGACAACAGGGTTGGAGGAGAGGCTGAGCGCAGTAAGATCCGGCTCCGTGTGTGTGGGGAACGCGGGGACGGAGGATGAGCGTGTGATCGTCGTTGCACTGGAATGCTCGGGAGTGGCACGGGAAGAATGGGGGTGAAGGTGATCGGATAGCGACGTGTCGATGAGACGGATGGTCGGTGGCCGTTGGAGGTGCAACATAGCGAAGGATGTGACGAATATCTGGCCAAATGATCAATTTAAAAGGCATTTCTAGAAGATTGAAGACACGCCCACCGTGATCTCAAGTGTAAGCAAAGCCGAACAGTATACGTGAATGTGATATGACGAAGGATAAAAATAAATAGAAGAATGATGCCAACGCGGCAAGGCGAGGAGGACTGATGTCACCAGTCTGGAGAACCAGGCCGTCAGCTGAAGCGCCTAGGGTATGCGAAGTTGTGACATTCAAATACTCGTGAAGTCGTAGGATCGATCTACTTACGATGTAACGACCTTTTCCACGGACGCGGACGTCACGCCCTTGTATTCGCGCTTTTTTAAAGGAGTAGTAGGTTGGATCCCACGCAGTGTAAAGTAGGGACAGGAAGGCGATCAAAGGAAGAAAAGGCACTATGCACCCCAGAATATGCGGGAAGTCGTATCCAAGAATCACTACAGGTCCCCACAGTCAGTCATTGGTATTAGAGGCAGGAGTGGCGTACTAACCGGCTGAATGACACGCCATCACGCATAGCAAAGTGACCCACCACAACACTCCCCTTAGCCTCCAGATGGCTAACTGGGACTCGAGCTTTTCCCACTCCTTCCCAGTGGCAGATACTCGGCGTTGCCTGTCCTTTCCCTTGGTGTCTTTGAGGAAACCTGCCAATGCCTGCGTCCGTGCCATTTGATCTTTGCGTTTTATCTCGTCCTCGACTGCGGGTGAGCACTGTACACAAACCGGTGGGTACCGGATATGCAGCGATTCACGGTAAGCAGGGAGCTGCTCGAGACGACTAGCATAATCGGGATGCTTGCATGGGGAGTGTCAGGAGAGCGTCATCGAAGGGAAAGCATCTTAGTACCTGTGGATGGGGCAAATAATTTGAGAGCAGGTTGACGAGCAACATTTGGTTGGTTTGACATGTATGGCAGAACTGTCCCGTGGCGTAGGTCGATGGAAAGCGGTTCTTGTCCGGCGAGGCTACGAAGAGTCAGCAAGCGTGAATGTGGTTCGAGGGGCCTGCTTACCTCGCCTAGCGAATGACGTCGCGTTCAGCTTCTCGTCGTGCATGGCAGGTTCGTCAGACATGATTTCGCCGTTGGCGTCATATCTATTCCAACAATTGCACTGAGTGCAGCGGAAAGAACGGGGGTCATTTGGGGAGAGCCGTGATTGGCAGAAGAAACACGACACAGCACCCGCCCTCCGTATGAACGATGGCATCGTCTGGACCACGTGCCAAGTAGCAGTTGTCCGTCGAGTGGGGGGCATGTTTGTGTTTGTTTGCGAATTTACGGGAAAGGAAAGAGCCTCGCGTGGTCTCCTCTGTTCCACATGTCGCTGGCACCGTCTTCGGGAAGTCGTGGACAGATCGTCGTACAGCCGTCTTATTTCACGTCCTCAGCGTTTGTCAACCCTGCACGCGAAGATGTTTCTTTGCTGATCCAGTGTTACGCTGAGCAGTATGAACGTCTTCGTCCGCTGCACCCGTTTACGCTCTTCAAGGACATTTGGGTGAGTCAGGGATGGACCTGGATTCATTTCAAGATATTTGATGCTCGATCGCGTGAAGCCTTCTTGAAAGTGATGATGCGAATCTTTACTGGTGCGTCATATGTCATGGGTCGTCGTCGTGTCTGAACGTCTTACAGAACACATGAGCGTGACCGAGACGCCGCTCAGACGTGTGGCTGCCCTGTTTGGTCTGTACGCATTTTTGAACACACAGCCATCCATGTCCGTTCCAAAATTGCATTCCGTCTCGCATGTAGAAGTAACCAGCGGTGAGTTTGGATGTGCTATTACTACGCGACTGTCGACTCAGATGATATGTGCATGGTAGATCTCTATGATACTATCGTGTGTCTTCCGGACACACTGAACACTGAGCTTCTGGAGCGACTTCGACCTCATGTGATCTACGTGCTATCGGGACTTGCGGGCGCATTTCAAATCCTACCTCACTCTAAGGTGTGTCCTTTGAACCCCAGGGAAATTCCCCGCGAGTTGGTCGTGGAAGAAGTTGGAAAAAAGAAGAGGGGGCGACTTTCGAAGCTAGAGAAAAAGAAGAAAGCCAAGGATTCTCTTGCCTCGCTGAGTAAGTGGCTCGATCAGACAAAACAAACGTATGATGTGGGGAATGGATCGGAGACCAGTGGGACGGTAACGAGACACGCGCTCCTGTCGCAGCGACCAGTGGCGACGCGTTCCGATTATCGAACGTGCAAATCGGAGTTGTGGGCCGAGCTGGGTAAGGACGACGCAGGTGGGTCGGCTGCACTGCGACGTGCGAGCGACGCGGTGGTGAGACGCATGCGGAAGATGGATGAAGCAGCAGCGGTAGAGGGACTCGAGGTAGGCGGAGAGGGCGGCGACAGGACTGGGCTTGACCGGGTGGAGCGGGCGGCAGGCGAGATTGGCGGAGGACGCGGGGGGCTGCTGTCTTTGTTGGAAGGGGCGGGACTTTTCCCGGTGTTTTCTCACGATGTCTGATCACAATACAACAACCACTCCACCGCTGTTGCTATTGCTACTACTAGAGAGTCTCGCTGTGTACATTCCGTTCATTTCTGTCTTCCTCTTCCTCCTGTAAATGGCCTCCCAGCGGCGTTTCTACGCGCAGCCTGCCTCAAATGCACCGTCGACTGCAAGTCTCATACCCCCCTCGGCAAGAAGTCCCAACCAGAGTGCAGTACAGGCCGCCTTTGCCAGAGCACCGCAGCCCCTTCGGAGTGTACCGAGCGTAAACTCACTCGTTCGTATCCCTCGCGTCTTTTTTTGCTCGATTGATCTCATACGCATGTTTGCCAAGAGTGATTCTCCTTACTCCGGCGCAGCCGCAGGTCGGACAGCAGCTGGTTCGCAAGTAGTAAACTCCTTATCAGACAAGGCGTGTCTCTCCCTTCTCTCCCTCTACAACGGCTGACGTCCTCGCCTATCCAGTTTTCCCTCTCGCCAGATCCACGAACCTGGGGTGCAGACCTCTCCCCAAATCACCCCGAACCAGACGACTACCTACACAACCCCGATCCTCGTCGTGACAGGAAACATGACCGTGGTGGTCACGTCCTCACTTACAGAGGTCTAACAAACTTGGGTTGCCTGCTTGTCCTCGCGACCGGCCTTGTTGCCTTATTGTACGTGCCACACCCCCACCTGCGCCGTCTACTCATTCTTTTCGCAGCGCCGGTTATCCCATGTTATCCTACTTCACCCGTCATAGTTTATCCCTCAATAGCGGTTTCAACTTAGGCGGTATCAACGCAAGCGGCCAGGTCTGTTGCAACCTTTTCCCTTCTAAGCCCACCCTCTCACCATTAATCGCGCCACAGCTACCAAGCATGCCGAACAACTGGGGTCTCATCGATGTCGACACTCCTTCCTCAGCACACACAATCGCGTCTTTCGCTGATGGTTCAGAATGGCAACTTGTGTTTAGTGACGAGTTCAACGTAGACGGTCGGACTTTTTGGCCCGGCGACGATCCATATTGGGAAGCAGCCGATCTCCATTACTGGCAGGTGAGCCTTTCAAAACTTATGCATGTCTTTACCCGCACTCATGCATTCCTCTACCCATTTCATCAGACAAATGACTTGGAGTGGTATTACCCTGGCGCCATAACTACCAAAGACGGTTACCTGCAAATCACCATGTCAGAGCGTACGATGAACAACCTCAACTACACGAGCGGTTTAATGTCTTCTTGGAACAAGTTCTGCTTCACTGGTGGCATGGTCCTTGTTTCTGTCAGTCTTCCTGGAGCCAATGACATCTCCGGTACGTATCCCCTTCATGGGTTGACTATCTTTTGTTAAACAACTTCACACAGGTCTCTGGCCTGCAGGTACGCTTGTCATCACTATTCCTTGGTCCTTCAACGGTGTGCTGACCTTGTGCAGTCTGGACGATGGGCAATCTAGGTCAGCGACTCTCGCGCCTTGCCCCATCGCATTCGCATCATGCTGACGTCCCCCTTAGGTCGCGTCGGTTATGGCGCAAGTCTTGAAGGAATGGTAGGCGCATTTTTGCTCGATAACAAGCCCGTGCCGACGATGGAATTCCCAGTGGCCATATAGCTACGACAGTTGCGACGTGGGTACCGCGCCGAACCAAACACATAATGGACAACCGGCAGCTGCTCTCACCAATGGTGATCCCAGTAATGGCGACGTTCTTTCGTACCTACCGGGACAGCGTTTGTCGAGGTGCACATGTCCAGGAGAATCACACCCCGGGCCCGTTCATTCAGACGGAACATATGTAGGCCGGTCCGCCCCCGAAATAGATATATTTGAGGCCCAGGTGATGTTGTTTATATCCCCTGCTTTCTCACTTTCTTATCTTGAACCAGATTACTGGAGATCCTTTGACAGGTCAAGTGTCACAATCCGCGCAGTGGGCAGTACGTAGCGGTCGTCTTTGCTATTTAATAGGAACTCGATTAAATGACATTAAAACAGCCTATGAATGCCGCTTACCAATGGTTCAATACTTCGGGCAACTTCAACATCCCAAACCCTTCGGTCACTACTCTCAATCCATACATGGGTGGTGTTTACCAGCAGGCAACATCAGGCGTGACGCAGACGAGTGAGTGGTGGTATTAGAACAACACAGGATTCAAACAATCATTTGCCGTCAGATCAGTCGTGTTATACAGGGCTTTCTGGGTGCTTCGCAACGTACGGGTACGAGTATCAGCCAGGTTAGCGTTTTGGGTAACCATCGCTTGATCCTCAGTTAATCCTTGACTCACAGGGTACCAATCTGACGGTGGAGTAAGTAAATTGCAGGGGCTCTACAACCTATCTCACGACATGCGACAGTATATCTCCTGGATAGCGAATGACCAAGTTGCTTGGACCCTTGATGCGGCTGGGATGGCCGCCGATTCTTTGGTGAATATTAGTAGCAGACCCGTGCCTCAGGAACCAATGGTGTGCTCTCTCTTTTCCAATGCGGTTTGGCCGATGATCTAACACTATTCAGTATTTAATCATGAACTTGGCCATATCCCCCAATTTCGCGATCATCGACTTTACTGACCTTGTATTTCCGGCTGTGATGACAGTGGATTGGATCCGCGTCTACCAACCAAAAAATTCCATCAACATCGGCTGCGACCCTAAAGATTTCCCAACGGCTGCCTACATAGACGAGTGAGTGGTGTATGTCATTCATTGTCAATGGCTCCTGATCATTTCGGCCCGTCCACCAGGTACATCGAAGCATATACTAACCCGAATCTAACAACCTGGACGGGAGATTACGGACAACCGTTCCCTAAGAGCAGTTTCCTGGACCAGTGCTAAGCAGGGTCTGATCGTTGTGTCAGCAAAGCCTCTTCTCCATGGATGGTCTTGCAATACTCATCGGTGGTTTCGTTTTTGCATTGATCTTTTTTCATTATCTATAAATATCTTACGCTGTTTTTATCATCGCGACCATGTGGCATTCTCCCATACGATTTACGTGTTTGTTTTGGAACGTTACAAGCATGCAGAGGTCGACCCCTTGCTTAGCTTCAGATTTCTGCCCGCTTGACGTCGTTTAAAGGAGATAGACCGAGGGCTCGCTGTGCGGCCTCACCTCTCTTTCACAACTGTGGCAGGCGCAAACTATCAAGGGAGTTCCATGTTTACATCCGTTTGTGGTAATATGATGAACATACAAATACTAATGCCATCGTGCTTCCGCTGCATTTGCCCAATCAGTTTCACTATAACCGCCCAGGAAGGTATATTTATAAATCTGAAGAAGGTTATTGCCGGTTCGGGTCTTTCGCTTGCCAACTGTCATGGAGAGTTTGGAGTCTGACTAACGTGCGCTCGAGCGTGATAATCCCTCCCGCCGTCAAGCGAGGTACAGCAACGTCCTGGTGGTCCATAGATGTTAAGGTCGAGGACGAGTGTGCCTGCTTGCTCTTCTCAATGAGCTGCCGGGAATCTCGGAGCACCTTAGCAAGCTTCCCCTTCGTGCAGTATAGCCACGTGAGTTCGGCTTGTAGTCCTCCCGGAGGCATTTCCAACGCACGGCGGACAAACCCACGGGAGAGGACGTATGCCTTTTCGTTGTACAGCCGACTATTGCAAGCATGACAAATGCGCAAGCATGGCAGAACCGGAAGGGAAAAAGCGTACCTGTTAACCATACCTTCCTCAGTACCCCTTAATTTGTCGTATGCAGGTTCGCAAAACCACCTACATGGAAAGATCAGCCAGGTCTATGAAAGAAATAGTGATGACACTCACGGTTCCTTGACCAAAACGAGTCCTTGGATGGAAACAAATGCCTGAAGAAGACTTGATCTCGCTGGGCTCCAGGTCTCGGTGCGGTCACCCGTCCACGTGCCCAGTATGGACAAGCACACCTTACCCTCTTCGTATAAGTTTCTAGTCAAAGCAGCAGTTAGGCAATGCATCAGGTGTCAATTGGCGATTGGGCCCACGGGTTTATCCTTCCATTGCCATTTGTCCAACTATGAAAGTGCGCAATCGGGGGGCTCTGCGGAAAATTGGAATCAAGCATCCAGTCGATGACGAAAGGCGCATTTTCGTATGGTGTATTCTCTGGACCAATGATCAACGACCGTAAAAGATCTGTTCGATCTTCATATGCTCGAATAAGGATGGATTCTGTCACCGACACCTCAGCAGTTAACCGGGTGAGAATATCAGAATAACACACCAGGTAGACTATTGGAGAGCGCTCGGTATTCCTTCGTTATACGAGCAAGGAAAGCCTTCGACGGCTGGTTGCATGGAGTCGTGTAGAAGGCGTGGTCAGGAGGGGCACTGGGTAGGATGTCGAAGAGATTCCAGGGAGAATCTTCTTGGTCACCTCCAATATCTATTTCCTGGCTCGCATCTGGAGTGGTCGTAGACGGCGACACAGGTAACGGGGAGACCGAATCAGCAATGTCGGGGGTCACACTCCTCGGCAGAGAATCGATCACGTCATCCACTACTGCAGAGGGCTCGTCCTCCGCCCAAGGGATGTCAATTTCCATTGCACCTTCAATTTCGTCCATTTCCTCCCACTCGTCATCTTCGTCATCCTCGCCTTTGTCGTACCGCCAAATGCCGTTGTCGTCTTGCAACCATACACCATCTGGATAATCACTATGGGAATTATGACTTGATATTTCATCACCCCAGCCGTCATCCTCAATTTGTTCCAGGCTGTCGTATAGCCTCGTTAATCTTTCCAGAGGTAAAACAGAAATTTCCCCGTTTGGATGAGTCACTTCCACCGAACCGTCAAGACGGAGCTGTGAATCAGGTTGACAGGTTAAGTTGCGACAACTTTGACGGATTAACCATCTCCCACCTCTGAGACTTCCCCAAACCACACGAGAGACCTGTCCGCTTTCGGTGATTTGACATCGTAGACTTGGGTCCTGTAAGTCCCGTGCTCTGTTGCTAGCCTTGCACCCAGATCCGCCATAGTGCGCCTCCAACCACCCAATTCCCCGTCATTCCTTACGGGATGTTCGCGAACCCATTCTTCGATTTCGCCGATCTTCGGAACTTTCGGTGAGTCAAAGCCATTAGTTGTTCCTTCGCGATGTATAAACACCGAATCACCCCGCCGTACGCCAAGGCCGTAGTTATGCAGTATATTACCACCAAGGTCTCCGGCACCGTTAGGGTCAAGTTCAAGAGCAGATACGGTTTCAAGGGTTCCTGTGCCCAAACACCGTATGAGAGCTACTCTGTCCGCAGAGCTCACAGACTGAACCACGGCAACTTGTGCTTGATCTTCGCTTTTCCACAGTACATGGTCGCCTGGCCTGTTTAGTCACAAGTTATAGTTACGTAGGCAATGACTGCGAACACTACACACCAGCAATCATACTCATCAATGTTCAGGTATGGAATTAATTCCGTGGAGGACAGGGTTTGCCGGGTACCATCCTGCCATAATACCGTTGCTACCGTTCTGGTTTCCCGTACACAGAGCGTTCGTACGATGATTTTATCGTTGATATCGCTGCCTGTGTCGTACACGGTGGCCGGAACTTTTCGACCGCCCTCGAGGGTAACTTTATCACCAACACGGATGTCTCCTGATTTGGATCTAATGACAGTGAGCTTGGATAATTGTTCACCGTACCAGAATCGTTCTGGGCGGTGTTTAGATTGAGCAACTTCTGGATCAAGCTGAGAGGAGTAGGTACGAGATATGAAAATGTGTTGATATAAAACGCACACTTTGATTCACCGCCAGCCAACATATGGCAAGCACAGTATGTTTGACATCTACAACAGTGTCGTTGGGAGTTGGGATTGGCGTCGCATGACACCCACTGTATATGGTCTGGTGACCAATAGGGCTGGGCAGAAGATCCTGACCATGCGTTAATACATGCCTGAACCAAGCGAAGCACGAATGAACACACGATGCCTTTGTCGCCAACGGTAAGTCGAGTGCTAATTTCCGGTATTCGAACCAAGATACCAGAGGTAGAAACGACGAGTTCGTCGAAAAGCTGATGGGATAAATAGACAAAAAGATGATTGTGCATGGAGGCATACCTCGATGACCTCGTTTAAAGGTGAGTTTCGAGCAGGAGATTGGAATATGAGGCACACTCACCTGGCCAACCCAGTCGTCATAGACCACATAATCACCGCCATTGATACTGGTGGAATGCCTGAGATCCTGTACGTCTTTCCAGCCTTCCACGGGTTCGTTTGTGATAGCATGAACAAGCTTCGCTTGTACCTTGGTGCTAATCACAACTCCGGAACAAACATCGTCGATGCTGCGCTTGCAATAATCTCCTATTTGGAATGTACGATCGACCAAGGTATAATCGGCTTCGGCGACGATTTCGCGAACACCACCAGGGAAGAAGGATACACCGACCTCTCCTCGCTTCAGCGGTCGCATGAGGGGATCCATGATTGGACCTGCTATAGGAAGATCTTCTGGGTCGTGCCAACAACGCTTAAGGACGATGCTTGAGCAAACCAATAGACAACCCTCAGTGTCACGTACCAATACCACCCCCAGGACATTCGGCGAGTCATTCCGCCGGACAATGTCTTCCTGGTAAAACTATGCGACATTCTTGTGTTACCGCACACACCGAACTGGCCAAGGTAGACTGACCTTGGTCTGTATAGTCTTGTTGCTGGTAGACATCTGGGTGCGGGTAACAAGGGCTGTGATGATGGCAAGCGAAGGCCACTAAGGTCACGTGCAGAGCAGTACCGGATCGTCTGATGACATAGGAGCGAGCGTCTCACACCCTCATATAGATCTCATTTAAAACAATGACCACCAGATCTATCACTCATATTCTGCCAACAGAGCTCATCGTTAGAATCCTTATGATGCTGGACTACCAGTCCCTTCTTGCTTGCCAGCAGGTGAGTATGGTTTTACTGGCTCTGGCTGAGCCGTGTTCACACACCCAACCCACACAAGGTGTGTTACCTTTTCAACACGCTCATTGCAGAAAGTTCCCTCCTTCAGTACACTTTGGAGCTTGCAGTTGCAGGAAAACAGGATAATCCTCGTAGTTCCCTCGATTTTTCTCGGAAGCTCGCTGTATTGCGACAGCACCAGGCTGCTTGGGGGGCGTTGCAATGGGCCAATACCTGCGACATCCCCATGCTTCGCGGGGGATTATGGGAGCTGTACGGCGGGGTCCTAGCCCAGTCAGATTCCGATCTTACTTTACGTTTCCGTCGTCTCCCCTCTCAAATCCGCGGAATCGAAGAGTACGTTTGGTCGGTATCAACGTCCGACGTGGATTTGCGTGACTTCACCATGGATCCGGCCCAAGATCTTCTGGTTCTTATTGCACGACCGAGACAGTATGTCAACCGCTAGTTCATGATCAGATCTTTCTTACTTGGGCCAAGGCATCACGCATTGGGCACTCGGCTCGAAACAGCGGTACACTTGCGATCTCTGACCACTGGAAACCGCCATCCCCTTGCACCTGATCCTCCAATTCTGCAGCACTCGGTAGATGCGGGTGTCATGGAATTTAGCTTTGTCGTCCAAGTCTGCGAAGATCGCGTAGCGGTGCACTTTATGTCTCACGAAGCAGTTCCGTCAGATTTGGTCGTCTGGAACTGGAAGACTGGACGGAAGGAACTGGTAGGCAATCTTTGCCGTCGATCATCTTGGTTCCCGTCTCAATACCTGTAACAGAACATACACAGCCACGATCTCAGGGCAATTTCCTTCCTTTCCAATCGTTATATGCTCGTGGGCGGTTTTGACGACCGCGATCGGATTACCGAGCCGCGTCTCTACGTCATAGATCTGACAAAGTGCGATGGTCAGCCAGTTACCCTGGAAGACGTGAACTACCGCTGTGCGTTCGCGTATCCACAATGTGTCCCCTGGGTCACCCCCCTCGGTTTCCAAATCCGCGCAGATCCGATGTCCCCTTGGGTACCACCTGCGTCTTCCGATGTGCCTTTTTTCGTAGATCGGGACTTGAGGTTGCTTGTCATCACGATGTACGTTGCAATTGGCCAAGAACTTGTTTCGTTCGATCTCTTCGTCCTATCGAGAGCCCTGTTGTCTCTGGCTGAGGGGCTTGGTTCTGAAAACGTCCGTCATAACTTCAGTTGGAAGGATTGGGGGCCAGAGAACACTCGCTTAATGGAGTCGCCACCGCACTCTCAGATCTGGGTATGCTTCGTTTTTGGTGCAAAGTTTGTATCACTCGTGCATGGCGGTTTCGAACTTGGAGGTCGTGTTCGCACGCTGGAGGTTTGGGATTTCAATGCTATTGGTATGCAAAAAGAAAGATGTCAAGGGGTGATGGACACGACGGAGGTGGAGGGCCATCCTGACATCGAATGGCATGACTGTGACTACTCCTTGGTCCAACATAGCGTTTTTCTGGAGGACATCGACACAAGCCTGCCGTATCGGGTTGTCAGGCGAGACCTTCCCTTGCAGGAGCAACATTGGCTTCGCTTCGCAGAAGCACTGTGCAGCGAAGATAATATTATCTTGGTCGATGTACGATCTCTCGTTGCTCTTGTTGAGTCGGCCCTCATGGATAGATATCCCACACAGGCGCGACATCGTAATTTCCGCCTACTGACATTCTAGGCGCGTCAACTGTTAGGATATCACCGATGAGATCGAAATTAGAAGATGCTTTACTCGCGGTGCAAAGATATCTTCGCGGACCTTCTGGTGGCGAGATGGCCGACCGCGAGGCCGTTAGATACTTTACCTTCGTATGGACTTGAGCGATATGTGCGATTACGTCGTGACCTGCCGAAATGACTTGTCATGCGTCATTCATGTGAAATTTTCGTGTTTGAAGTTTTTGGAGTTCCTGTATGGTTATTTTTCCTCTGCTGCTGTGCCAACGATGATGAGCACGCAACTGGCAGATTGACCTCAGAGACAAGCCTGGCCAACGGCGTTTCTTCCGTTCTCCAACCTTGCTGTTGAGCCATCCAGTAGGTGGAATGTTCCGATGGACCTCCCCCGTGTATCTACCCGTGCCTCCTTGCATAAAAAGTTAACGCCCCACCTATATCTCCCTCACCTATTAGCCCTCCTTCTGTTCTCTTGAACTTTCATAGACTGCCTCCACTATGATTCCCCACAATCGTCTCCACATGCCTTCGATCTTCTCCCCCGTATTCCTGAAACCCCCGCGGTCATACGGCATCACGGCTTCTTATGCAGTAGGTACTCCTACACTTACACCAACGAACCCATGAACATATCACTATACAGACCATACGAGGCCTTCGACAGCCGTTACCAAAATCACCTGACGTTGATGAAATAGACCCGTCAGATAATGTGCGTACCAGAACGCTCTTGCCCGATGTCCAGGTTGACCTGCCTATTAGGATTTCATCTTGTCGATACTACGAGCAAATCCCTCCTTGCGTGACACCAAGTCATATCTTGCTTCCTTTGGACATCGCGAACCCGAACGCGCAAAATCTTCAGATCTGCCTGACATCGCCACTATCCTTCCACCTGTTGATCGGCGAGAAAACGAGTTACCGAAAATTGCCGCAGAACCGTTAAAAACTAGTCACGTCATCTCCTCAATTTTGAATCCTATTTATCGCCGGACCGCTCTTGTTAAACTTCAAGGTCCTTTCACCGACAAACAACTCGATAGCATCGCTAGGGGAATGGTATATCTCGAGAAACTGGGCTTGGTCAGTGTCATGGTCATCGAACATGACAAGCTGGCCAGAGGGGATGAAGGTGAACGAGCTACTATTATCGAAGAAACTATGCGTGTCGTCGGCGTCCTAGAGGCTCATGGCGCGAAAGCACGCCCGGTATTAGGCACTGTCGTCCGACTTGGTCCGATGCCTTGCGGTCATCAAGATTCCACTTCTCATGACGTGCCATCTCCGGAAGCTCATGTCTTTCCACCTGATTTGGTGCCAATCCGTTCGTCCCTCCGTGCTGGTGAAATTCCAGTTCTTCCACCTTTCGCCCTGGATTCTTTCTGTCGTTCCGTGCGGATAGATGCCAATGACGTGATCGCCGCCCTCGTACGCGGTATGGTCCAGGCGGCTGAGCTTGACGGCAGCCTTCAGGGCAGACAGCCTCGTGACCCGCATGCAGACTACTCAGAAGACATTAACCTCATCCCTTTAAGGCTCATGATCATTAATCGCGAGGGTGGAGTGCCATCGTATGCGCGTTCCGGATACCCCCATCTTCTTATAAACCTTTCGTCGGAATACGACTTCATCCGAGACACGTTCGAACCTTCCTGGTTGAAGGAGAGACCGTCAGCTCTTTCGAATTTAGCACTTGCCCGAATGTGCTTGTCTTACATGCCACCCACGTCTTCGGCTATCATGGTTTCACATCGTTCCCCCAGCTCTCTCATAGCAAATCTTGTTACGAACAAACCAGCTGTTTCATCCAGCCTACCTCACGCCCTACTGCAAGGCAACCGAAAACTCACGCCTGAAACCCCAACCCTAATACGTCGTGGTCAGCCCATACAAGTCATCCGCAATCTTGCTAATGTCAATAGGAAAAAACTTACTCATCTCCTGGAAACTTCATTCGGGCGGACGCTGGATGTAGCACCATTCTACACACGCCTGGAGAAGTACCTCGACTTCGTCATCGTAGCTGGAGATTATGTTGGAGCAGCCATCGTTACGAACGAGCCTGGTCCTGGTCAAGGTTTTCCGCCAATATCCTACCTGGACAAGTTCGCCGTTTTACCGAGCCATCAGGGGGATGGCACAGTAGATTTCCTATGGGTTGCTCTGCACGATGAGACTTATGGTCTGGGACACCCATTCTCCGTTAATCCCAATGGCGGAAAGCAAGGCAAAGGCGAAGGTCGGGATTTAGTTTGGCGCAGCCGTGCGGATAACAAAATCAATAAGTGGTACTTTGATCGAAGCTCCGGACACATACGCTTGGGTTCCTGGGTCCTTTTTTGGTGTGACGCCGAGAAGAGACTTAAGCGGGAGGAAAGTCAACGTGCTGACTCCGGGTTGTCATACGTTGAAAGCTGGGAAGCTGAGAGGTTAGAACAGTGGGCAGACGTTGTCACCAAACTCCCATCTGCATGGAAATAACATGGGTATATTTCTGGCTGATTTCTGGTATAGTGTATCTATCGAGTGGGTAGAGTAATGTGTATACCAGGGGTGATGCCACTGTCCCATCCAGTACAGCTGTACCCGGGTTCCACTCCGCATTTCAGGGCTTTGAATCCCCCACGGGGACGACACTTGGCGACCGCGGTACAGTACGGTTCAGTAATACCTGAACGTGCGGTGCCAGTGATCGTTATTTCGAACAGAATGGCTCAGCTTCAGTCAAGTCTTCTAGCTGGCGACTTGAATGAGGTCAATGAAGAAGTGATACATGAACGACGGTAGGTAACATATAGATTGCAGATACGAGTATTTCACCTGACAACGCCAGGTGAACCGGGACCGAGATGCGGTACCGTACTGTTGCATGTGATATACTTCACTTACATGGTGAAACCGCATCTTGCTACTTCGTAGCACAGGTATGGGTAGTCCTGAGGTCAACTACTCAGCGTATGCAAACCTGGTAAACCAGCGGGTCGCCCCGGGGTCGCTGGGGGGACTGCGTAAATCATATACCAGGTAAACTGGAATCGTCGATCACGTCGGCGCCAGTTAATGTCACTGATTATGACCTACGTAGACGTTGTAAAGATAGTGTTACACCAGTAATATGGTGTACCCTTGTGTACCCAATACATGTTGTGAGCAGAGTCGATTACGTATTTACATCGAGCAGTAGTTCCGGTCACCACCGCATCGACGCAACCGTCTGCGATGCCAACCAGGTATCAACCTGAAGGAATTTCCACCTGTGGCATACACGTCAGAAACAATAACAGACATCTAGTTACGTAACAGACTTTAGGTCAGAATAAACTATCCAGCAGCTTTCTTGATGCTTCAACCCCGAGCTGCGATTGCAACTTAATTGCACGATAGAAGGAACACAAAAATAAAATAAAAACATACGAAGGTAGCAGCATTTGCAGGGAAAGCCTGAGCAATGTGTCAATGAATTACCGAAGTGCTGCACGTAATTAATACGCACTCTGGCCATCGCCGGTCCAAATCCTTTCCACAGCGCAGTGATACCATCCTGTGCTACGGTTTTCCTGAAGCAATCGAATAAGCCAGAATAGGTTCCGGCGGGTGCTGATTGCAAACGGGATTTCAGGACCTTGATGCGTGGGATGGGAGAGTAAACACAAATGAATAAAATAAAATAAAATAAAATAAAATAAACGCACATCTGGCGGTATAGCCAACGACCACATCGCCACGCCTGCAGTGCCGCCAGCGAAAATGATAGCTCCCAGATTGAGATCACCCGATGTCGACTCTCTGGGTATCAACGATTTCTTGGTAACTTCATATGCAGCAAAGTACCTTAGCCCATTGTTATTCATTGCAATGTCAGAAATTAGTAACCGAACACCACTCACGCAGCACTTCCGGGTCCATCGCGAGCGAGGGTTGCCCCGGTTCCCCGGAATATACTTCGGATACCACCTTCTCGATAAAGGTGCCGCATTACATCGACGACACCCTTGTATTGCGTACTCGATGTCCCTTGCCCTTGCACCTATCGCTGGTCGGAAGGTATATCGAATTCGTATGTATGAGTGCCTACCTGCAACACTACCTTCGCCCGCTCCACTGGCGCGGTCACTAGGGTGGTCGGCACAGCGGACAGAAACCCAGCCGTAGCAAGTTCCAAAGTCGATAGCGTTCCGCTGGTGCGATTTGGGGTAAATGCGTAGATCAAACTCTTTGATGCATCGTAGGCCTTGGACAGCATAAGCAGCGGTTACAATTCTAGAGGTGAAGCGATCATACCCAAAAAGACATAGCAAAGATAGGCGTTACGCCCAGTAACGGAGGCACAATACCTCTGTACAATCTACAGATTGCACTTCATAAGTGTGGCTTCGGTGTGATGTGCGATGGAGGATACCCAGTAACGCCGTCACGGGCGAGTGTCTTTCTGACAACATCAATTGCTCCGGTATATTGACCAGCTGCGGCGGTTTGAAGACGCGTTTTGGTCAAATCAAAGGGGTGACCTTGAGTAGCCGTCGATCACTCGGAACGGAGAGATGGATCGAATGACAAGCATGTACTTGCCCACTAGTACCGCACAGACACCCCCAAACCCTCCTGCAGTGAAGGACTTGACATTTTCGCCTGCCAAGCTCTTGTTGTCTTCCGGTGATTGCGCCTCGGCACTCTATAGGGTGAGGGTCGGCACCGTGACCTGGCGAAAATGACCTCGATACGACTGACCATGGCTAACGTCCTAAGAGAATAGAGACGAGTGGAGGTACTGTCCTCCCAAAGGTGCTTCGGAGACGATACTTATATATTGCCGCGTTTTCATATGATTGCATACACGGTTAGGCCGGTCAATCTCCACGACTGCTTCGATGAGAGAGATCAACGGATTCAAGCATTTATCAGCCCCGTGAGCTACATATACAGTCACCTTGCATGTATACACTGGCAGCACGCATACAACGTAGTCTAAGTGATAGTCATTGTACTGGTGCGTCGGGCTATTCATCGCAATCACCGAACCCTCCCATGGGTTCATACGTGGCTTCCGTCACATCCCGATTCCAAACAATGCGTACTCCATAGAAGAATAAGCAGATGAGAACTACCCCAACCGCACCAACGAATGATGGTGGACCATACTCTACCCACCACTTGGGAAGATATGGCATCAGCAACTGGTCGACTTGAATGACGCCACCAGTACCACTCCCAGTAGTAGTTCGTCCCCAGCCAAGCACTCGCGCCCAATCAGCTTTGCCGTCGGTCCCTCGAGCACCTTTGATCCCAACCATGTACTCAGATCCTGTCTTGTCTTCCAGAGTTCGGAACACTATGTCACCGTAGGCAGAGGATGGTGACAAGAGCGTCGAGTATGTGCCGAGGTCGTAAAGGGGCAGTGGGCGGTTGTTGTTGTTCGGATCAACGGTGCCCGAACCGCTGGAAATAGACAACGGGGGGGTGGGAATAAGGTGCTGGCTGACGACAGATCGTAGGGCTTCCTGGTCTTGGAGGAGTTCTGTCAAGTTGAATTCCTTGAAAGCATCATCGGTTGGACAAAGCACTGTCCAGCTCGCGCCATCAAGGCCTCTACCCGTCCACTCTGAATCCTCGGGTGGAGCTGTCCCATTCAAAACCCAGTCAAAACCAGCCTTCGTTATCATGCTTGCCATAGTTGTTGCTTTCGCTGCTTTCATCAATTTCCCGACATTCAGCTCGACTGTACGTGGAATCATCAGGTCAGAGACTTCGTGGATCACACCGGTTTCGGTAAGCAGGTTTTGCGGATATAATGCGCTTTGTGTGTCAGTCCAACCTCCGCTGGCACGGATAAAGACAGAACCGTTGTCAGCCCGCTCCAGCTGTAGGTCAGACCCTTCCAGAGTGGCGAACGTGTGTTGAGATTCATTAACAAGGCTCTTTGAGTATCGCACGCTGTCGATCACATGGTGTAGAATAACATTCTCCAGGTCGGCTTTCGAGGATGCCGCGAGTAAGTGATCGCTGACCAAACGACCCAGACGCTTGAATGCACTATTGCGTGGGATAAGAAAGGTGGTGCGGGGCGTCTTTTTGATCACGTCTGCGAGCGACGTTGAGAATACAGCTGCCAAGAAGGATGACAGATCAAGGGACGGCAACGCGGTTTGCAAGGGGTCAACAGGGGGTTCAAGAGGTCGCGAAATGAAATAGATAATAGTATTGTTCAAGTCCACTACAGACCCACTTTAGTAGAATAGCCGCAGAGACAATCAACACCTACCATGTTCGCCAATAATACCAGCACCTCCGAAGGAAATATGCTTGGAATCGGCCGCTGATTTCTCTCCATTATGAACTTCAACTTGGAGTACCTGTCTTCCATTATCCAAACCTGGCTCACGGAGCTCAGTCTCGAGCAGTGCCCCATGGTCAAGCTTTTTGGGCGCCCAAATCCCAGGAATGAAGTGATACTGCAATATCTGTTTCAACTCTTCGCTTCCTGCTTTGGGCAATCCGTCGTTGAAGAATGAAAGCACATCATCCTTTGGTGCAAGTATGGTGTAGTGATGGTCCGAGTTGTTAACAAGGTGAGTGAGGTTTACGGAGTGTAACAGCGAGACGAAAGATGTGCAATTCAATGTAAGGAGGTATTTCTCCGGAGTGAGCTGAAGAGCACCGGGAGGTATAAGGAGTGAAGACACGAGGTGCAAGACACCATTGCTGGCGTAGACATCAGGTTGGACGACCTTGGTACCGTTTATTGTCGCGCCTTTGGACGAAACCTCGACATCAAGGATGGAACCGTACTCGGTGGTCACTAGTGGGTAAATTAGTTAATGCGCTCCCCAGCTCGCATGTCACCCACTCTTAGTTGAAGATGAGAATGATTCAGACCATTTGACACCTTCTTCAACGACGGAGTGCATGTCTAGGATCCGCCGACGGTCATCCTCCGCGAACGCGCTTTCTAAGTAAAGTCGTTCAAGTGGGTCGATAGATTCCCAGGCAGCATCCACAGGCATGAAGAGAGACAGGCACGAGGTGTCGTTCAGAAAATCCTCAAGATCTGGTGTAAGGATTGTTCGAAGGTAAGACAACGACGTTTCATTTCCAACGATGTTGGCTACACAAACGGTCAGGTCAGGACCAAGAAAGCCGACGGCATGTCATACCCAGGCTTGGCGGCACTTGGAGCATGTCAGAAATCCCGTATACGACACCATTGCTTGCAACCGTCCTCTCCTTGACCACCTCTACACCTCCTTGACCGAATGAATCGGTACCCACCCACAGGGACTTATCTCGTGACGTCAGTCTCAGTCGCTGCGGCTCCCCGCCAAGTGTACCCTCCGGAATTGGCAGCCATGGAGGAGACGGCGGAGGCTTGTGGGTAGGTGGGCTTATGGATCGCCTAGGGAAGTGCAAGGTCTTCAGGGTCTGGGTGGCCTGCTCCACGGGTACTGGGATGGTGTAATTGAGCAAGTGATAGAATAACTGTTGTCTGAGCTCTTCTTGCACATTATCGGGAACCCCGAGGTCATCGCCTTCCAACGCTCGTTGTAGAAGACCATCCTTTCCAGAACGACGTTTAATTGCGTCATTCGTGGGTGCGAAGAAGGTGCTACCGTTGAGCTTGTTGAGGGTCGGGATCAGACGTGTCCTTTGTAGGAGGGAGAGCAAGAGAGAATAGTCGTCGTCTCTGTTGAGTACTTCGACCAGAGTCCTGGGCTTGTCGGTCAATGTAGAATGCCACGGCAGCTGTGAGGACGAAACCCCGCAGACCGCCACCAGTAGTGAGAGAGGGATGTAACGCCAGAGCCACATGCTAATGGCCTCAGCGTGCGTTCAGATCCCCAGTATGTAACAGAAAGCTCAGAGGAACGATGTAGACACGGTGGTGGTGGTGTGGTGGTGGTGGTAGTACTGGTAGTGGAGTGGGGTGCAAGGCGAGGTAGTGCAGCTATGTACTTCTTAGTACTGCAGGCCTCGTGTGTTGACTACGGCGGGCGCAGCCACGGCGAAGCGTTTGGACGTGGGCCATTGTGACCCTAACGACGTCCACGAGCACAAGTGACGACCGGCTGGTTGACATCGGGCCCGCCAGATGCTCCATCTCACCCGAACCTTCACTGGATGCCCTGCTGGGCCCCTCAAGCACCTTGTGTTGCCCCATGCGACTCTCATTGTACGTCAACTGCGTACCAGGTCCATTGCAGTCCCGCGCTGACCGAAAGTTTCAGGTGTACCCCTCTGCTGACGCCATCATCATTCTCAATGCGAGCAGTCTTGCGTTGGTCCGTGTACTCGCGCTGAAGGAAGTTTTTCCCGGCACTCAACGAACTGTCTCATGCTTCGCAGTGGATCCAGCCCTAAAAGTTGTACGTCTCTTCCTTTGTTTGCGTCGCTCTGAATTTTCCTTGGCGCACAACGATAGATCGTAGTGTCTACAGGCACACGGATCGCCGCCTGGTCGCTGTCCGGCGTACAAAGCAATACCTTTCGCGTGCACTCATCTTTAATTCTCCCTGATGATGACCCAGTGACAGCTTTGGACTGTAGAGCAGGTGATCATAGCGAAACTAAGGTTGGCTATTCAGCTAAACTTTAGCTAGGTTTGCTCGCTATAGGAAGCCAGAAGGGCCTATCGGTCTTCACGTTGATCCTCGAAAACGATCTATTGACTTGGACCGCAAAATGGTTCACAGGGTACGTTGACCTCGTCGACCTAAGTCTATCGCTTACGCCTCTGAATGTAGTGCCGTTACGCCGCGTTCAGTCGCATTCTCGCCCACACTCGCATATATTGCTACTACGACCTTTGTGGGTCCGAATCTGTTTATTCGACCATCACTGACAATTTTACTAGGATGCTACTCAAGTCAGGGTATATTCCACTACGTCTGGGGTGGAGAGTCAAGTAATCCCACATCCCCGCCCAGTGTCGGACGTGATGTGGCGGCATTCTTCCACCTCGCGAGGGTCAGTTTACTTCCTAGTCGCGTACGTTACAGTCCATTTACGATCCACAGTGACGACCCCGTCCTATTCACTATTACATCTGATTCAGTGCTCCGCATATTTTTACCGGTAGTCGATTCTCCCCGTCGCCTCCAATTGCACCTTGCCATCGACACATTGACATCTTTGACACCCTCCAACACCTTGGGAGTCCCAAGTTACTCAACATCGAAAATTATGTGGTTAGACAAAGAGATTATTGGCCCTGTAGTCAAAACTCTGTTAGAAGGTTCACCAGCTGCCACTCGAAGCATCGAATTGGAGAAGTTGCGGGAAGTCGATGAAGAAAAGTCAGACCTGTTCATTAGAGTCCTCGACGATGGATCGTTAGTGTTGAGTGCTGTCGCCGTAAGTGTCTTTCAAATGGAGGATGAAATGACGGGTTTATTTATTCCGCACCGTAGAATATCGATCGCAAGCCGCCTACGCTTCTCCGTCACTTCATGATCTCTCGTTCTCCTCCTGGAACGATCTATCCACTGCCATCAAACATCTATATTTTGCCTCGTGCGGAGCTGACCATGCTTACACTCGTGACTTCTCCACCATTACGCACATTTGAAGTGCCAGCGTCGAGCTTGCTTAGTGGTCGGGCTGATAGCTTTCAGCTTTGTGCCGCTGGACCTGACAAGCTGCCACTGCAAGACAGTAAAATTACGCATTTCGTCAGAACTCCTGCGGGACGGGGCGTTGGTGTTGTGCGTGCAAATGGAGGGGAGACGTGGATGGTGACAGACAGCGGGGCAAATTTGTCCCAGGTTGATTCTTGGTCCACTGCAGATTATGTCGTAGTTCTGGACGGTGGTAGGTGTCTCTCCGAAGTCTTGCGAATATTCTCAAACCCCTTCGCAGGGAAGTTGATAGCGACGTATTCCACGGACGACAGCAAATTGTTGCTGCACTCGAGTCCTCCATCCGTACTTACCGTTCCACGTATTTCTGCTCTTTTCTCGACTCCGTCGCAGTCAAAGCACGAATCCATCGTCGGTGTGACGGATGAGATGTCCATTCTGCACATTCACATAAGTACTACCCCCTGTCCAACACTAGTTTTACATTCGTGCGGTGCTCTCCCTCTTCCAAAAAGACCAAAGCTAATACTTCCGGTCGATCCAATGGCATGGAGTCGGGCTACCATTTCGAATTACGATCATTTGCTCAGCATTTCGGATGATGGTGAACTGCGCTTCTGGATCCTAGAGCACAGCAAGAACTCAGGATGGCGGTGCACCGGAAAAGTCAGGACCGGAAGAAGGAAGTTCACAAATGCAAGGTGTAGCTCTGCTAAGAAGTCCGTACTAGGTATAGTTCTTGACCTATCCCTACGTCGTTCGCGCTTACTTTTTTTATAGTCACAAGGGATGCAGAAGGACAGGAACTGACCATCTGGGACTCGAATGAATCTGAGTTCGCATCTGGTCTTGAGCATAGGCGGATTTTCAGGTGTGTGGTATCGTCTCGAGTCTACCATCACTTTTTCATATTTTACCAAGCGCTGCTGAGCCTATCCACGAGTTGGATTGGACGTCGACCCCTGACAATCAATCTATTCTTGCGGTTGGGTTTACACATCATGTGGAACTGCTGTGCCAGCAACGCAAGACATATTTTGACGATGACCCAGCCTGGGTCATATACTGCAAAGTTGAAATCGGAAAGTGCGACGAATAGCCGCACCCCATTGCTAGATGACTAACTCCAGAGGCTAGTTTCGTTCCTTACCCCATCAGTGACTCCATTTGGCTTGCCAACGGTAGTTTCCTGATAGGAGCCGGCCATCAGATGTTTCTATTTTCGCAAACTTCTTCCCTGGCAAGAGATACCTCCTCGTGTAGTCTGTTCGAGAGTGTTGCCCGTAGTAATGGTCCTCTTGATGATTATCATCCGCAGATGCTACTACAGTGCCTGCTTTGGGGTATACTCTGACTTCCTTCCCTCAACTGTTTCTGACCTGTCAGCAGGAAAAATATTGCTTGTGAAACAAACTATAGTTAGGATGGCACAAATCTTTAGAGGCTCAAATGAATTCCGTTGGAAACCATTACCGATCGAAGAATACTACGGGGAAGAATGGACCACACGCCGTGTAAGCTTACACTACAGTGCTGTGTCTAGTGTCATCTGACACTGAGGATGACTGCGAAGCCGGCAAAACCATATGACTTTTTGCTTGGTTCAACGGATCAGGGAGAGCTGTGAGTTATTTGACACGTCAGGGTTGTATTACTAAACTTTCATTCCAGTGCAGAAGACCAAAGGTTTTCTCGCGCATTGGTAGAATCACTAATTGAGCGACTGGAAACCCATCCGCTTTCCCATCTCACTCCAAACGAGCATGCTCATCTTATAGTTCTCATTCAAACTACTCTCGAGGTGAGTCGCCCGTGATTGATTGCCCTCGCATCGAACCATCGTAAAACACAATTTCAGATCGATGAACAACGCCGTGCGTTAGATGCAAACGGGTTCCGTTATGTGCTGTCGATGCGGTCATTTTACATTCTGAACCGTAGGATTGCTTCTGATCCTAATAGCCCCCAGTCGAGTGGCGACATCGCGCGGAAGACTGGCTGGAGAGATCGCCTTCGTTATCGAGACATGATTTGGGCCTTCCACAGTGAGAGCCAAGATATCCTTCTTAATGCATCTGTCGCAGCGTGCAATGGGAAGATGTTATGGTCTGATGCAAGGGCACTTGGCGTATTCATATGGCTCAATTCGGTTGATGTAATGGTGCATAGCCCGCGTTTATTGTCTCGGGGGACTCATGCAATATCCTTTTCCCAGAGATCCCACATGGAAACGATTGCTCGAAATGAATACATGTCTGGCGACCTTCGGGATCCTGCTGCATGCTCGCTTTTCTACTTCGCCCTGGGAAAGTTCAAGCTCGTGCATGGGTTGTGGCGTCAAGCTGTGTGGCACAAGGAGCAAGCAATAATGCTCAAGTTTCTGTCGAACGACTTCACAAAACCTCGCTGGAAAACTGCAGCGCTGAAAAATGCTTACGTTTTACTCAGCAAACAGCGTTTTGGTCAGTCTTTCGTCTTGGTTTTCGACCACTAACGCTTGGTTCCGCACTCAGAATACGCAGCCGCCTTTTTTCTTCTTGGAGGCAGTTTGAAAGACGCTGTCAGTGTCTGCATTAAACAGCTCTCTGACTTCCAGCTTGCCATTGCTCTGGCCCGTGTGGTGGAACAGGGTAACGATGGTCCAGTATTCCAGGGCATTCTCAAGAATACTGTTCTCCCTATGGCGGTCGAAGGTGGGAACAAATGGTTGTGTAGTTGGGCTTTTTGGATGTTACACCGAAGGGATTTATCAGTTAGGGTACTTCTGGTAATGCTTTCCGGCAGTCTCGTCGAAGTACAATCCTGATCCGCTTTCAGACCCCGCTGCAAGACATCGTCGATGCATTCGGCATCAACGTGAAAGATGTCGGAGAACCGTATTTCGACGATCCAAGTCTTGCTCTGTTGTTCTCTCAACTACGCTCCAAGTCATTGCAAACAGCCACAGGAACCAGTGAAATTTCTGGAAAATCCGAGTTTAACTTCGTCCTTCAAGTTGCTAGAGTCTTCTGTCGTATGGGTGGGTTTCAATCGTTCTATCAGTCTGCTAGGACATACTATCAATCCTCGAAAGGTTGTCACGCATTGGCGCTCGATTTAGTTCGATCATGGTCGTTCGAGCGACCAACAGCAGTTTCGACGGTCGACTTGAAGTTACCACCAAGCCCACAACTATCACGCAGGTCGCTTACCACGGATCCTTTCCTGCTGAGGAGGAGATCGTCTATTGTGATCGACATGGATGTCGATTCCCGCACCCCGTCAGGGCAAACCACCCCGAAGCCACCAGCTATAGTTAGAGAGGATGAGCCCGATCGTCTTGCACGGAAAGCTGGGTTGGGAAGCTTGATAAAGTCTGCGAAGCATGACACCCAAGTACCCGAGTTCGACATCAACGCTTTTTTTTAACCGATGAATGGAAATGACGCTTAACGATCGTACAACTGCGTGATGGGATCCATCCACAGAAACCTAAGAGACGACGTGGTCGAGTATAATAACCTCCGTACTCTACTCCTGCTGCTCTGCTTCTTCTGGATTACGCTGCTTTAGGACGAGATCCTTGCCTGTTACACGCCCCCAGACATCTTTAACATCGTCAACGACGGTCTCGAAGTGCGACGTTGCGTCATAAGAACGAGTGATGAAGATATTGTCGGCTTCGCCAGTGGACAACGGCATGTAGAGAGGGCTGACAGTGACAAATCTAATAAACAGGATTTAGAAGATGGTTCCATGCAAAAACCGCGAAACTTTTACTTCTCGTAGATGGAACCCAGGAGCTGAAGACCAGGCTGAATTTCTAGCTCCGGTTTTGAGGTCTCGACGATGGTGCTGACGATCGCAACATAGACATCCTTTGCACAGACATTATGAGTCGACGAGACCATCGCAATGTAAATGTCTAGCTCGAGGTCAGGGATAAGAGTGTGTTGGAGATCAAGGTACTCGCCGTTCCGCCTGTTGACCTGGTTCTGAGGGATGACGATCTGTACGCTATCGCTACCGTCTGTACCAGGAATAGGGTGCTTGAGGATGCAGATGGCTCGGATCACCCTTTTCTCCTCGATTACTCGTAGCCTGCCGCCGTCACCGACTTCCGCGCCAGCACCGAAATAGCTTGGATCACCAATAACTTGCTTGGCTTTGACGGTCTCAGTGCCACTGCGTACACCGACAAATTTGCCGTCCGCATCAGTGATAATCTCGTCGATTTTCTTGTCGAGCATGTACGTCCCTCCGTAAATGGCGGAGAGACGGGCAAAGGACTGGGGAAGCTCTCCGAGGCCGTACAATGGATAGATGTATGGCGATTTGCCGTAGCGAGCCATGGAAGAAGTGTATAACACAATACGATCGTAAGTTGGGCGAGCGGGCTTGTCAATGTAACTGTATGCAAGGTAAGAATGGGTGAGCTTAGGTTAAGCTGTGACTATCTCACTCGTCGTCGAGGTACAAGGCCATGGCATGACCGATGAAGTCTTGCGTACCGGGCTCGAGGCCGAATTTCTCGTATACAGCCTTCATGCTGTCGGTGTCCAGGTTGATGCCTGAGTTAACGAAGGCACTTTTATATCAACCATCATGCCCACGTAGGCGGAAAGATGCTTGCCTTGATGAGTCACCGGATCTTCGTCCCTCCAACCTTGGAGGAACTCGAAGAACTTCTTGGCCCGACGTTTCTCAAACAGTCCCATCAGGGGACTCTTTACGGCTTCCAATTCTGTACTTGGTACTTTGGAGATCCTCCCGTCTCTGTACACGAAGCTACCTGCAATTTGTTTGAATTCCAAGTAGCGCGTCACGTCCGTATGCACGAGGATCTTAGTGAGCTCCCCGGATGCGATTATGAATTTTGGAATGAGATCGACAGCGTAATCACGATCTCTGCCAAGGTCTGCAGGCGGTGTCTGGTTAGGCCTGAACTTGCGATAGAGCTGGTATCGATGATAGTCAGCAGATCAGGGCGAGAGGAACATTCACTCCTACTTACTTGAGTCAGGTTCAAGCTTGCGCTGTCACCGCCGTAGTAATCGTTTCTGTCCATGTGAAGGACTTTCTTGCCGTCGACAGACAGTAGACCCGAAAGGATGCATTCCGTCAAACCCGTCCCCAGCACGATGACCTGCGAGAGGCGTCAATGGTATCGAGCCATTAGTATATTAGATCAGGAGTTGAATTACATCGTATTCCTCATCCATGGCGAATCGTCGGATATATGATGAGAGAAGGAAACGGCAGTACTAGGATAGACGGTGAACGATGGGTGGACGTAGGGAGTCACTCACTGAGTGGTGGGGCACTTAGTATATCGCAGTGACTTATGTATATACTCCATATTAGCCACGTGTGGGCTTACCTCCTACACTGAGTCTATAAACTACGCTATGTAGTGTAAGTACCAATGCTAACCCGGATGACATTAAGAGTGCATCGAACACGACTCTGGGTTCGTGAGGATGCACGAGACTTGACTCAGTACTCAGTCGTCGCCTCATCAATTTCATGGTCGCCGTCCTCATCTGATAGAGCAATTCTATCGCTAGCGGCACACTTCTGCGCCCACGACGGATATGCACGTCGACTGTATATATCTTCGCTATCTTTGTTTTGTTTTGGATATCTCTTTGCCAGGTTTAAGAGCGCTAAATGGCGGTGAGCAGGGATGGTTGGCAGCGAGCATCTCACGCGTACCATGTTCGTTTTTACGATAAAATTCGGCCCATGATTTTGCAGATCGTTCCGTGTCATACTGGAGTAGGTGTGAGCGTCACAAGAGATAGGAAGACAGAAGCAATACGAACAGATTCGGAAAATGTATCAAACCGTTCCTTGCTCGTCATGTTATGCCAGTCAGTCCGGGCTATGAATCTTGCCAGCATGCACCAATCTCCACGTGTGAAAGGTGTTCCCGGTTCACCCATGTCGGCTTCGTCGTCTTCTGTATCAGCATCATGATCGCTCCAATCTGGCCAACCATCTGCAATAGGATAGAGAGCGACGTTCGCTGGTATGCACTGCTGACTCTGGCTCGGAATCTGCATCCTCCTCCCCTGTGTCTGCTCTTCTCCGATAAGTCGCCAGAATTTTATCTGCCAGGTCGTGACGAGCATGCCAGTGCGATGCCCAAGAAGTACTGGAGTGGTGGGGTACCTGCAGTATCCACTTAGTTGAGTACAAGTTTTCTTTCCACGAGAGATCAGGATACCTTGGCAGCTAGCAGGTCACATAGCTGCCTTTTTGTCAATGAAGGGTCCTGTTTCAGAGTCCAAGTGATGAATTTGATGAAGTAGTCCCGGTCTTCCAGTGTATACCTGTTTCCGTGGGTCCCTACATGTATTTTTGTGGGAGGTGATGGGGATCGCGAAGGCGGGTCGGGAACCAAAATATCTGCGTGCGGGGGCGTCAAGCCATGAACCATGCTGTTGGCCATCGATATAGAGTCCACAGACAAGCTGTTGATGGTCGCTCTAGCGCGTTTTGGTGGGCGGTTGGTGATGGCAGTCTGAACTGGAGGAGTATGGGAGACACGTCTACTTGGGAACTGTTTAGGAGGCTGAGCCCGTGGTTTGGGAGAGGGGCGACTGGAAGCTGGAGTGGGGGACACCTTGCGCTTCTGAGTGGCTTGAGATGAACTGGTTCCTGACTGCTCTTCGGCAATGGGAATGGGAAAGGTGGTAAATGGTTTCTTGACAGTTTTAGGTGGATGGCTAAGACGAGAGACGAGCATTTCGATACGATCGTGGTGATCAAGGTAGTAGTCTTTCCATAGGTTAGCGGCATGGTTATTAACCTGCATCAAATGAGATGGTCAGAAATTGCACGATGCGGACGCGCCTGACATACGCCGTGAAGGCCCTCGAGGGCCTGTCTGTAAGTCTTGCCGTTCTGTTTGCTATCATGCAGGGCCCGAGCAAGAACAGTATCGTCGTCGGGGCTTTGACCGACGGGGGTGCTCAGCCGAAGGAACTCCTGCATGAAGTGCTGAGGGAGAAAGGATGTAGGATCGAAAGGCTGAGCATGTTGAGAAGAGAGCTGAGGTGGCATGCCAGACTGGGGGAGATGGGAGAACATTATTGATGGGTTTAGGATATTCTGTTGGGCAGGAGGCAGCCTAGAGGGGTCAGTGGGCACGTGATTGAACTGGACCTGATTTTTCAGACTGGAGGCCACGTTGTCTGGTTCAGTTGAGGGGCGGACGTGCGTGCCATTAATATTCATGGCAAGTTGTGGTTCTGTGGTTCTGCGGTTCTCGGACGCGGGTATGTTACATGAGCCACGTGGTCTCGGAACAACTTGTAAGACGGAGCTTCCCCACACACTCACTTACACTGGCCATGGCTGCTACGGCACCGTCTCGCTCGCCTGTATACACTCCCATGCCGCTCTTATGTGTCTGTCTCCACTCTCAACGCCACTGCGCGTGCAAAGGCCGGTAAGCTATCTGCTGACTGGAAGGGAACCAGCGCAACAGGTAACAGCACTAGGAATTACATCGGCGGAGAGTTCGTGGATAGCACGTCAGATAAATGGCATGACGTCCTTGATCCCGTTCGTCATTCTGCAGTGCAGTGTCCTGGCACGTCAGTAACACCCTGCACAGGCCACGCAGACATTGTTGACACGCGTCCCTGAGACAACGCCATCCGAGTTTGATCGGGCTATTGAGGCTGCCTCTCACGCCTACAAGTCATGGAGTAGAACAAGCGTTCTTGCACGACAACGTTTTGTGATCGAGTAGGCGTTCTGGTCACTCCTCTGTCTACCGGCTCTTATTCCGGTTCAGATTGCAGCACTTGATCCGCAAAAACGCCGAAGCTCTCGCTGACAGCATCGTTTTACAGCAGGGTAAAACCCTCGCTGGTACGTTTCCATGTTTTCGTTCCAAGAAGTCTCCCTCAACGCTCCGTAGACGCACATGGTGACGTCCTCCGTGGCTTGCAGGTCGTGGAAACGGCGATCGGAATTACCTCTACTCTAATGGGCGAGAAATTAGAAGGTCTGCGTGGTGATTCCAAACTCCTCAGTTTCACTCACTCCTTGTAGTCAGCAGAGATATGGACACCGAGGTTCGCAAAGTCCCTCTCGGCGTATGTGCGAGGTGAATACTCCATCCTCTGTACCACGCCGCTTACTCACGCATAAGTAGCATAGCACCTTTCAACTTCCCAGCGTATGTCAAATTTGATCATGGCGAACTTCCCTTCCTTGACCATATCCGCAGAATGATACCGTTGTGGACAATTCCCATGGCAACAGTCACTGGGAACACCCTCATTCTCAAGCCCTCTGAACGTGACCCAGGCGCAGCAATGATAATAGCGGAACTTTGCGAAAGAGCAGGTTAGTGAGCGGCTAATTCTCCCTATCGTTCTTCAATTGCAATGCAACAGGACTTCCCGCGGGAGTGCTCAACGTTGTTCATGGTACTGTTCCAATTGTCAATGCCATATGCGATAGCCCTGCTATCAAGGCGATCAGCTTTGTCGGTGGGGACAGGGCAGGTCGTCACATTTTTGAACGGTTGGTTTGTTCTGTTAAATTATGTTCCTCGTTGGTTAATCGTGCTCGGTTAGAGGCACCAGGAATGGAAAGCGAGTGCAGGTATGTCTTACCGACGTATTCAATAGCCGTTTTTACTGGACACTGGGTAGGCTAATATGGGGGCTAAAAACCATGCGGTACTGATGTCCGATGGTAAACGTGCCCATCATGTATCTTCTGCTTACTAACCGTCTTTAAGCCAACAAGAACCTTGCTCTCAACTCGGTACTGGGAGCTGCCTTTGGCGGTTGGTCAATATCAATTTTCTAGCCTTTTCCTTTCTAAATGGCTCCATTGTGTTCCAGCCGCTGGGCAACGGTGTATGGCCGTCTCCGTTGGTTAGTTTCTTTCCCCCACAGTGCCTCCTTGTGAAATCACCCTGGTCCCTTCTAGTTATTCTCGTTGGAACTGCTCAGTCTTGGCTCCCTGACCTTGTCGAGCGGGCGAAGAAGTTACAAGTAAACGGAGGTTTCGAAAAAGGTGCAGACCTGTGAGTTATCTTGGGGTCTGCTATAATCATTCGAACTCATGTCATTGCAAAGCGGTCCTTTGATCTCGCCTGCTTCCAAGAAACGAGTCGAAGAAACCATATCTTCAGTTGAGCAGGAAGGTGGTCGAATCCACCTTGATGGCCGTGGGATCTCGGTGCCAGGATATCCTAATGGCAATTTCGTCGGCCCGACTATCATAGAGGCAGACACGACTATGAGGTGCTACCGGTGAACATAACTCGCTTTTCCTTATTTTTTCGATCATTTATCCCATGTGCAGGGAAGAGATATTTGGACCTGCACTCACAGTCATTACTGCCGACACGCTGGACGATGCTCTCGATATCATCAATGCAAATCCGTACGGGAATGGCGCTGTCATCTTCACTCAGTCAGGGGCGACTGCACGTAAGTTCGAGACCGAGGTCAATGTTGGTCAGGTTGGCATCAATGTACCCATCCCTGTACCTCTTCCTATGTTTGCTTGGAGCGGGAACAAGGGCAGTGTTTTGGGAGATATTGGGTTCTATGGCAAGAGGTGAGCTTTGCACTGTAGCTGAGATATGGCAGTTTTTGACATGACTCCAGTGGGATCAATTTTTACACTCAGAACAAGGTACGTCAAAAAGCTGAGGCTACTGTCTAGATGGATGACCCCGCCGCAGACCACTACCAGTCTCTGGCGAGCAGAAGACGCCGTCGGAAATCGGGCATCAGTTAACATGCCAACGATGAACTAGTTGCGCTTGGCTTCATCTATTTCCGAATTGACTTGGGTCGGTAAATACTTTGTACTTATACATCGCACAACGGGTATCATTTCAACACGAAAGACCGATTATTTCCCCACAACCTCGTCTAAAAATGCGTTAGAAAGATTCGTGCACTGTTCAAAGCATCGTTGGAACCCCGTCTGCACGACAAAAATGTGAGTGTTTTTCCGCTGACAAGGGGCACAGGATAGACGTACGATACCACCATAGTAAGGGTCAGGGATGGGCTTGTTGTCCAAGTAAGATCCCCAGAGACGGAGTTGTGCCGTGGCAGAGCGAGGCCGGATTGCCTCGAGGTTCCGGAGGTTTGACTCGTCCGCCGCTAGGATATATTGGAAGTCCTTGAAATCGGACTGCTGAACTTGCCTTGCGGAGTGATTGATGGGAACATTATGCTTGTTAAATTCTCTTCAGAGGCAAATATTTACAGTGTGGATTCTCCCCCCACCTCCTTACAGGTTTTGACTGTGCTGGTAGATTCACGGATAGTTAGTCAGTGGGATCACAATCTCTTAGAATACCTTACCGCTCGTCAGGATCTTTTCCGAGGTGATAAGCACCGGTGCCTGCACTGTCCACCTTGATTACAATGCCCCGCTTCTCAGCTTCGTGCTTGAGAACGGCTTCCCCCATGGGGGAGCGGCAGATGTTACCAAGACATACGATCAAGACCGAAAGTGTCATTGTTCGAGGCGATGATAAGCAGCCGCAAATCTAGTGATCAGATTGTAAGTGTGTACGTTTGGTGTATACGTAGTATGAGTCGAATTTATCTTATCTTGTCTCGTCACGTCTGGTCACACTAACTACCACGGTGACCGCCCTCCTACCGTATAGGTAGGCATAGTGACCACTACCATGTAGTACCGGACCACAATCTACCTTGGTTTCAAATCAACCATGCCCTCCCCACCCATCCAAGTCTTTCTCACGACCATCGCATCTCAGCCAGAGCTCAGGAAGCGGCAAGGTAGGAACTCGTTGTGGATGTGAGCGTTAAAGCACCGACTTACAGCGAGGCGATCTCATACTACCGCGTGGTTTGTTAACAGAGTACATCTTGCGGATTCTGCAGACGAAGAAAATCCCGTTTATATCTTACGATTTAGCCTGTGATGAAGAGGCGAAGAGACTTTGGAAGCGCAAGGCTCCTCTCGGTATGAACGTTGTTACACCATGATGCAGTCGTGCAGACTCCTCAAGCACTATGCACCGCCCCGTTCAGATAAGCAACAACTTCCAGGCATCCTCGTCGGAGGCAGGTACCCAGGGGTGTGTGCTGCATTATCGTTCACTAGCTTCGTAGTTGCTGAATGCTAAACGTCTAGGACTTCGACGCGTTGTATGCTATTATTTTACTGTCCAACCGTCCGTACAGCTGATCGGCTCTATCAGTGAAGAAGCAGTCGAATACGAGGAACTTGACACATTCTTAAGACTCAAGGAAACATGGAACACAGCCGCAGATGAAGACCGGCCCGCCCCTGTAGCGAAACCTGTTGGGGTTCCCGGAGCGGTCCCAGTTTCGCAAATGACGCCAGAACATCACAAACCCAAGTTTTTCCCAAAAGATCCGAATTCCCCTCTTAAACCCGTGAACAAAGGGAACGATTTTGACATCGGCTCAGAGCTGCAGGGATTTGGACTTCAGGGAGTAAGGGTTACTGATGACGAACTTAAGAAATTGGTCGAAGAGCTTGGGCTCGGCGGCGACGATGCAGCCGATATCGTGAAGAGTCTTGGTGGCGATGGAAGCTCCTCGAAGCCGACGGCGGAAGGTGCTGGAGGGGACACACAGGATGGCTAGTAGGGGACTTGCGATGGAAGGCAAATGTACTGGCGATCGCATAGAAAGTGTGAAACAGGGCTTGTAATCTATGTGCCAACGGTGGAATGTTGCCAGGGCCGTATCCTGTTGAAACCAGAGTGGTGTTTCCACGGCTGCGGATGGAGTTCATCGGGAGGTTGTCACGCACATCCCTGGTATCACCACTTCTCAAGCCAAAATAGGGCTGATCACACGTTCACAACCCAAGTGAAACTTCCTGCCCAAGCACCATCTTGTTCTTTGCCTCGCGACGTACAAAAGACATGTAATGCTTAGGGTTTCTACCCGCACGCGGCTGAAGTGAAGCATGCCACGCCGCAGGCATAAAGTGGGCATGACGCCGATAAGTAGTATGGGGTGAATTAGGCACGACCTGGTCCTAATGATCAGAATCGTACAGTGAGTCGGTGGCGCGTGAGCGACGTCTTCGCAAAGGTCGTTCATCATGAGCTACGGGAGGGATATCAACAGGGACGTCTTCTATTTTAAAAGCCTGTAAGTTCAGACAACCGTCAGTAAAAAATTCGACTGAAGACGTGGTGGGACCGACGCTGCTCTGCGAACGACTTTCCATGGGATATGCCATTCGCTGTCGTTTCCGAGGACGGAAAGATTTCCCATGACTTGGAGTTCTCTTGGGTGGTGACGGGGAGCGTGGAGCGAGAAGGGTATCCTCTTCATTAGGTAGCTGCCATTTAATGGTCGGCAAGATGCAAGCAGTGAGGACGAGCACCGACAACACGAAAAAGGCTGCAAGAGACAAGATCGCCGAAACGAGAGGAAAGCGTGCTACCAAGCCCCTACAGTGCGTAGTTGTTCGGAGTGAGGCAAACACAAAATGGCGGGAAAACGGTCATACCTGACACCCTGGTACCGGACGGTCCCCTTCAAGGAAGCGGTAGCGACACTCAATTCACGGCCCTCGCCACCTCCCAGTTTCCTCCATTCATCACGGCGCCCAATTTCAACGCGTGCATTGACCCTGGAGGTCCCAGGAGCATAGGAGGTCAAAAGAACAATATCCAAACTGATCAAGGGGGGCGACGAAGAGAGCAAGTATGATCGACGTGGTGGTAATGCAATGGCCTTGAATGACGTATAAGAGATGAAGCGAACGAGTAAAGCCGGTTAACATACAGGTCTCCTTACGGTCGCAAGTGTCTTGTTAGATGGCGTGACGAGGGTCAGAGAAGCCATAAAATTCCCCAGCGCTAAATTGGCGTCGGACGCTGGTACCAAAAGATGAAGGGATATATCATATGGATGGCTAGGTGAAAGCTGAGGTAGAGAAACCTCTGCATACGGCGGAACTCCGTCACTTCAGACAGAGCGAGGTGTTCAAGGGTGGTGCATCGAGTGGGTGTGGTACTCACCCATATTGTAGATAAACCTCCGTCTTCCAGCTAACCGCTACGTTCCTCCAAACGTACCATCCCGAGAACAGGGAAAGTGAAACGACGATGGGGATTAAAGCTAGGAAGACCAACAGAGGCACTAGCTGTGGGGCAAAGGGCCGCAGGAGACGAATAAACAGTGGAACAGGCGGGGGCGGTGCGGGGTTGCCCACGTGTGGGGCGGACAGCAGATCAGGTTTTTCGTCTCCCGGCTCGACTTTGATGGGGTGCGACGAAGCCGCCATCGTCGAGTTGGTGGATCACCGCGGCTAACCGATCCATCAGATGGTAATATCACGTGCCACCAGGCGTGTATCATTATTAAGGGACTACCGCCTCCCAAGTAACACTCGGCATCCGAGGGCTCTTCACAGTCTTCTCTTTCCATCAGAACTGCAGACACAGCGTGGCAGTAGTATCCCCCTGAACCGAATGCTTGAAGTGCGGTCCTCCAAAAAATTTATTGTTCATCTGCCTATAAAAGGATACCCTACGACAGACACTGACCCGAACCGAAAATTGCCCCTCGAGGTGTGTGCTTTCGTTGGCGGAGACTTTAGGGCACGATCTCACTGAATACGTAAATAGACGGGCAGAGGTATGTATAAGTATCTTACGCCTAAGTAGCAGTCCTTGTTCGGGTGAGATCGCACTTCTGCACACTCACCTCAGTAAAGAATGGCCGTCCCACTCAGTGTAACGACCAAGAATCTCAGCGGCTCGTTTGCTACGGTTTGTGAATTGTCTACTTTAAATCCTCTGGTGAATGTTGATAGGCGGTTGGCATGCACAGAACAAACAATTCAGCGGCAACTCGGATGAACTGCTTCGACTACAGGGTCTGTCATGGGCCAAGCGCAGCATTGCCAAAATGTTGAATATCATTCTCTCTATGAAGCACCGCACAGACGATGATGGCGTGGAACACGTTGACATGGAACAGAAAGTCGCTGGTGGCATCACTGCCGCTAGCGACCACTTCATTCTTGACTGGCAGGAGCGCACTGTTACGGACTCCTCCTTCGGCTCGTTGACTGTAAAGACGCGCAGAGTCTCGCCAGAGCTGATTGAGAACGAGTTCCTCAAGGCTGGTTGGTCTGAGGACACCGTTGTAGACGGCGTTATTCACAACATTGTCTCCAATGACCCCAAGAATTCTGGCGACGGTTACACGTGGGAGTCAGAGCAGGTATGTCCGATCATAGCTAACAGACTAACCTTCTCTAACTTCGCCTGTCTCTAGGTATGGGGTTTCCAGGTCGTCGATGGAGAAAGGAGGTATGTCAGGCTCGTCTCCCTCACCTCCTCAGGCAAGACAGATGGTCCATTCCACTTTCGTGGTGTTTATGATTATTGTAAGTGCTACTTCACATCCTAACATGATTCCCCCAAATATATTAACCCCCCACGCCTCAGCCGAAAACAAGCACTAGAGCATCGCTGGGGCATTTTGAAAATAAGGAATGGGATCGAATTGATGGTGCCATTCGGGTATCATTGATATTATCTTGTTATCCCTTGATCACGTCTAAATACGGCATATTTCCCCTGCCAACAATTTTCTGTGTTCGGTAGTGTCTGGTGCGACCCTCGAATAAGACTTCTAACCGCGGTCACCACAAGCATAACCACGCTGACTTCGGAACACTACTCGATATCACTATTAGTGGTAGTTTCGACCATGTTTTCCTGTCTTTCATAACCCTCACGAAGTAACAGCAGCCCCCCGTTGCAACGATCATGGATATCAATGCCAGAAACCTTTTTGGCAGCTCCCCGTCTGCAGTCAGTGTCACCAATTTTCTCAAGGAAATCGATCCCCGGGCCGAAGCCCTGATCCCAGAAGTGAAGGCATATCCAGACATGGTTTACTACAATTACCACAGACTCGGCATCAGTCTACAGTTTGCACCACGAGGGGGATATAAACCCAAGGCTGGGCTAGCGAGAGATCAACTCAAGGACGACTGTTTGGGTCTGGAAGGCATTGACATATACAATGAGCTGAAGCCACGATCTGACAACGGAAGACCTGAGACTCCCGGTCGATCTGCACCGCTCGCCTTCTCGCCATGCCCATTGTTGCCATTGAGGATACCTCGAGCAGCATCTGCGCACGGCGAGGGCTCAACACAGTCCTCCATGAATATAGCCGCAAACACAACAGGTAAAGAATTCGTCAGTTGGCTGGGAGAGCCTTGTAGGAAAGGAGGTGGGACAGGTCCATCATCGGAATCGATCAATATATGGTGCGAGTGGTCCAAGGAAGGTATCATGGTAGAGTTCGGAGGGAACGGAGGCCCGAGGTCCTCAGGCTTGGGAACGGGGTAAGGATGCGGTGTGGCGGGTTGTTACTGTATTTCCCCCCCGGGAATGATTGAAATGACAGTACGAACGACGTGGCTCTGTGCCGGTGGGACACGACCACGGTAACCCTTACCGCAAATACGCAACTACAGAAAGAGTATTTTATGCATGTTACACTTGCTCTGGACGAGTCTGCTCTCCTGCACACTCGACGTGGCATACAGTATTAATGGCTGCCCCATCCGGTGTAACCACCAAGAACCTCAGCGGTGTGTTCGTTTCGGTTCGTGAATGGTCTATTCTTTGCATTGGGCGTTCACGACGGGTTGGATATAAACAGGACAAGCAGTCCAGCGACAGCACAGATGAACTGCTTCGACTGCAGGGCATGTCGTGGTACAAGCGGCGCGCTGTCTCCATGTTTAACCTCACACTCTCTATCAAGCACTACACAGATGATGATGGCGTGGAGCACATTGACGCAGACCAGAAACTTTCTGGTGGCATCCCTGGCGGTAGTGATAATCACATCCTTGACTGGCAGGAGCGCTCCTGCAACGACGACGTTTTCGGCCCGTTGATTTATAAGACGCGCAGAGTCTCGCCAGAGCTAATTAAGGATGAATTCCTCAAGACTGGTTGGACCGAGGACACCATTGCAGACGGTATCATTCATACCGTCGCTTGGAGTGATCCCGAGAACCACAGCGGTGGTTACACGTGGACAGCGGAGCAGGTATGCTCGATGCTGATGCTAACGTGACCAACTTTCTCTAACGTTGTCGATCTTTAGACCTGGGGTTTCCAGTTCGTTAACGGCGAAAGACAGCATCTCAGGCTCACCTCACTCACTTCTTCGGGCAAGAAAGATGGTCCAGTTTGCGTTCGCCTTGCCTACAAGTATTGTAAGAGCCACCACATCCTGGCATAATCTCACCAATAAGATTGACCTACGTGTTAGACGGGACAAACTAAGATATCTATACCGCTTACATCATACCCGAATGTCGCATGTTTCCCGCTACCTTTCCCTTGACAATCGACATGGGAAACAACACCTGGGCCTACTCTCTATATTTAATTTTCCTTGTTGTGGCTTCCAAGGGACACGTGCTCTTGGAGTTTGAACTTCTTCGTACTCACTTCAGTCTCGGTGAAGAGTGATCTGAGACCAAATAGCTCACGGTCTAGTCGTGTAAGCACGAGTAACGACGCACGGAATGCAGAGACGGAGCTAGGGGAGATGTTTGCGCCGGAATACTCCGCAAGGAAGAGAAGCGTCCTTCAACGACCTCTGAAGGTTTGATTTCCCTGCCTATACGAAAAAAGTTTAAGAGGTCTGAGTTACATCCGTGGACCACGACCCAACATCGATCTTACAGGTCAGTTCTCCTACTTACGCTCCAACCCCTCTCCTTGACCACTCTTGTACATTCAGGGACCATACAATCACTCTTACAAATTACAATCGAATCAGCAACCTCGCATTTGACCCGTCCGTTCACTTCACTTTCCCTGTTAGCCGTCTTCGTTGTTGTATACGTCGTATCTTCACTTTTCATTGTCAGTTCTCGGTGGTACCTCATTCCTGCATCCTCCTTCGTCAATTGCACGTCGGAATAGTAGGAGAGAGCCTCACGAGCGATGAGCTGAGCTCGAGGCAAGCAGTAGGCCTGATGATCTGTCTAGCTGTCAGTGTACTCGTCCACCTGACTAAGCATCATGTGGCTGTGTCCCCACTTGCTGTCTCCAGGCCTCCTTATCCCAACGTCAGTGCTCTGAACTGAAGATACAGGTCGCGCTTTGAATGGGGATTTATCTCCATTTAATTTTTCAGTTTTTGATCTCCAGCCCAGTACAGCTCTGTTGTACTGTAACATCCTTGAATTGTTGGTGATTTGGATGTGAACTTCCTGACAAACATATCAGGCCGACAGTTTCCTGTGCGCTCCAGCCGTTTGAGCGTAAGCTGCACCCTTCATAGTGAAACATATGATTCACCTACATGTTTTTACCACAGTGGTATCATCAAGGACTCAGCCGGTGGTTGTGCCACAGTAAACCTTACTGCACAACTCACCGAATATTTACTAACCGCGTCCTTTGTGCTGTCTTCCGTTGATTTCAAACAACATTCTCCGATGTCTTACCGCTTGAGAACGGACAGCGCACTCGGATAGTGTACGGACTTCGTAGCATCGCGCTTGTTGTCAACATCTCGGCAGCCTGTCTTCTCTGTGTTGTCTTCCGTCCAATATTTGTGGTGCTTTATTGGTTCCTAGTGTGCATTGGCTTCTGGGACGTTGCACTTTTCTCGCAACCTCAGCAAAATCCACCGCCGTTAGACGTGGCTTTTGATGCCTTCTTACCCCCCCCCCCTTTTTTTTTTGTCAATTACGGTCTCTGGAGAGTGTCATGGCGATTCACGCCGCCCGTTTTCGCAAATTCTCCTTTCGAGGCAATGGTTTGGCACCTCGTATCCTACTGCGCTGGAGTCTCGACCAACCTTACCATCGCGAACACACCAATAGATCGGCTCACCGTTGCTGATATCACACAACAGCCAGGAGGGCTGGCTGCCTTCATAATCATGGTTTTGATTGTTCTCGCACTCGTTTTGAACCAGGTGCGCGTCATCGAAAAGACTAGCTGGCTGCCCAGGTACCTTGGATGGTATGTCAGTGGTGGCTTGTTTCCCTAATAGCTCTTGCATTTCTCCCCGGGACTTCGATTCCGTTTGAAACACTACATTAGATCCACGGTCTTACTCCCCAGCACTGGGTTCTTGCTACGTCCATCTGCTATATATCAAGGCTCTCTGCTCGGTATGTTTCTCAACGGGGTTGCAACCTTCGGGTTTGCCTCGAACTTACAAACGGCGACGGATGTGAGTATCTTTCCGTCGCGGTGTCAATGGTTGCGTTTGAAACCTTGTCAACTTGCGGCCAACGGGCCTACCGGATCACCGCTGTCCGAGTTCCTTACCAATTCGATCACTTATCGCCCTTCGGTACCCTTGGGATACCAGACCGTCTTCTGGTCAACCATGCCGAGTGCACTGGTAACTCAGGGGTGGATCGGATTCTTACTCTTTGTAGATGACTTTGAGCGATACGCCAGAAATGCTCTAAATTATTCCCTCACTGAGTTGGAAGCAGGATTCCCGCACTTCTTCAGATTGGTTATGAGTTTCCTGGTATCGTACTGCATTATGGTTGCGACATTTTGATAAATAGTATACGAGTGGAAGTTCCGCAGGTGACTTTACAATGCTTGCAACGTTGTGGCCTAACGGGATACGGGTCAATTCACTTCCCGGACCGTCTTGATGCAGTTTACAGTAATGAAATGTGAATAGACCTCGGTCAGTATAGAGTATCAACTGAGAAGTACAGTAGAATATCCCCTTCTACAGTGCAAGTCACGTAGGACAGACAGTCGACCAGTCAACCATCAGCAAATTCACACATAACTATTTTTTTTTTTTTTTTTTTTTTGTTTAGGTAGGAGGAAAACTCATGAATGAGTACCAGTTATCAACCCCAGTGATGTCAGGTTGGGCTACCCATGCTAGGGAAACAGCATTGCACTCAAGGTGTTGAAGGGGCCTGACTGACTAAAAACCTCCCAGTCAATAACACAGACCCTGACAAGGGGACTGCTGACCACACAGGGAGCCAATCCAGAGGGGTCAAAACAGCTGCACACCATGCTTCCTGGTGCGCCTTTGCCACCCTCTTTGGGGGATTACCTCCAATTTGTATACAAAGGTGTCAGGATTAAGCAAGGTGGCTGGCTGAATATCTGTGCCAACAGAAACCTCCTGCAGAAGGGCCTAGACCAAACAACTCCCTCTAGTGCCCTGGGGTTGTACCCCCGACTGTGCATACCTCTAAAGGCTCACTGATTGTTTTTAGCATCGGCTCAGGGAAGCTTGATGCCCATCCTTCGGATGGAGGGGGTGGACTAGTTTCACTTTGAACACCTGATGGGGATTTCACCCATATAACTCACTTCTTAGGCAGTGGGGCAGCCACCACACCAAGCCTCTGGACCTTGTCAAGGTCTAGTGAGGGGAAAGTCCATCTCCCACCAGAGGACATTACTATTTTCTGTACTATTCACACCAAAATAGTCAAAAAGGACATAATAGTCATTTTAGTAGGTTCGTTTTCTATCCATACTTTTTTTTGTGCTATTTTTCAACTATTTGTGCTATTTTACCCACTATTTCTACTATTTAACTTGTTGTTGAATGAAACTTTCTTTGCACTTATTTTCACTATTTTTTGCTTTTGTTCAGCTCACAGGTAGGAAATAAAATGCAATGCATTTGGGATGAAGTGTGACACAAAAAAATTAAATGAGCATAGCCCTATGGCAATCCAAAATGAAGGTGACTCAAGATGAAACACAAAAACAAACACAATTAGTTAAATGACTGTAATTGCCAATGAGTGACTCAGGACAGAGGGAGGGAGAGAATGAGATCACATCCAAATGATGAGATCCTATCAATGACTTGTCAGTAGTGTGCATAAACAATGAAATAACTTACAGAGAGCAGCAATTAGATCATTGACATTGTCCTCCCCATGTTGAAAGCTCCCTTCCTCTGATATGGCATCCATACTGCATGGAATGAGGATAGTTGCTCCCACAATGATGTCATGGAGCACAGCATTATCACACTTATCGATGGCTATAGCATATTGCCTGGTGCAGGGGCCACAATTCTGCTTGGAGAATGCTGAAACAGCTGACAATTCCTTCCTGGTCACCTTGTTCACCTTGAGGGGGATCTTGATGGCTGCCTTTCTGAAGGACATGTACTTCACATCAATTTGCAGCTTGCTGGTTTTGAACAGGGAAAGGGTATGGTACAACTAAAGAAAATGATTTAGCTGACTGTCTAGGGCTAAAATGCAATACATACCACTGCACAGCAGAGGGCTAGTGCACCCTTGATGCCAATTTTTTTCAGTTCCCTGATCTTCAGTTTTGGAACATCAGGAGAATCAGCACAGGGTCACAGATGCATGTGGCCAAGGAGGAATAATATGAAGTATGACTGGAAAATGTTCTCTGGTTTGTGAGAATCTTGGTCTACATATAAAAATGTGAAGCCTTCCAACAGCTTAGAACAGAGCTCCTGAGCCTGGGCAAGAGACAGCATGCCAATTTCTGGATCTGAGACAAGGAAGTGAGTGATAAGAGTAATTGCAATGGATCCAAAGTTGCTGTGCCACTGGCAGAGTCATTGACACACCTGCCCAAGAAAGCATGAGTCAGGTAGCAAGGTAAATAATACTAACAGTACAGTATTAAAGATTGCCATCCCAGGACAAATGTCATTCAGGTCCTCAAAATCTGGGGCAATAGTTAGGATAATGATTTGCAGTGACCATATGAGTTCATCATCTGAGATTGTCCAAGGGTCAGCTAAGCTTCCAGCCCACACAAGGAGAGTGGGTATGATGGCTTTTGTCCACAACTTGCCCACTGTCAGTACAGATGCAGATCTTGGTTTCAGTAACAAGGGTGCTTGCTGGCCTTGCCTGTGGTCCTCATTGAAGATGCTTGACCTTCTGTGGTGCTTGTCTGTTGTGGTTCTTGGTCCACATCCCTGTTGACCTTTGATTTCTTTGGTTTGTCCACTCCATTATTGGTCTGTGATTCCAAAAGAATTAATGTACAGTTCAAATAGACTAAAAACATACCATCATGACACACAATTCCTTAGCAGGCAACATACAAGAGTTCAAATTATAATCCTCAATGTCAAAGTATTCATCATCAAAGTCCTCAACCTCATATGAGGTGACATAGTCAGCATCATCACAATCCAAATGCTTGTGCTTCGAGCTAGCCTGCACCTCCTTGAAAATGAGCTGACTGAATTCATTGTTGCTCTCTACATCATTAGCCATGCTTGTGACCACCTAGAAGCAATATAGAATACAGCAGTTGATTTGCATCAAGAGACATACCTTGAATTTGTCATGACCTACAACCTTGACAGGGAAAGCCAGTTGGTCTTCTAATTCCTCTTCATCCACATTGTGGGTTGGCACAGGCATCTTTCCCTAACCAAATGTGTTGAAGATGACTGATCCTACTTGATAACATAGCACATACCTGGTATGCTAGGTTTGCATTGGAGTTGATGGTGGTAGTAGCTCTGCTTGTCAAGGAAGGGACAGAGGTTGATAATCTGTTGGAATGTGGCATCAGCCCAGTTGGGATGTCCTTGACCCAATGATGGACCTGGCAGTCCAAATTGATACCTGGATTGTTTGGGGTACTGAGAGCATTCCAGGTGAGGTTCAGCCAAAACAAAGTTGACTCAGTAAGTAGCAGCATCTGTGGTATCAAACAGTGGAAAATAAGAGCATACATTTGCTGGGAGATTTCATTGGATCCACATGTCAATGCCACACATGCCAGCAGATCATCAGTGACTGCACCTTGCCTTCTCAACATGTGGGTAGCTGTTCTCCCACTCTGTGGCTTGTCACTTGTATAGTCTGCAATAGCAGGAGCAGTTACCTGGTGAGCATCAACTTCCATACCTTCCATATCAGCAACTTCTGATAAGTTACCAGTGTCTGTGATCAGATGACATAATCAAAATGTCCTCACCTTCAACATGAGGTTGGATGGCCACACTTCCAGGTTTTCCTTGAAGGCTGACAGGCCCCTGTCTTGGTCTGACTGACTTCACTTTAGCAGTGACTTGGATTGCCTGTCTGGCCTCCATTGCAACAGGAGGACCAATTCTCTGGTGAGTATCTAGTGTCATGTTATCAGTTTCTGTGGTCAACTGACATAATTGTTCTTACCTTCAATGCAAGGTTGGATGGGTGTATTTGTAGACCTGCTACTGGCAGGCACCTGTCTCAGTCTGACTGGCTTTGCTTTGGCAGTGTCTTGGATGACCTGCCCAGCCTCCATGGCAGTCTCCATCTTGCTGACTTGGGCATGAGCCTGCTGGATAGCAGTTGCCTGAGCATTGATAACTTCCTGCACATGCAAGTCATCGGCCTTCTTCTGGGCTGGGGTACACTGTTTGGTTTGCACTTCGAGAACGATCCTCCCTGGATGCAGTTGGCTTTCTTTCATCATGGATGATTAGTAGAAGAAGCTGACATAATACTTATCATGTGTGGGGTGAGACAAAGACAGCACAAGGTGAGTTTGAACCTGTTGTTTTTATGCAGGAAAATTTTCTTCCAAATAAATGCACTATAGAGTCTTGTTCCTTGCAAACAAATATGCAAAGTTCCACCTAACTTAGGTTTCTAATCATTTACCAATCATGCAAGGGTCCCCAAACATGTTTGTTTAGCATCAAAATGCCACTGTGCAGAGGCAGCACCTGAAACTCTCAACAGTCAAAATTCAGTGCTCTCCATCTCCCTTGCAACTTGCCAGGCTGCAACTGTTGGTTCAAAAACCAGTTGGAGCTCACTCAGCACAAGTGCAGCCATCTGCACAAGCTCAACCACTTTCAAAGGTCTCCTGGTTATTGCAAACAGGACCACAGTTTAAATGCCATACCCCCAGTAGCTGAACACATTGTAGATCATGATGGTGGTCCACATGACTTCAACCACAGCACAACATTGGATCAAGAACTGGATGGAATGATCATAAATTTTGTTGGTCCTGGCGACAAGGTTTACTGTAATTATCACGTGGGTCTTAACAGTAAGCCTACATATACATGATTCTGCCTCTACTCATACATTTTATTACAGCATGAAGATGTGACTCCCAGGGCCATTTTCTAACAGATGATGCTCCACTGCTGCTTCATGTACAGGGATTGCCAGATGATTGGGCTCTGTACTGCAGTCAAATAGAATTTGAACTTGCCAAGTTTCTTTTTAAACATGCAGAAATGCTGGCAAACCAAATCAACACATTGCTTGAAATCTGGGCCACATCATTGCTCAAGTTAGGTGGCAACCCACTATTTACCAACCACATGGATCTCTATCATGTAATAGACAGCATGTCTGTTGGCACAGTCAAGTGGGAAAACTTCAAAATCACTTACAAGCACAAGCGGGATGGACAGGATGAACTGGATGAGCAGGACAAAGTGATTGAACTGGGTGGTCCAGGTGGTCAGGATGGTCAAGATGGCCAGGGTGAACCCGAGGCCCCTTGGATGTTTGACATCTATGATGTATGGTATTGAGACCCCTGTCAAGTTATCCACAACCTCCTTGGACATGCTGACATTAAGGATGAAATGGACTTTGTACCATACCAGGAGTTTGATGCCACAAGTGACCAGAGGCATTGGGAGGATTTTATGTTGGGCAACTGGGCCTGGGATGAAGTGGTATGTACTAGGTTTGTCTTGATGTAGGTCCTACTAACCTCATACTTCTAGGACAAGATTATCAGTGATAACCCATCAGTAGGCAGAGCAACATTAGTTCCCATCATCCTTGGCAGTGACAAGACCACTGTTTCTGTTGCAACTGGGCAAACAGATTACTACCCACTCTATCTTTCCATTGGAAATGTGTGCAACACTGCTTGTTGTGCACACTGTGATGTGGTAGTGCTCATTGGATTTCTTGCAATGCCAAAGAGTAAGCACTTCAAATTCTATTACTTCGTACCACTGCTGATAGCCCAATAGTGACTAGGGAGCATGCTAATACACAAGTGTTCTGTAAATTCAAGAAGCAGCTCTTTCATTCATCACTGGCAAGCATTCTTTGGTCACTTGGTCCTGCAATGACAGCTCCAGAAACAGTACTATTTGGTGATCAGTACTACTGACACATCATCCATGCACTCGCAGCTTACATAGCTGACTATGAAGAGCAGGTCCTCCTGTCATGTATTGTGTGTAAATGGTGTCTGAAATGTCTTGCACATCAGGAGAATCTTGATGAAGATGCACTCTGGTGTCACTGTGAGCACACTGAATTGATCATCAGGGAGTTGGGTGCTCTGACACTTTGGGATGAGTATGGCATTGATGGAGATATAGTGGTATGTACAATATACTGCTTTCTTTTTTCATGACTGATTGAGGACAGCCATTTACAAGTGGGTTTCCATGTGTGGACATCCAGAGAATGCTTTCACTGGACATTCTCCATCAACTCATCAAGGGTGGATTCAAAGATCATCTGGTTGACTGGGTGGAAAGGTATCTCACCCATACTCATGGAAGGAGTGCCACAGAAAAAATACTGGATGATATTGATCGAAGGTGTGTTGCCTGACCTCTGTCATTGTGCACTGACTGACCTCATTGAATTCCAGGATTGCAGCTATTGCCCCATTCACTGGGCTGTGATGTTTCCCTCAAGGCCAACACTTTAAACAATGGACTGGCAATGACTCCAAAGGCCTCATGAAGGTTCTTCAATCCTTTTTAAATGCCATATGATGATTGACTGGTCCTCTATAGGTATATATTGCAGCCATTGAAGGCTATGTCCCACAGGATGTCATTTTGTGCCTTTCTCAAGTTTTGTTACCTCATCCACCGAAATGTTATCACCAAACCAACTCTTGCTGTGATTGGGGATGCACTTGCATGCTTCCACTCATATTGTGAAGTCTTCTGGAATGCTCAAGTAGTCGCTACATTTTCATTACCCCAGCAACATGCTATGAAGCATTGTCCCTATCTTATATGCCAGTTTGGCATGCCGAATGGGCTCTGTTCATTGATTACCAAGTCCAAACATATCAAAGCAGTCAAGTGGCCTTATCAGTGTACTAACTGCTTTCAGGCTCTTGGACAGATACTTGTGATCAACCAGAGGCTTGACAAATTTGCTGCAGTGTGTGCAGACTTTGAAAAGCATGGCATGTTGAGAGGGACTTGCCTGTCACATGTGCTTGTGACTCTAGGTGTGAGCATTCTTAGACATTGTTCTTGATGCTCACTGTATTCTAGAACAATATACTAATGAAACTAGTAATGAAACTGACCATGATGTGTCTAACAATCAGGACTGCAAAGACAGTGCTGATGAACCCACAGCAAGTTTCGAAGAAGACCCAGGTGATATGGATGACTCTCCTATGTCAGTTGAGGCCCATGTATTGTTGGCCCAGACCTACCATATGCCTTTGCTCATGGCTTCATGTGTATGAATTCTAATTGGTTAATCATAGAATGGACACATGCGAGTTTTGAAGGATGCTATAGGTATCCTCAGTAGTGCAACAAGCTACTAATGTATTAGACCAACCTGTAGGTATCTACAGGATATCAGTAAGTATAATACTGGTAGTGAAAGTGAGCTTACCCTCAGTAGTGCAACAAGCTACTGAAGGAACAGTGAATAAACTACTGTAAAATGTGCGCTCTAAGGTGATTATGTAAGCACCCAAACATCGCACCAAAGTGAGCAGAACACAGGGGAGAATATATCTCCAACAGCAAGGAATATGAGGGACCTAGCAACTGAACTTAACATACCCCAGCTCCTTGATATCTTGTGCTGCTTTCTTCAATCGCAGCTTCAGCAAGACAACCACAATCCAGAAGATGTCCCCTTGGATGAATGTCCCTTTTATGATGGATGTATCTGTGTCTACAACTCTGCATCCTTGACGTTCTATGCACCCAGTGACATGAGTGGCCTCCACAGCATGCATTGCAAACACATATGTTGTTCCTCTACATGGAGGAACAAAGGCCCCCATTATGACTGTGTTTTTGTTATGACTAATCCTCATGTGGAGGGCATGCTTGGTCTGGATGTTGCTCATGTCCTGTGTTTTTTTTTTTCTTTTAAGTACCTAGGCACGGAGTATCCTTGTGCGATTGTATGTTGGTTTGACCATATAGGAGATGGCCCAGATACCTGCACAGGAATGTGGATAGTTTGTGTGCACAATGCCCAAGACATCACTATCATCCACATTGATACTATCTATTGCACAGCTCATCTCATTCCTGTATATGCGAACCACCAAATTGACCCAGCAAGCATCAAGCCTAATGAATCATATGACAAGTTTCTCCATTACTATGTGAATAAATTTGCTGACCATCATGCATTCAAAATTGCATCCTAACCACAAGTTATGGCATGTGAAGTCATTCAACTCACCTCACTCTCGTTTCCTCATATGGTGTTCATTTCCCATCCCCCAACATTTCATTGCTCACCTTCTTGTACAGAATACCACCCAATCCCTATTCCACAACCATTTGTCAGTGTCAGTGTTTTTTTATTTGTATACCTAATGTGACACTGTGAATAGCCATGAGACATGTGATGAGAACATGGAAATATGCAAAGATCAAGCAGTCACACAGGGCAGTGAGACTCAGCACTGGAGTTGGAGGCTTGGTGGGGTTGAATGGTATGTGATATCATCTGTTAACATGCACAACAAAAATGAATAAATGATGGGCCATGAAGAATTCAGTGACAGGGGGTGTAGAGTCAGAAACAGCAGTGATGGACCTGGCATGACTCACACCACCATTGAAGGCTTATCCATCTGCAAGGCGACTGATGGTGTTTGCCATATGTGAACTGGAGACCTAGAGTTGCAGATTGAAATGGAAGTACTGCCCTCACCCCTGCCATTCACATTTCTCCCTTCTTGCATGGTTACTCAATTTATTGTATTGTATTTTCTTTCTTTGTTTGTCTGGCTATTCCAAGTCAGTATATGGTACCTGTGACATCTTGTAGGCAATTTGTTTTAACATTCAATCACATAGTAATGACTACCCCACAAACATAGATCCATTGCTGCTGTTGTCTCCACTCCTGTCTCCCCTTCAAACCAATACCATTCCTGCCATGGACTCTGTGTTTCTCGAGCACCCCCACAACCCCACCATTGCCACCATTGTCTCCACTCCTGTCTCCCCTTCAAGCCGACACATTTCTCTCCATGGACTGTGTGTTGCTTGAACACTCCCACAACCCCACCATTACTGCTGTCGTCTCTGCTCCCTTTTCCCTTTGAAGCCAATGTTCTTCTCATCATGGATTCCACATTGCTCGAGCACCCCCACAGCCCTTGTTTACCATGAGAATAATGGCCCCAAAACCACTCGAAAGGAGGAACGACTGGCTGGAAGCATCTTTGCATACCTTTATGTAACACCATGAATTATATTCTCAAATGTGACTTGTGTGACTTGTGTACTTTTCTCACTTTTTTGAACACTTTGAGCTATTTACATTGTTCGAATCATCCAGCAAGTCTCAAAAGTCTCAAAAGTCTCAAAGAAGTCCGAAATAGTGTGAATAGAATTTTGTTAATTTCCTGATGACCATACTTTGGACTGCAGCCCTGTTCACAGTTTAATACTTTTTTTTGGACAAGTGATAAACATTATGTAGCCATGACAAGTCAAGCTCTACATAATAACTATATTGAACACCCAGCTGAGCTTCGGTGGAACAGTGTGGAACCCTGTTCATGCATCCTTGCATGTTCCATTCTTGTACAGTGTTGTTCTAGCCTCATGTCTCTACCACCACTCCATGCCCACACCTTGTCCCTGCTGACCAATCATCTACAGCTGTGTCCGACACCCCTGTCCTGCCTCCCCTACTCCATGTGCCCCCCTTTAAACATGATGACATCCTTGTCATCTGTTAGCTCACCACCCAACTCTTCCTGCATGCTGTCTGTTCTTCCCCATTTGACTTCTCCCAATGCTGCCTCTTCCTCTCTTCCAGGTGCTTGCCCTTTGCCACCATCATCATTAGTGTCTGTCTCATCATCCTCTTCACTCCTTGCACCATCTGATTTGCTTCCTCCATCCACATTCCTTCTCCCTTCCCTTGCCATCCCTTCTGGTATGTCTTGTTCTGTTTCTGTGCTTTGTAGTTGTGCCAGGTATTCTTGTTGATCTGCATGTAGTTGTGTTCCTTCTCTTGCTATGAATGCACATAGTCTTCATGTGCTGAACTCCCCTGGGACTGGTCTGCCCACATAGTGTAGTCACATTTAGTCACAACACATGGGCAGCCTGTGCACTAAAACACCAACACTCATATAGACCCCGAGACAGGCCTGCCTAAATAGATTAGCCAGTACACATGGACAGGCCCAAGGGACTAAAGTGAGAGCAACATATGTATGGGCCTGTAAGTGCATTACCACAACATATGGGAGGGCCCATGGTGGGTAAGGATGTTGAAACATAAAGATGGGCCTGTCACTAGTATCATTTAATAGAGTCACAACATAAGGTCAGGCCCATCAGTAGTATTATGCAACATATGGACAGGCCCAGCCCCAGTAAGATGTACCTCTGACAAGACATAAAGACAGGCCTGTCAGTAATCTCATGTATAGCATCACAACATATGGGCAGGCCCTTCAGTAGTATTATTTATATCATCGCAACATATGGGTGGGCCCAGCCCCAGTAAGATGTACCCTGTCAAAACATAAAGATGGGCCTGTCACTAATATCATTTAATAGAGTCACAACATATGGACAGGCCCTTCAGTAGTATTATTTATATCATCACAACATATGGGCAGGCCCAGCCCCAGTAAGATGTACCCTGTCAAAACATAAAGACAGGCCTGTCACTAATATCATTTAATAGAGTCACAACATAAAGATGGGCCTGTCAGTAATCTCATGCATAGCATCACAACATATGGACAGTGTCACACACCAAAGGTGTTTGGTGAGGTGGACATGGATACAGCTGATGAATGGAGATGAAGACCATAGCCCTCATGTGAAGAAGGACAGCCAGGAATGTCAGCAGTCATCCCTCACACAAGAACAAGTCATCAGTGCCAGAGAAAAAGAAAGGGAGTGAGTTAAGCACTGGCTAAAATTCTTAAGCACCTGTGTACAGCATTCTGGTTTTTGACATATCTCTGCCATTTCTGCAGATACCAAGACCATTCCCACACTCGCTTGTAGTGCTCAGCCACATGATCTTACCTTCCAAAATTGGAAAGGATTTGCACACTCCACATGTTTCTACAGCACTCCCTCCAAAAGATGCTCATTTTGCTAAATTCTTCTGATATGGCTGCCTCTACATCAATCATTTTGCTTGTCCCCTTTGCTAGGGACTGTGGCTACATATATCTACCAGGAGTTCCTACCAGCTTCTGTCCTGAAGCATCCTGGTACATCCCACCCTTGTCTGTGCCCTCTCAGCCCATCCAGCTTGGACAGCATGTTCTTTTTGTCAGTATGACCTCTAGGAGGACATTCTTTGGTTGCCTCAGGTCTGTCATTCACTTGGAAAGGTCTTATGTGGTTGTTTCAGTCTCTCCAGTCCAAGAAGCATATGGATCCTTCCTCCCTGCTCCCTGCAATGTCTTCATACCAGTCTCATCCATCATTCTTCCAAGATTGTGACAGCTACAGTATAATCTACTGTTCTCCACTCTCCCTGATTGCATCCATGACAAGTATGATGCACATCTTGCCTCCTTGTTGCAAGATACAGCAGAAGACACTCCCCCTTCATCCTCTCTTCCAACAGAGCCTCATTCATGAAGTTTTTATTTGCTTCCCTGAGAGGATGGTTTGGGGGGGAAAGTTGTGATCCCCTATGCTCCTGTCACCCCACAGACCCCCAAAGCTTGACCCCTGTTGACATCTGACTCACCCTGTCCACTTTTGGATGTACTATATCAGCATCAGATCAGCACTGCCTCTCTGTCATCCCACCTTGGCCTAGAAGTGATCTCTTCAAGATGTGACATGCACAGCCTCCCCCTAATGTGATTCCAGTGTGCTTTCCCAGTTCCTGACATTACTTGACTCATACTTTGACATTCTGACTGTCTTTGACTCACCTATTGCCAATACTTACCAATCTTTTGACTTTGCTTACTGATTCTTCACTTTTTGGCTTGCTAATCCTTACCAATGCTTACCAATGCTTTCCAAGATGATTACCCATTGCTTACATTCCTTACTCATCAGTTACCAATCACTTACCAAGTGTTTGCACCTTGTTTTCCAAGGGCAACACCCCTGTACTGTATATAAATCACTGTACTTAAATAGCAAAAAAAAGAAGACATCAGAGAGCCCCTCTTGCTCGCATTTTATCATCACTCAGTAATTCATTCAGCAGCTTTGATAGTTGAGACTTTATTAAGGGTCTAACTATCATCTACTTCACTTATCCTTGTCTATCATCAATATACTTCACTCCAAGCCCTCCCTGAGCTCAGTGCAGCTTAGGACATCAAATTAAGTTGTCATCCATCCTTCTGTAGGCTGACAGCAGCCTACCCTATCGCATTCTCTCACATTCCTGCTTCTTCTTCATCAGGAGCACCCCCAACCCTCAGCACTTGTCTTTGAGTGTTGTAGCTCACAAAAACCCTCCCAAAGAACAGGTTCTACCATCTAGGTACCACATAGGCACACCACCACTTGCTCTTTTTGTCTTTTGTGTTGGTTCTGGTTGGTTTTCACCACTGAACCACACTTTGACTCACAATGGGTTTGTTTTCCTGGTGAACACGTTAGTTCCATTTTCTGTCTTTGTCACCTCTTGTGTTAAATTGTTGTATTCCATCTCTCTTTGTGGTCGTGTTGTGTTGATGAAGTGGTTTCATAGTACTGCCATGGTGTTGCTGTCTGTGACTGTTACCTCATCTGTTGCATAGTTGTGTATTGCTTTGAAGGCTTGTAGTAGTGGTTTCCTGAATAGGAATGACCAGCCCCCTGCACTGTCGAAGACCTCGAAGGTTCCCATTACCTTTGTGTTTTTTATGTTTATTGTGCCTGTCCACACAGCCTCTGATGGAACGATGGTTCCATTTGCCATGTGTAGGATTTGTGACAACAGTCTCCATCCTTTTAGCATGTGTTTGACTGTGTTGAACATGCTTGACAACATGGCTCCTGTCATGGTGCCATCATTGAACAATGCTTGTACTGTTGTTCCTGTGCCATCCTCATTTTTTAGCATGACTGGGTGTATGAATGGGACAGGTTGAATTGTTTTATCTGCTACATCGCTTCATCCTTCATGTACTGCCACAGAGTATAGATTGATGGTTGTTGGCTCAATATGATGTACAGGCAAAGCTGGTGTTATTGTAGTAGA